TTTTTGGAGTACAAAATTTGAAATTCTCATTTTTATTTAAAATACATATTTCTTGTATGGGAAAAATTGCATAAGTTACAATGGAAATAGCATTCTAGGTGTGTTTTGACAAACAGGCAAAAAGTCCTCCTCTTCATACATTATGCAGGGTTTAGACAGTGTACTACAGGTGCTTGTTGTTGTTGTTGTTAGTCACGAAGTCGTGTCCGACCCATCGCGACCCCATGGACAACATTCCTCCAGGCCTTCCTGTCCTCCACCATCCCCCGGAGTCCACCTAAACTCACAACTACAGGTGCTATATATGTGTAGTACAAGTACAATGCTACATTTACAGTGGTAGCTTTTTGCTGTATTTGGCCCTCTGAGAAGGCTGCACGGCAATCTTCTTGTGTTTCTCTGAACTTTAGATCAAAGCCGTAAGTTGGATCAAAGATAAAGTACTGCAAAGAAGAAAATCTTGAATAAATGTACTCCCATCTTGCAGCCTTTAACAAGAAACAGTTTAGTCCTTGAATTCAGAATGATAAACTTTAATAAACTACCACATATAATTCAAACCATCTTTACTGCCGTTTAACTGCTCTATGAAAAGAAACAGTAAACTTAATGGATTTATCTACAACCAGTTCTTGAGAAGCAGCATAGACAATTCCTTATAAAGGGTGTTTCTTCTTTCATTGCCTCCAACACTTTTACTAGTGGTTACTGCACTTATTCAAGAGAGAAAAATATAAATGAGGCAAGCCACATTGAGCCAAAAGCTTTCTTTGACACTTCTCCTTCCTATGAACTGATAAGAGGATAAATAAATGCAATGCAACAATAGCAATAGCAATCAATAACAGGAAAAAACATTCATTATTGAGGCCGGCTATTCCCAACCTAGTGGCCTGTTGTGTGTCAGCCAGTAACTCCCATTATACTGCCCTTATACAATGTAAAGCGTGACCCCAGTTCTGGTCATGTCACTTCCAAAAGGATATTGTAGAGCTAGGAAGAGTACAGCAAAAGGCAACTAAACTATCAAGGGAATGCAGCCACTCTCCACTGAGGAAAGATTACAATATCTGTGACTGTTTAGCTTAGAAAGAAGGTGAGTAAGGGAAACATGAGAGAGATCTAGAAAATCATACATACTGCTGAGATGGAAAAGTTTCACAGTTCTAGCACCCATAAAGCTGGAGGCTGGGAGACTCAAGGTAAATGGAAGCACTTCTTAAATGGTGGAATCTGTTCCACAAGATGCATATGGCTGGCAAGTTGGAGGGCTTTAAAAGGGTATTAGACAAATTCATGGAGAATGCAGGTTTCAGTAGTTATTAGTCATGATGCCCCTATATGGCAGTTGCTGGGCAACATAAGCAGGAGGATGCTGTTGTGTTCATGCTCTACTTCCAGGTTTCCCACAGGCAACTAATTGGCTGTTATGTAAACAGAATGCTTGGCCAGACAGGCCTATGATCCAATCAAGCATAATTCTTGTGTTCTTACCATCCCAAAGCAACATGGACAGTGTCTGGGCTGCTCGAGAATAAGGGGGCCTGTAATGCAACACATCTGGAGGGCAACAGGTCGAGAAAGGCTGGCTGAGGCTCTCAGCCTATTTGGGAGGAAGCTGTAGTACAGATGGTCATTGTTCCTGTTAAGTAGCAGCACCCACTCAACTCCCGCTATCAAGTTTATTACTGAAGGGTTAAGGAGGTTTCACCTGCCTTCAGCTGTGAACCTGAATCCCTCCCCTTGCAGAACCGCTGATAAGCTACAAGACCAGGTTTTCTCAGTCTGCTTCACAGCTATGCTTGGGTGGAGGCAGCTATTTCAAATATTAAGTGGCCCCTTGCCAGCAGTGAACTCTGATGTTGCTCCTACCAAGCTGTTTCAGAATGCAGCTGAAATATAATTGCCTCCCCACCCACACCACATTTATTTTGGCTGCTGTACAATGTCTTCAATAGTATCTTTTCACTAACCTACAGCTTCCTACTTTAGGTCTTTGAAAGCAGGGCCAGATTTACTACTGAGCTAACTGTTTTATAGAATGCTTTCCATTTCAAAAGAGGAAAAATAAATGATTATCTAGGCTGCCATTTAAGTTTTGAGGATAAAAGTGAAGTTGATTACATACAGCACATAATTTCATTTCTTGACAAGAGGACAAGACCCCCTGGAAACTCTCTCTGGGAATGCAGTTCAAAATATGAAAAAGAATCTTGAAGTTTGAAAGAAAATTCTTTCCCCAAAGTAAGCCAAAATCAAAGTTTCATGGGCAAGGAGAGGCCTAAAGCAGGGCAAATGGAGCAGATTAGACAATTTAGTGGACCAAAAATCAGTGAGCCTACTGAGTCTTGAAGGTAGATTCTATGAAAATGTTCAGTCACCTATTCACAGAACTGGAACATTTGCAAAATATGGATCTGAACTACACTATCCTCCATGGACAAGAAAGTCATACGACTAAGTTGAACATTACATGGGAATTGCCTCTTTGTATCTCTGTTGTGACCATTGTTAATGAATTTAAATAACTTTTCCTGATATACTAAAATACTCCCCCTAATGCCAACTTCTCATCTTTTTAACTTTTTATAGGTTTAAAAGTTGAAAATATCTGTAGAAAATATAAATGCAGAAGTATAGCAGTGAGCAAATAGGTCTATACTATTTCTGGAGGCCTTGTCCAACATGGTGCCCTCCAGATGTGTTGACTCCATTATCCCCAGCTGGGAGATGAAGTTGCACTCCAACACATCAGAAATGCACTAGTTTGACAAAGGCTGGTTAAAGAGAATACACTATGGGACTAGGAAATATCTCAGCCTAACTACAGGGTCACTACTGGCTGAACTAATATACACCACAGGCAAGCACCTTCAGATGTTTTGGACTACAGCCATAATCCCTGACAATTTGTCATACTGGCTGAGGCATATAGGAATTAGGGCACTAGAGTTGTTATACCAGGTATATACCATATTGGGCTAACAGTACCCTCAATCTGACTAATAGCACAATTTTATACAAGTCCACTCAGAAGAAGGACCCACAGAGGTCAGCATGGCTTTCTGATCCAAAGTTAGACAGTTGAAATTTCTGATTTACCTACAGACACCTTGTTTGATGGCCATCAGACTCCTTGCCTCTCCTAACTGTCGTATTTTCTTTCATCTTCAGATTTTTTTTAAAATAACAATTAAAAGGCTAGCATGCTGCAGAGTAAAGTTCTGTCACCCAGCACTATATGTCAGGTCAAAGTATAACATGCTGTTGTGAAGGTAAGCCCCCATCTCTGCTTTGTACTTAGGTCTGTTAGTCTCATCAGTTTACCTTCTGGAAAGTGGATGTTTTGTGACCAGCTGTGCCTATGATGGTAGCCATTTCGTCAATGTGCAATTTTCCCATCACAGCCACTTTGTGAGAGCACCTACAACATTTTCCTAATTCAAAAGTGCCCATTCATCCAAAAAGGTGGTCCCCTCCAGTTATATAATATGCAGCTAATAGCTGTTTCATAAACTGTAGCCATTTAAACTATGAACATAATGTGCAGGGGATGGGAAAATCTTTTTTATTAATTTGCTCTTTTCTTCCCCATCCACAACAATTAATTCCAAATTTTCCTGTCCCCCACGATCCTTTCAGCACAGCATGAAGAAAGCCCCAGTAGTAACATCATCTTGGTGTCGAATAACATCCATTTTACTTGTTGGTTCATCATGTAATTTAGATGGCCTTGACTATGGGTTTAACTGTTCTGCTGAAATTTACAGCTTTTACAATGGCTGCTTTTTATTCCTGTAGTTGTTCTAGATATTTACTTTTTCTTATTGTACTGGATGCTCCCTAGACCTTTTAAAGAAAGTCAGGGAGGCAAGGCAAACATTCTAACACCTCCAACCAATTTGGGGGGGGGGGGGGGCAAGAATTGGGTATGTAACTTAAGTAGAAGCCCTCTCTTGTCCTGTCACCCCCATGTTAGGTACAGTGTATGTTGCCAAACAAACACAAAACTTTAGTAATATGGGGAGTGATTGTGTGCCCTTGAATCAGTTGAAACACTAGTAAATGATCAACCAGAGTCTGGATCTAATCCCATGATTCAAAACAGAGTTTTGGGTTTGTGTTTTGGGATTAACATAAAATAAGAAAAGCAATTGTCCTATCATAAATTACAAGTAACTTGGAAAATCAGCTTCACCAGCTGCAGTGTGAATAACAGTCTGTGCATGACTATGCCTTACTATTCATAAGTGTGCATTCAAATTCATGCGTGGTAAAGAAAGGCTAATGTTCACCTCCCTGCATATTTTGAACATAGCAGCAGGATCTGAAGACTGAATAATTCTAACTCTAGCACAGATTCAGCCCCACTGATTTTGGACCTACTAAATACGAATCCAACCTCATTTCCAGTTTATACCTAACAAATGATGCAGTCCTAACCAGCTAGTCCTAAGTAGAACTCAACAGGACTTCAAGCAGTGGCATCGGTGAAGTGCTGCAGAAAGACCTGGAAAACAAAAAGCAAGCTACTGGGCACCTTTGAACGGCTTCAGTTAGCCAGAGGGCACTGCATCCCTACCTGCATCTTATCACTACAACTAGGCTGAACTTTTTGCTTGGTGGGAGGTTTGGTGTCGGTGCTTCTGCACCTTAAAGGCTGAGTGGTATGTGAAATGCACAAGAGGCACCTTTCTCCACCACAGCACATGACGACAAAAGCTGAGGTTAGAGCTGCCGTGAGGCAGTTAGCAGCAGAGGAGCCTTAACTTATTTATTTGTGGGGCAATTCTACATCACCACCTCCATGGGTTCGACGGTAACGCTACAGAGAAGTCGTAGCATTCCACGGGAATCTTTAATAAGGTCTCTCACACTCACGCGCCCCGAAGGCGCTCCCAGAAGAATCCCTGCTGCGGATATTGCACTTTAGAAAACACTGCCAGTCCAAACCCTGTCAGTCGAGCCGTGCACCAGCAGGGCAGGACTGGCGTCCATACCTCTGCTTCTAGCGAGGCCGCCGTGGCGGTGGGTGGGAGCAGCAGCGGCGCGTTGCTAGTCACGTCGATGAGCCTGGAGCAGGCAGAACCTGCGCGGGAGCCGCCGCTGCCGCCAGCGCTTCTCATGTTCCCTTCACTCCTGCACACGGGCGCGCCAGTCCTAAGCTCCTCGGCTTCCAACATGGGCTCAGAACTTTCCCCGGGAAACCGCCCGCGCGCGTCCCACGCGCAGATTTTGCTAGGCAGCGCCGGTCTCCGTGGCAACGGGCACGCGCCGCGGGGGTTGTTGACAGGAACGTGTTCTCCGGAATTCTCGCGAGAATTACTGAAAACAAAAAAAGTGTGTTGCTGCAGTTGCACTTTGGTCGGATTTGTGATTCCCTTCCAGTTATTGAGAAACCGAAAATGTTTCCAGAACTGGGAAGGGGAAAACTGACCTTTAAGGTCAAGCTGGAAACACAAAAAGTTGATTAGGCGTAATTAATTCTGATAATTTAAAACGAGAATTAACTTAAAAAAGAGCACAGTCGTAGTTAAGGCAGGGGGAAAAGCCCTACAACCCACAGCATAGCTCTCTGGATTGTACCCAACATTAATTTGCCTAGTTTGGGTCATTCTAGGCAAATAATTGAAAAGGCTTTCTATATAATATTTTTAGCATTACGAAAAACCTCAGAGGAGTCTCACTGTGTAGCGCACTAGGCATTTCCCCTAAATGTGCCCTACTTGGTTGTTGGGTTGTTTGTTTAGACCACCTGACTTAAAACAATCTTAATGTGTCAAGTGGCTCTAACCCCAGCGGCCTAAAGCAACTGACCACTTTCATGAAAATAATATACAGCTTTGCAAATTACATCCCAAATCTTCTTTATTGTTTTCCTTAATTATGAAAATGAGAGCCAGTGTGGTGTAGTGATTAAGAGCATGGGACTGGGACTCAGACGATCTGAGTTCTAGTCCCCGCTCAGCCATGGAGCCAACTGGGTGACTTTGGGCCAGTCACAGACACTCAGCCCAACCTACCCCACAGGGTTGTTGTGGGGATAAGATGGAGGAGGAGAATAATGTAAGCTGCCTTGAGCCCTTTGTAGGAAAAAGGCAGGATATAAATCGAAAAATAAATAAAGAACGGATCTTTATGTTCTATTAAAACACTCAAGCTGGCTCACAGTATAAATGTAAACAACCCATAAAAGCATACATTTTAAAATTCCAGGGAGCAAAGTGTGTTGTGTGCTCATCAGGTTAAATATCTGACTGAATAAAAAGGACTAAATGAGGCAACAAAGAATCATCAGGAAGTGGGAGAGCAAGAAATTCTACAACTAGATGTAGCTCTCTGGGCAGTTTACAACAAAGTATAAAAACAGTACAATTATCAGTACAACAGATAATAACAATAAGAATTAATTTAAAATAACATAAAAGGACATTGAAAGACAATTTAAAAGACCCAGACAAGAGTAAAAGGCACCTGGCTAATGGTATCAGGCCCCTGAATGTCCAGAGTGGTCTTTAAAGGCACCTGCAAAGAGGGCTGTATTAACCTGGCTATGAAAAGATAGCAAATTTGGCACCAGGCAGACTCAGGCTGCACCAGGGAAGTTATTCCAAAGTAGCACAGTTGACTAGCATAGTTTAAAATGTATTTAACATGCAATTTTGCCAAGATTTCAGACTGACGTACCATCCTAAAATTACTGCCTCAGAAAATGTCTTATGCTTTCAGTATTGGATGTTACTTTATAGTCGATATATTAGAAGAATCAACTCATGATACTTCAACAATATCCTACGAATCATTCATTTCTATATTTCAGTGCTCACTTTTGAGGAAGTTAGTTCTGATTGTTTTAGAAAACTCTGCTCCTGAAATCCTTTGCTACCTGAGAGCAGCCACCACCTGTTCCCTGTAGTAAGTTCATCATGCTTTTCATTCTCTGGTAACTCCAACATTCAGTGACTCATAGAGGTTTCTTCCACCTCTATAATCATGCTAGATAGAAAAACAAGTAAAAATAACAAAGGTCCATGCATTTTTTTTTCACTCAAACTCAACAGTGACCACACCCAGGGTTGCTCACTTTTTGTTATATGGTAATCATAAATTATACAACAACTGTTCCAATTCAGTGTATTCATTTCTCAAACATTCATCTCTTTCCATACTTGTCTGTTGGTGGCACAATTTGTAGAAGCAGGAAAAAAGAGTATTTTATGACTTTGCTAGCTATGTAGGAAAAAACCACAGTGGCACAAAACTATGTTTCCAATAACCTAGTTTCCATTTTAATGACTTGTATCCTGCCACATCCTCCCTGAGCATGTCTTTTAATAGAATAGATGCACAAAATAAAGATTTTTAAAGCAAATTGGTAAATAATTCATCTTCTATTTTCAACTGCTATTAACTAAGTTAGAATTAATTAAGATGAATTTATGAATTTCATTTGAATTCTGGGTCATTTTCCTCAGATATCATATTTCAGGTCATAAAAGTAAGGTTTTGTAAAATCCAGAACACTTCATAAAAAATCTCAGATAAGACATTAATTCTCCTGTGGAAATTAGAAAGCAATTTCAGTTTTCTGTTTGGGCAAGTTTCCACTGAAGTTCACTATTTATTTTTAATTATTTATTGGTAGTAGGAGTGTGGGATTTTCATGACCCTCTTAAATATATTTCAGCTGGCTTTTTCATGTGTGCCAATTTCCTTTCCAAAAGAAGAATTATCTCTTCTATTAATAAAAACAGAGAAGGATGGAACAAAGACTTTATTTCTCTCATGGACCACTTTGCCTTGTCTGTGATAATTGCCAGAACCTTGGACAGGATGTTACGGACAGATTAGAAATGTTTCTTCTGACTAATAGACATCCAAGCACCCTAGATTTATTACAAATTGGTATTATACCCATAACATATGTAAAAGCCTATTTATAACATTCTTTTAAAAGAAACAAATGCAATAAAAGCATACTAATTGTAGATCACTTCATTGCTTGAAAGGCATTTTTAATCATTTGGAAGACCACACTTTTGTAACTAACAATGTCAGTCTAACTTCCCATTAATTTCAGTGAACTTACTCAAAGTAGGAATAATAGACATAGCTCATTATAGTTACAGGATCTGCTTTCCCCAGCCTGCAAATAGCCTGAACTATAACTCCCATTATCCCCAGGCAGCACAGCCAATGCTGCTGAGATGATGGGAACTGTAGCCCATCACATCTGCAAGGTACCAAGATGTTCCACAGAATTATATTTCATTGTTTCTCTGTCTAGAATTTGAATAGAACAAATTCAAGCATTTGCTAAGCACCCAGTGTACAGGAACTATGGTTTCTGATATATATGAGTGTATGCATTCTCTTTGTGTGATTATCACTTCTGCAAGGCTGGATCTCATGCTACACTGGTAATGTTTGAAACATTTAACTGTCATGGGATCCCAAGCACTTAGCACGTGTATTTTCCTGTGCGGTGGGAACACAAAGTACACAAATAAAAATACCTTTGGGTGTGCTGTATCACCGCTATCAAAATTCACATTGTTAAGCTCTGTGACAAAGTTCTTTTTTTGGTTACATCTTGATAAAACAAACTATGTTGCTGTCTAAAACTGCTCTCAGAGCCTATCATAAAGGATTAATGTAACTACAATATAGAGGTGCAAGCAGTATCCTAAGATCACATAGTGGACAGAAACATCCAGTACTGTCCTCAGAATTAAGATATCCAAGTGGAGGGAAAGTAAGACCATCCCATGGCCCTCAGCAAACCCCACCAAGCTGTCTTCCACTCCTGTAGGGCAAACTAGATGTAACATTTAAAGGTGTAACTAGGACAAGCATCTTTTTTTCTGTTCTTTTTTTAAACAGCATGTACAGAAGACCCTGAAAAGCAAAACAGACATTGCACACAGAAAACTCAGAGTACACTGTTATTGAGTGGACTAAACATATAATTACAAAATTTAAAAATCATGACATCAAAGAAATTTCTAGCATAGAGAAAATGATTAAAAGATTATATGATTTCTTACTTGACAGGAAAATGGAAGAGGAACAGGTTAAGGAAACTGATAACATGGGCACAAAATTTTGGATATAATATTGAATTAGAAAAGTGGCAAAAGCTATGGGAGAGAAATATTAAGGTAACATTAGCAACTTCGTATAAAGAAAATTTATATAAAATGTTTTATAGATGGTATCTGTTGCCAAGTCGATTAGCTAAGATGTTTCCAAATATGTCAAATGGATATTGGAAATGTAAACATAAAGTGGATACTTTTTACCATATGTGGTGGACCTGTGACAATATGAAAAAGTATTGGATTAAAATACATAAATGGCTTGAAGAAATGCTACAAAACCCCTTAGCTTTTAAACCTGAAGTTTTCTTACTAGGCATTATACTGGAAGATATTAGCAAACAAGAAATGTATTTGATGTTACATGTAATCACAGCGGCGAGGATTGCATTTGCTCAACACTGGAAAAGTGAGGAATTACCCACCAATGAACTGATTTTAAAAAAGATTCTGGACTGTGCAGAAATGGATAGACTGACTTTATCACTGAAGGAGAAAGAAGATACTGACTTCTATCAAACTTGGGATCTTTTTTATGATTGGCTGGAGAAACGGGACTTGGCTTAGACTTAAAGATGCTTTTAAGTTATTATAAATTGATTTGAATATGACTATAGAATGTTAAAAGATATGTAGTAGGGGACTGACCCAGTACGTCCGACGTATTTGATGATTGATGTCTTTAGTATTAGTTTAAAATCTTAATAAAATCTTTTTTTAAAAGAGAAATTTCTAGCATAGCCGACATCTAGACATTGTAGTTTTATACACAGGAAGATTTGTTGGCATAGAGAAGTATTTAACACTCCACTTGCAATGCAAAGTAGCATAGTTCAAACAGGTATAGTACATCACCTGCTATTTGTCTGAAGTAGTTCATGGTATGTCTTTGAAAATTTCTCAGAATGTCAACTGGAGGACTGGGAACAACCACCAGCCTGTAGATGAATCTCACTTATTTTCAGAGATTCCTTTCAAAATGACTGCTCTGAAGTTCCCATGTGCTATAGAACCAGACAGAGAAGTCACAGAGGTAAGCAGAAATTTTTGCAGCTTCATTTTATTCAGCTGATGCGACTTGGTTAGTTTAATCCCATCATATTTTGCTGTCTCCTCCAGTTTTTCTTTTTATTGCTGACCTTTACATATGTGTTGGGGAAAACATTATTCCTTTTTCAGCAGCTACTTTTAGCTTCTATCTCACAGATTCCTACGCTCTGAAAGGAAACAGGTCCCTTCATCCTTCCAGCTTACAGTTGATTTAAATGATGTGCCCTTTTCTTTGATGCAAAGACATTTGACTCCTCCAAGATGAAAAAGTTAAACCATTCCATACTGGATAAGGAAGAATGAGCAAAGTAGGAACAAGATGATCTAAGAATTCATTTGGATGTTTTCTATGGTGTGATTGCAAAAAGAAGATTGTGCAACTGGAAAAGGTGCACTAAAAGATGACCAAAATATTTAAGGAGCAAGAGCAACTCCCCTCTGAGAAAAGTTAACAATGACTGGTTTGTTCTGTCCTCAAAAACCACAATAGAAACAACACTGACTGGATTTGCACAATGCAAAAAGTAAACAACAATTTTTTAAAAAAGAAAACCACACACAATTTCTTGCTGTGTTGTCCAAACCCAGTAGTGATTGTCAACCACAATAATACCCAACCATTTGTTCTAGGGTTTCTCCCAATTATGATTTTTTGGTCATTCAAACTTGGACAACACAGCATAGCATGGTAAAGCCCAGAACAAGGGAGCTGTTAGGGAGAGTGTGACCAACAACTGCCCAGTCTGACACAGCTGTCAGTAGCATTTCAGCTCCTCCTACCCCAGATATACTCTTTGGGGTAGGAGAAAATTGCTCCACACTCATGCCTAAGAGGAGGAAACTTCTTGCGAGGGGAAGGGAAGAGAATCAGCAGGATGGAAAATGGAAGACAACACCTCCCAGCTGACTACTCTCCTCATCCCCCACTTGAACCCAAGGCTTCCTCTCAGACAGCAGTGGGGAAATCAGCTGATTGTCGCTTTTCCTTTCTGCAACAGCACCCAGCTGGTTGCCCTAAACCTGAGAATGGATCCAGGTTTCCTCTGGAGCAAGAGACAAGTGTGCCTGATCAGCTTTCATCCTCTTTTCACCCTCTTTTAGGGAATAAGACCCGTTTATATAAAAAAGTCTGCTGAACAACCATGGTGAACCAAAAGTAGCCAATGATCATGGCTGTCAAAGTGACAAGCGTCCACCCTCCATCCATTGTCCCCTGAAAAGGGCTGGGAGGGAAGGAAGGAACCACCATAAGCTTGATCGTCTGCTGGGTTCCTTATAGCTGCTTAGCACTCCATGGCAACCCACTGTGGAAATTTACCATGGTGGTGTTGTAAATGCAGACCTGCACAGTCTGTTATATGGTTTTTACTTATCACAATGGTTTCTTATGATGCCTGGACCTGGAATAGTAGCTTTATCATTCATGGTACTGAAATACCATAGAGTTCAATCGAAAGACAAAGGGGGGCTGTTCATTCACCTAATCTCTATGACCCATGTTTCAAGGAACGCACACGTCATTGCTCACTTTGCCCCTACAGGGTTTGCAGCATTTCCCTTTCCATCCAACTCTTTTTTGTCCTCTTTCCACTTGTTTTCTAGGTGCAGAGAATCGTGCAGCAATGCCCACCAGACTGACCTTGGGAGTTGCACTTTTTCTTGCTATTGCTAATTTTCCACTGTGATTTCCTAAAATTTCACTACCCTTCCTTTCTTGCAATTCATTTTTACGCAGCGTATTGCTCCATCTTTAATAAGACTGTTTCCTATGTAGTTCAGATGGGTGAACATGGCACATTCAAAAGGAGTGTTTTCCTTGAAATACCAGCCCTAGCCTCACCCTTCCTTGTTTACACTCCTCCAGTAATATTTAGTCTACACTGTACCGTGGGAGGGCAACTGTACTCTCCTAGCAACTCCACTCCGCCTCCCTGTCACCTCATCAGCTCTATTTGTGGCACAGTTTCCAGTTTCCCAAAATCCATCCTCTGCACATTCCCTGGTAAATTTTGAGAATTGTTGTTGCTTGAAAGCCACATGCAGCTTTGTCCTTTCCTTAGAATTCCTCTCTGTCACACACAGTGGATACAGGAGCAGATCCTGATCCCCCACCAACTCATTTCTCCCAAAGCACTGCTACCTAAGAAGCAGCCCTGCAGCAATACTTACATGCTGCAGCTGCATCTGCTAGATCGAGGAAGCACCATCCTGCCAGAAGGTGCATTCCCACTTTTGAGCTAAAGCAGAACTGAGCATATTTATCAATCGATGGGCTAGTTCAGAGACATTTGAAACATTTGAAATCCACAAGGAATACCAATTCCTCCCCATGATTTTCTGAGCAACTTGGAAAACAGGGATCCTCTAATTGCCTTGGCAGTGGAAGGATAAATTTCATGCTCTCGAGAAGTTCAAAGAGGCTACACAAGATCTGAGGAGGCCCCAAACCATACAATTCTTTGGCATGTACGCTACTAGATTGCCGGGATGTGACATCAGATTACATTGCTGAAAGCGCAATTGCTCTGTCCCAACCTCTACCTTGTTTTTGTCCCTTGAAGGGCTGCCATTCTCCATCCAGGGAGTCATCATCTCCTACATGCAACAGGTAGATTCTTATCTTGTGTGAGCAAGTACATCAAAGCACTGCTTCAGTATGCAGCATTCCATCTGTCACGATCTCCAGGCCACCTGATGTTCTGCCAACCAAAATATGTTTTCACCTCAGGCCTCCAAGGGGAATAATCCAGGTGGCCAGCCCTTTCTTGGCTCCTCAGCAAGCATGTCACTCCGCTTCAAGCATGAGTTCTCCAGCTATATATTCTGCCAACACCTACCGATGTTCACCCTACAGTTGGACCTGGAGGGATATAGTTGGGATACATACTGCACACAGACCCAAAGGGGGGCAGGTAAAGGTGTTGGGGTTGGTATCTGGGAAATAATATGATCAACTTTTCCCAGGAAAACAGACTGAAATGGAAGGCTTGGGCATTGCGCCTCAACAGACACCCATCCTCTGGCTTTTCCACCCAGACACTTCTCTCCGGAGAAGCAACAGCTGGCTCATTGCAGAATCACTGATCTTGACCAAATGGTGAAGCACAGCCTTGCAAGTATGGGCAGCCATCTGAGAATGTCACACAAGAAACAGAAAGAAGTCTCATTCCACATTTATCATCTCCTGGCAGTGGGGGTGCCTCTCTTTGGACATAAGGGGCTGCTCAATCCACCTGATAATCATCTCTTTGGCATTTTCCCCAAAGTGGAGGCTGGCCTGGATGGCACAAGCCAGGAGAAAGAACCACGGGAGGCAGGAGCAGCATTGGAAATGGGGGAGATTGGTCCACAGATGGGTCAGACAGAAGAGAAGCACCCCAGCAGAAATGTCTTCTTACAAATGTCCAGCTGCTGGAGAAAGGGCCTTGAAGTTTTTTTGGCACATGAAAGAATAGGAAAATGAAAGATAGGTGGTTGACTGCCTGATCAGAGTCCCAATGAGTAACAATATATTCAGCATTCTTTTTGTGCTATCCTTTCTGCTGTCTCCCCACCCACTGCTAAAACACCTCCCCTTTTCCTACTTGTCATTCATTAGAACACTTCCTACCAGACCTTAACATTCCTGAGTATGGGCAGAGGAGGAGATGTGCTTCCACCACTTTGTCAGGCGGCTTGTCAAGGCAAAGCCTTCTGTTTCTGGTTGTGGTGATGCAGACTTGTGCGTCTAGCATGGCTGGAAAGAGAAGGGTGCTCTGTCTTTAAATTACACTGTCACAAACATAGAGCTTCCATACAGGATAAATTATTCAGAAGTCTTTTCACATATACAACTTGAATGAATTTATTTAACGTAATTTCATTCAAAGATGACTTAAGCTCAAACAGCTTTAAATTAAGACTTTTCTGACAGAAATGCAAAAGTGTTATCCATGAGTGCAATACTTTGTCTTGAGATTTATGTTCAAACAGCATGGAGGTCATGTTCATTAGTATTGAAGCAGCTTTTACTGGGCCCTTGGCCCAGCCTTCATTATTTACAAATTAAAATAATCAAGAAAGGAAAGTTTAATCTTTAATCTTTTTGCTTAATCTTGTGTTTTTGATATTCTAGGAATACCAGAAAAGTTTGTAAAGTATATCACAACTGCACACTACTTTAAGAATAGCAGCAAGATTCATGGAAGAGAACATGCATATTGAAAGCCAGTGTTCTTTGACCCTAGACCATCAATAACAGATTTGCATAGCGCCTCATTGCATCATACCTGGCAAGTCAATCATGCAGCAGCATCAAACTGAATTATTCCATATTTCCCAGTGATCATCCATTCAGGTTCAGTATTGGTAAGCTGCTCACCTTGCCCAGGTTTCAACCCAACCTGAATATCACATTTTAGCGTTCTTAAGCTGCAGAGAGGTGCAGGGTGAAAATTGTTCAAGGCTTGATGGAATGGCACCGTAAATTCCCATTTACGGTCACCTAATAACTTTCTATAATTTAGATCACCTTTAAAAATAATTAAATCTGATTTCTGTAATTCAGCATACAAATCAGGAGTAACCTGAGCCATGCAAGAAAATTCATGTGGCAAAGTCCAGAACAAATGATCATGATAAACCCAAGTACCGTTTTTCATATAACTCTCCCAGGAGACACCGCATCTAGACATCCACTTGTTATTAGCTGACTGCATTTGTGTAATCGTCCAATTTATGTCACGCTTTGTAGTATCTGACACATACCAAGGAATACTTTTTCCATGGAAGTGAATTTCGGTAACCAATTTTGAGGATAACAAAAAGTCAGCCAATACAAGGTCAGCAGCAAGTTCAAAACCAGCATTATCCAGGACTATGTCAAGTCTAGTTGCTGCCTCTCTATCCATCTTCTTTTTATTTATAAGCAGTGACCAGAGTTTTTCTGTATGATCCACCAAGACAAAAGATTTTAGCTCTTGCAGTGCTTGTAAGGGGTCAGCTTTCTGAGAATTATCTGCTCCTCCTGAAATTGACAAGTCACACTTATTGCCCCACAGTGAAACCTGGAGAGGAAGAAGAAAATACACATTACATTTTATGAGGTGGGAAATCCCTTGCTCTAGGATATACCAAACACATTTAGACTAACATCCAACAATTTGTGTAAAAGGACTGGAATCCTGATTATCAGTATTTTGGTAGGTAAGGTACATAACCAGCATATTGTGTGGATTTTGAGCACTGCTTCAAACAAAATGGATGTGATTGCAGGGAACAGTGTAAGGTGAGCTGGAAGGCTTACAGAATCCCAACTTGTCTAAAAATATTTAGATAACAAGGACAGTCTCTGAACATTTATTGGAAACATGATACTCCTAATGGTTGACATTAGGTCATTTTTGTGAAATAGAAACTTAAACAGCTTTTATAATTCAAGAATATGTATAACACATTACATATTTAAGCAGTAAGGATTGCTAATTTTACCTGAATCAGCTTAAAAAATTCTTCCTTCAGACATTTGTCATCTAGGTCCTTTATATTCTTCAATAGCTCTTGCAGGTAAGTACTTAAAACAATAATAGCTTGCTGAGAGTTAAAGAAAGCATGAACCTTTTCTTCTTTAAATACATCGAAGTCACCGATAGGTGGACTAAACAGAAGAGTGAATGGGGAACACATTATTACATTAGTTGTGGACATCATTAGATGCTGGAAGACACCTGCATGTTGAACAACCTGCCCCTACACCATAGGATAGCTTATCCCATGTCATATTGTCTATTTTTAACCTCTTCTTCAAACAATGTTTTGCAGTTGGCAGGGCTAGAGAATACACAGCATAATATAATATTATCTATATCCAGGAACAAAAGGAAATAATTCTAACCATTTTCCCCTTTATGATTTCAATGTACAGTGGTTCCTTGTACTTCGAACTTGTTTCAGGAGTGTCTTTAGTTGTGTTATCAGTGCAACTAAAGAAACGCACGAAAGAGGACTTCCAGAACTGCTTCTGAAAGTGGCAAGAATGATGGGGTAAGTATGTTTGAAGTGAGGGGGAGTATTGAGGGCCAATAAACCGAAGCTCAATCCAGACAAGACGGAGGTCCTGTTGGTTGGCAGATCGGGCTTTGGTGAGGGTGAACTGAACCTAGTCCTGAATGGGGTTGCACTCTCTCTTAGGGACAAGGTCCGCAGCTTGGGAGTGCTCCTCGACCCAGAGCTTTCACTGGAGGCTCAGGTGACAGCGGTGGCGAGGAGCGCGTTCTTTCAGCTTCGGCTGATCCATCAGCTGCGCCCCTACCTGGAGAATGACTGCCTGGCGACAGTGACACACGTGTTGGTGGACTTCCCGCCTTGACTTCTGTAACGTGCTCTATGTGGGGCTACCCTTGAAGACGGTCCGGATACTTCAATTGGTTCAAAATAGAGCTGTCAGGCTGCTGACAGGGACTGGGCGTTATGTTCACATGACTCCAGTCCTCCATCAGCTTCACTGGCTTCCCATTGAAGTCCGGGCCCAATTCAAGGTGTTGGTTATGACCTATAAAGCCCTAAACGGCTTGGGTCCTGGTTACCTGAAGGAGCGCTTACATCCATATATGCCCGCCCGCCCCCTGAGCGGGAGAGGCCCTTCTCTGGGAACCCTCCATGAAGGAAATTAGGAGGGTGAGTACTCGGAGGAGGGCTTTCTCTGCGGTGGCGCCCAATCTATGGAATGCGCTCCCCAGAGAGGTCTGCCTGGCGCCGTCGTTATTTGTTTTTCGGTGCCAGGCAAAGACCTTTTTATTCAAACGTCATTTTAACTGTTAATAGTATTTATTTATTTTATTCTTTGGCCAGGGCGACTTATTTTATATTGTTAATTGATTTATGTTGTGAGCTGTCCCGAGGCTTTGGCGAATGGGGCGGCATAGAAATTTTCTATATATATATTTTTTTTCTGAGGGGAATTAATGGCAATATGTCTTTTACTGTAATATATTTTTTTAACTTGGGTGCACAACCAATAACGTTTTCACTGGGACCGCATTCTTTTTGCTCACAGTTCAGACACAGAAGCATGGTTCAAACTGTGGTGTGATTTTATCTTGATTATCTAATGTCTGAACTTTGGATAATTTGAAGTTAGAGTCATTTGAACTACAAGGCACCACTGTAATCTGATATGATTCCACACACAGTCTTTATCCCTGAACTCTGGATAAGCTTTGGTACTGGCTATGTTTGAACAATGATATCTCAGCATGATGAGTTGAGGTCAGGATGAGCCTTTTGGCTGTGCTCAGAACCTCGTCACTTCAGTGCAGAAGCCAGAGAACCATTTGTTAACTATAGTTCTTTGTTTTTATCTATAACCCTGTTTGCGCATGCTATGAAGGCAAACTTGAATAAAATGTGGGACTCATCCACATCCTGGAAAGTTGACCTTTGACCTTTAATTTTACTTTTAAGGGAACTTGACTTAGCATTATGTTTAACCTGGATTATGGGTCAGTTTAATAATACATCAGGTTCAAACCATGGTTTATGAAGCTACTTTATTAAATTAGCCAGAGTTTGTTTTGAGCTGGGATTTAAACCTAACACCAAACCAGGATTCCTTAAAGGTGAAATCAATTTCTGGCAAAGTCTTTCCCATGACCATGTGAAATGGGGAGTAAGACAAAGTATGCAAGTATGATGCTGCATTCAGGCTTATCTTCATTGTGCAAAACCATAATTTAGCATTATATGAAAAAACCTATGATTAAAAGCTGTGGAATATGCAATGATAATCAACCATGATTTCATATTGGTTTTAAGATCCTTGCTTACTTTGGAGTTGTTAACATATCATCATCTGTTTGAAAAAACCTTAAAAAGTATAATTAATGGAAAATTTGCTTGGCTTGTTTGCTGGCTGACAGAAATGGATGACCAAAGTGGCTGCCTGTGCAGTAAGTTTTTAAATAAATAAATAGGCTTATTAAGTTAAAGTATGTTTCTCTGAATGTACTTAATGTATAGACTATAAAGGTGGTTTATAAATTATGTAAGCAACAAGAACTTAATAGTAATCCTGAATCCGGTCATGAGTCCACCTATTCCAGCTTTTACAGAAGCCAACCAGCCGGCTATAAGAACCTCACAAGCAGGACAAAAAGTGCAATAGCACCATCACATAATAGTAAGTGCTTTTAAAATATCTTTCAACTATCTTTCAATTTTTCAACTGTTTTCATTTGGAAACTAGCTTTAGGATTCCAAATTCTTAAATTAGAAATTCTAAAATCCCATAAATTTATGGGATTCTAAATTTAAAGTAGTCAACATTTTTCATGCAATGTTTTACTTCGAGCCTAGACTTACTTTCCCAATTCCCCAATAAATGGTAACTATACAAAACAGCTGACGCTACATGTACTTACTGTAGAACAATTGCTTCATGGATTCTACGATACATATAACACTCTGTATATAACCAAGGAGATTGAAACCAACTTGGTGGTTGATTTGATAAATTTTGATGATATTCAAGGTACTGGTTCCACAGAGTGATATCGGGGAGATTATCATTCATTGCAATCAATGGTTTGTCTGTCTGCAGCTCATTCCGTAATTTGGAGAGATAAGCTATAGCTTTCTTCTCTGCTTCAATACCTTTCTAAAATAAAGTGGAAAATAAATGCTTTCAATCCAAATGTATGTTTACTGATAAACTTTTGTTTTCCAGAAAATCATATTTGATACATAGAATACTTTAAGCACAACACCTACAAGGTTAGAGTCACATGCCAAGAGTTCCCATTAAAAGCACATAACAAACAGTATCAGAAATAAGCTGAATAACCAGATAAATTGTTACTTGAGTATGCAGTGGATATTGAAAAAGTTTCTTGTGCACTGAAGTTTCAGAGTACAAGAAACAACCTTGCAAATCAAAAACATATATAGGATATATGTGGGGCATTTTGTGCTTTATAAGTCTTAGGATACAATCCTGTGGCCACTAGATACTGAGTAGAGGGCCATAAGATAGGTTTGCGTTCCAGATCTGACTTCAGAAATGTAGCTCTGACACCACAAATGAGACTGTGGAGCTGGCATTGGAACCTTGCATCAACCCGGTAGTGCCTCGTCCCCTCCTCCTCACAAGTGGGGCAAAAGCCATCGGGGTCCAAATCAGCCACCTGTGTCTTTTGCAAGGTGAAGCATGAAGGCCATTCTTGCTGCTGTGCATATTCAGATGCCATACACCTTTTAGCGTGGAGAGTTACGGGCAGCCACACTGGATAGGACCCTTGGTCAATCTGAGACAACCCTCTCCTTGTGTAATATCCAATAATCCTTACTCATTGGGCAAGAAACTTTATGTGTGGGAAATTAACTTGGGTTATTTCTTTCACCATACTACTGTTTGTATTAACTTGAAATATTTTTATTAAATACATTTTTCTCCTGCCCAATAGCCTGAAGGCTCTCTGAATTTGGATAGCAATGTATAAATAAGACAGTGGTAGCATTAAAAAGAATGGGTTGTATCCAAAGCTAGTTCTACTTAGTTTAGACTTAATGAAATGAATAAGAGTCAGGTTAGACCAACATTGGATTCAACCCTGAATAAAGAAGTAGTATTCTCAAAGCTCTAGAGGTCATGCCATCACAAAAAAAGAAAAAAAGAAGAAAAAATCCATCTCAATTTGGATCTGTCTTAGATGAGAGGGCAAATTTAAGATTTCTAATTTAAAAACTTAATAGCATTTAACATTATGTGGCTTCTGTACTCCTAAGGCACTGAGAAGATTTACTAGCACCAGCTATATTCCCCTATTCTTCCTCTGAATGAATTTGTATCTTCATCATCACTATATCTAATAGCAACCCAGCTGCTGAACACTGACAGGATTAGCCAAATGGAAAAGAATGAGAGTGAGAGAAACTTATTAGCATGACTAGGAAAAATACAACATTTGCAAGTGTATAAACAAAGGGGGACCTCCTCCAACCGGCCAGTGAAGACTAAGCATCCCCAGTCAATGCAAAATACTGGATGAATGGAAGGAAAGGGGTATGGCTGGCTTGCTATCAAAGAGTGGGTATCCCACCAGTCCCTTCTGATATTGATCTCAAGCAGGTGAACACTTATCAGTTTGAAAGCAAGTTAGGATCACCCAAATATAAGGTAGTGGTTTCTACATGTCTGGGAGAAGCCTTACATACACAAATGTAATTTTGTGCTTAAAAAAAAACTTCTTGAAATTTCCCAGACACTGCCTGACAAGAAGCTAGGAGCCAACAGAATGTGAATGAAATGCAAACCTACAAAGGCAGAAAGTGAAAAGAGAAATTGGATAGATTGTGTGAGATTAAAAATCAAGTCTGAGAGTTTGAAACTCCACTGAATCCCACACAAACAATAAAAGAAAACTAGAAGGCAACATGTAAAGATGGAAATGACATGCTCAAGCCCTTGATAGTTTATACCAAGGCAGTCCAACATTTTGTACCTAGAGGGCCACATGGGGACTTCATCACAGAACCTGGGGACTGAACAATGAATTACATTTCCATATTCTAAAAAAGTGTCTGCAATGTATTTATTTAATGTACACAATATACTTAATTAACCATTAAATGACAGAGAAAACCTATATGAGGTCTCAGAGTTGGTTTTTCTCTGCCAAGATCACAGGCAGCTCCTTCTGCAACCAGAGCCCAAGCACAATGACCACTCCTCTGGGGTGGCCCATCCCTTTCTTTCCTCTTTCTCCTGCCCAGAAACTCTCCCATGGGACCCCTCTGGTCCATCCCTTCTTCTTGGAATTGCTGCACTGAGTCTCTTGTACTTGAGTGGATGAACTCTCCCCAGCATGCCCTGCCTGCGTCTGCTGATGAGCGCAAAGATGCTTAGCCTCAAAGTGCCTTTGTACTGGAGCAGCATGGAGCACGCTGGGGCAAGCTCTCACAAGGCAGCTGCAATCATGAGTATGCTATCACTGAGATGTGGACTGCAGGTGGTACAGGGGGGCTCCAAGCAGGTGCCATGGGTTGGACCACTCTGGTTTATGCTAAGTCTCCTGGAAGGGTGAGTGTAAAACCTGTAATGGTTTCTGTAGATGAGAACAAATGGCAAACAATGGTTTCTGTAAAGATGAGAAAGACTGTCAAGGTAAGTTGAAATAAAAAGAGCATTCAGTAATAATAGTCAATGGCCCATACTAAGAGGCTGTAGAAACTGTAGAAAGTTGAGATATTAATCAGGGGAAAAAATAAAGGGAGATGCTTGTGCTCCTAAAGACTTGGTATTAGCATTGAGTAGATGTGTACCACGAGGTTAAAAACACCCTCCTCCCTACATTGTATGAGAAAATTTCAGAGGCATGGAAGGAAAAAGGACACATTTTCCAGTCTCCAGAAGTCTGTCCTGCATATTCACAATTACACAGAAGCAGTGCAGTCAGGGTTGAAACTAGCAGCAGCCCTGAGCTTTTATGCTACACAGAACAGAAAGAGTAAGGGCGTTCCTTTTCTTTGTCTCCTACAGAAGCCTACCACAATCAGTAAGATTTAGCAAGTTCTACAAGATTCCTGTTCCATTTGGGCTGATGCTCCAAACAGCTTTTGTTGGTTGTTGCCAGATGTTTTTCTATACTTACTGGCTTCTTCAACTTATGGAAACCAAATACCAGTCAGGTACAAACAACAATAGACTTTAGCATGGCTTAATGTTGCAGAGAAACATCTGGCTCCCAGTTGCAACAGTCCCTTCACACAGGCTATACATAAGTTGGGGAAAAGCTTTTTGCCAAGCTTTTCACTATCCTAATAACACTTTCTTGGTCTTTCCCCTGTATTTTAAATCTTCCTCTGCTAAAATTTTTCAAATATTAAAATATTCTGTTTCCAGAATGTTTTTTTTTTTTTTTTTTTTGTTTCCAGTACTTGGCTTTCATACAGTATTTGAATTTCCTAAGTCATAGTTTAAGCATTCTTTAACATGATAATGGTGATAGTTGGTCAAAATCCAGAGGAAAAAATGAAATACTTTCTTTGCGATCCTCAGCTGTAACACACAAGGGTCAGAATCAACACCTCACAGTCTTTTAGTAAAAGAGGAAAGAAGAAGGAAATAGAATGACAAAAATTAGGGCAAAGTGTTTTATTTATTTATTTATTTAAAACTTTTCTATACCGTCAGCTACCAAATGGTCTCAGGACAGTCTTACAATAAAACAAAGTGGAGCACAGCATCCATTCTATACAATGAAAACCCACTTAAAATCTCAGGCTAAACCTTAAAATACCAGGAAAATAAAAAGGATTTGGCCTGGCGCCAAAAAGAATAAAGTGTCACAAAACGTTAAACTTTACAACATAAAATATATTGACAAAAGGACAAAACAGCTTGCAAAGGTGGAGCAAGGAATTGTACTGATACTGAAACATGTAACTGAGCTATAATCAAAATAAAATGTAACTACAGAATGAAGAGTTTCAAAGTAGTGACTGGGCAAAAAATGCCAAACAAAATACATTACACATGAATAAAAAGCAAAGTGCATGGGGACAAAAATCCTATATTTCACATATTTGCTCATGCTGCCAAAACTGGCAGTGACTTACCAGGAAAGAAATCTTGGGGTTCGGCCAGACAGAGCAATGAAAACACTGATGCATTTAAGTATGAAGATATTATTAGGGAATGGACAGAAAAAATAAACCTGCCAGTATCAAAATGCCCTCATATAAATCTATTGTGCTGCCAGAGCTATGCATTTGAAATATTTGGGTGACCCCCTCGCCTCCTCAAACGAATATTGTACAACAGGAAAGGGGTCAAGATAGGCCAACCAAAACAATCAAGAGAATTTACTTATCTTCCTTAGGAAAAGAGACTAAAGCATTTCAAATTGTTTTTAATTAAAAAAAAAACTGGTATTATTGAGGTTTATCTAAGTACACATTGAAATGAAAAAATAGAGAAGAGAAAGGTATCTCATCCTCTTGTGATACAAAAACTCAGACCTTATCCAGTGAACTTGATGGGCTGCAGCATAAGAGCAAGCAGAAGAAAGCATTCATTTATACTGTCTATGACCATCAGATTAGATGGCTTAAAAGGAAATTACAAACATTACTGGGTTATTCAGTACACACTAGGCTGCAATTTTATAGACACCTACCAGAGATTAAGTCTTACTGAACTTGATGGTACTTCATTCTAAGTAGGCATGCATAGGAATGGACTGCCATATACAGTGATATCATGCCCTAAAAGCTAGCTAGCAGCTACTGCCTCCATCACATCTGGCAGGCTAATTTGGAGGCAAGATGTTAACGATGAATATTTTTCAGTCTGACAGGGATGCTTGTACATAGTTAAGAAAATAGAAAAAGTTATCTCTAAGCATGCAGAAATAATTATAGAGGTTTATTGGCAATCCTAGAAACATTGAAAGAACAGTGGTAAAAGAGAAAGGGTCAAAGATAATAATTTCTTACTTCTCCATATTCTTCAAAGAATTCATTTTTATGACGATGTAGAGTATCAATAACTTTGGTCAGGATAAGAGGCATCCTGTCTTTAATTGTATTATATGCAAAAGATCTACAAAGAAAAAAACATTATTTTAGGGTTATAAATAACCACTTCATCAAAACTGTCATCAGGCGACTAAAATCTAGAAAAAAGCAATCTTCATTCAAAGAATAAATCGCTGTAGTTGGATATCATAAACATTATTTTGTTTGTTTTATTTATAAACATTATTTACAGCAGAACAAGCCTAGCCTAGGCTTGTTTGTTTCCTACTATAGTTGCAAGGGAGATTTTTAAAATGGATGCAAAAGGTTCTAAAAACAAACTGCAGATTGGCTTGCCATCTGATGTGTCAACAAGCAGTGGCTAATCATAATTTTGGTTTATTTGAAACAAGCCAACTTCAAACCAGAGATTATAAAGCTGACTTCTTTCAAACAAACCAGTTAGGATTCACAACAGTTGAGGATTTGGTTGTAATACTAATTATATATAGCTGAAATCATGAGAAAGCTTCTGATTTTGTCTTGGTGGCTGTGATGGAGCAAAGGGATGATTGTGTAAGCCCAGGTAGAACAGCTGGACTCATTCCCATCATGATAAATTAGGTTTATTACTACGTATAAACATAGCCCCTTCTACACCCCACAATTCATTTCATGTGCACTCAAATTCCCAATGGAAACTGATTATCTTATTGGTGCTTCATCCATAAAAGCTAGAAGAATTTGGTCCTATCAGTCAACAAATTTGCTTACTAAAGCTACTTTGTGTATTACTTCCTAACCAGAGAAAAGCAAGAAATGTTATTTCATGAGTTACATTCTGGGTCAAGTTTTGTTTTCTTATTGTTGCAGTTTATCGTGAAAATATATGCATGCTGGTTTACTGCATCCACAGCACACTTGCACTGTTAGGCAGTCCTGCTGTTAACCTCCAGAGGTGAGAAAACTCATTTTGGGTGCAATCCTGTCAGGATGGCTGTAAGCAGTTGGCTTTGGAGGCTTACAGACTTCCAGTGCAGCAGGATGGAGCAGCAGAGATGGTCTTTGGCCCCCCCTCCTCCCATTTTACATTAGCACTAGAATTTTTCACCTGCCTAACTGGGGTGCTTCCGAGAGGAAGAAGTCAGATATTCTCGCTGCTCCAGTCATGTCTCCACTCCTTCCCCCGCCTTCTACCTTTCTCAAGGTCCTTTCCTGACCTCAAAGGGCAGCTCTTGCAGTCTCTACTGGCTGTAAGGGAGTGCGGGGCGGGGGGGAGTGGTTCCCAGCTCTGAGGCTGGCACACTGTCCTTCACCTCAAAGCTGGGAAGCCAAACTAGGCCATTGCCTCTTGCCAATGTCTAGAGGCCACATTGCCTCCAAAAGTCTACTTAAATGTTTAAGCTCTCCCCGCTTTTAAAATGCCTGCTTAAAATTAATCTAAGTACAAGCATGTTAAATCTATAACTATCTCTTATGACTGATTCAGTGCTGCCCTGACCAAACATATCCCAGCCCATTCACACATAACAGCTAAATCATTCATTTAGCAAATAATTAATCAAGATTATCTGGCTGTCACAAACAGGTTCAGGACTTATACTCTCTGTTCCCTTTGTATGCTCAAATAAATTCCTTGATTTCCTGATTTCTGGCAAGCCATTGTTTATTACATGTTAAGCGAAATAAACTATAGTTTGCCCCCAACCCCAGAATTAGAAACCAGCTCAAGCTATGACTTCTGATTTGGAGGAAAACCATGGTTAACCCACAGGCAGTATATTAGAGCAAGACATGGTGGTCTTCAAGTAAGGAAGGAATCATAGTATAAAAGATAAGATGGGAACATGCGAACTTCAGGAACCATTGTAATAGCCAAACTAAGTAGTCATTTAGTTGGAACCAAGTCATTGTGCTAAAGGCTACTTTTCTGTGCAAAGAACCACAGGAAAGAAATAGCATAAAATGTTAGTAAAAATAATACAAATATCCAATATATATTTGGCCTACTAAGTAGTGCAAACATTAATACTGATATGTTTAGCATGTTTTAGTGGTTAAATTAACTAGTAAGAGAGCCAGTGTGGTGTAGTGGTTAAGAGCATGGGACTGGGACTCAAGACGTTCTGGGTTCTAGTCTTCGCTCAGCCATGAAGCCAGCTGAGTGTCTTTGGGCCAGTCACAGACTCTCAGCCCAACCTACCTCACAGGGCTGTTGTTGTGGGGATAAGATGGAGGAGGAGAATGATGTAAGCTGCCTTGAGCCCTTTGTAGGAAAAAGGCAGGATATAAATCAATCAATCAATCAATCAATCAATAAAAATTATTCAATAAATGTGTAACAATCTAAGAACTCAGGTTACATATTCAAAGTGCCATTCTAACTGACAAAGCATGGGTTAAACCCACAATTTGCTGCCTTTGTATATGAAGTGGATCATTTTTTAGTTTTTAGTTTTACTTCAGACTTCTGCTTCCTTTTTATTCATCTCGCTTGTTCTCAGCCACTTCCTTTTCCAAATGTCTTTGAATTTTCTTCTTCTATATCTTAAACCCTCATTTCTGAGCACCAACAGTCAAAGATTCAGAAACCCTTGCCTTTCCCCCCTCATCTCCTGTTACTAGCTGCACAGAATCCTTCCTGTTCCTAAAGCTCTAGATGGGTTTCTTAGTAAAACTGTTTTTCCATTCATCTTACAGATGGTGGCATATGAACATCTACTACAAACAATTTTTTTCCAAACAATTACTCATCAACGTTTCGTGGTATCACAGCAGCTTACAACTGTAACTTGCTGAATATGTTGGGGGGGCATGTAACACCCCCCGCCACCAATAAAGGTGTAATTTGGGACTACATATCTCAAGCTACCACCATGGTAAGAAACTTGCAAGGGTGACTCCAATGGAGAACATAACATGATACAACAGGTGAGCTGGTGTTCCACAGGAGAATCACTCTTGGACTGGGGAAATCGAGATTTACAGTGGGAGCCAGAAACTGGCAGGGCATGCAACACAATGGCAGTGTAGGAGTTCATTCTTCACATTTTCAGGCTGGAAACAAAGCTATCCAGGAACAGTATATGTGCTGGAAAAATGCAGGCTGCATTTGAATAGGCTTACACACCTGTAACTCTGCTCAGAGTCAGGGCGGTAGGCTTCTAAAGTCCGCTACAAATGGCGCACCCCGGAAGATGTCCTTATACTACCGGGCACCTTCCGCCTTTCACTTCTTCCCATTAGCAGCGCAGTGTTAATAACGTATGTTTAGAAACTGCGCCCGCTGACTTCAGAGGGGCTTTAGCTCTTAGGAAATGCATGCAGACGTGCACAAAAGCCTGCACAGAATGTCGTGCGAGAAAGGAAAAGACCCACCACTTTGGAAGTTTGCCTTAATGCGAACGTGACCCCGGAGCGGCCACGAATCAGAATAAAGCGAGAGCCAGAGATTAAGAGAGGTGGCCGCGCAAGAAAACCCCTTCCTCATACTAGCACCGGGTCCTTTATCCCAAGCAGGCAGAGAAGGGAACGCGCGTACAACGCCTGACGCAGCCTCGCGGTATTCTACGATTCGAGGCCCCCACTTCGGGCCGATGACAAGCCCCCTTCCCTCCCCCCATGCCAAGATGCCACGACAGCACAGCGATGGCAACGGCAGACGAGACGCACCCCTTAAACTTGCCCGCAAGCGAAGCCGGCAGCGGTGTCGTTTGCATCGCCATTTTACTCATCGTGGTAACATTCCGGCACGCGACACCGTGCCGGAGATGCGCTGTTTCCCCAGCCTGGCCCACGCTCATTGGTTGACTCCCGCACAGCGCCAAAAAGGGCGTGGGCCGAGCGAATCAGCCTCTGTCGTAGGTGGGAAGAGGCGGGGCAGACAACCCAGAGACGGAAGTCCAGGCGAGGTCACCGGGAAGGGGGCGGGAGGCGGCGGGAACCTCCGCGCGCAGGTTCCTGGAGGGAGCCGGCTGAGGCCGCGGGAAGGGGCGCAGGATCCGCGCCGCGGGCCCTTCGTGGAAGGGGGCCGCGAGGCTGCCCGGCGCCGCGTACTGCCTTCCCGCAGAGGTGAGCTGGGCTTCCCTGCCGGGCCGAGTCGGAGCCAGCATGATGAAGGGCTCTGGCGCGTGGACCTAAGCCTCGTGGGGAGTGGATTTCATTTGAGGCCCGGGCAGGCCTCAGATGGAGCGAGAGGGGGTGGTATCCCCGCTCCCTGAAGGACTGGGGTGATCACCTGTGAGAGGAGGCTGACCAGTTCCTTCCGACCCTAAGCGTCTAGTTTTAGGCGACTGGCGGGGGCCATGATTGGGCTAAAATGGGCAGGGGTGTGGATTTCATTTTGGACCCTGTTTCATGCACCATTGGTGCACTGATGCTTGAGAGGGTTTTGAACAGACTTGGCTGTAGACGCAATTGGTTTTTGTTGTTAATTGTAAAACAGTGATTGTGGGTTGGAGTTGAAATTACTGTTTTGTAGTGTCCCTGATCCTTCATATAAGTTAAGTTCCAGAAAAATGATGTTATGGCACTGTTATTCTTCATTCTTCACTATTGGTCATTCTACTGAATTCTAATTCCTCAGAATTCAGCTTTGAAGCTTTTTTTGTGGGGGGTAACATCTACATGAAATTATTGGATGAGGTTGCTTAAGAATTCGTAAAGATACAGTGTCAATAAGCTGATGGCATCCAACCTTTTTCCCTCTGTATCACATTCAGGTGTTGTGGTGGTCTCTCTGAACAAAACTCTGAACTCAATAATGAACTAGATCAGCCAGCTCTGATCTGTTGTTTTGCAGTACTGCTCCCAGAATTCCTATCAATTGGCTATGCCGACTGGAGCTGATAGGAGTCTTAAGTTAAAATATCTGGAGGGCACCAGGTTAGGAAAAGCTTGACTAGAAGAAAGTAAATTAAGCTCAATCCAGGCAAGATAGAGATATGGTTGGGAGAGACACAGTCATCCAACTGGCTAGGAATTCCAGGGCCAGGGAGCAACTATGAAGAAGCTTCCTTTCAAGGTTTCTATGTAGAAGATGTTAGCACTGATGCTTGCTTTATAGTTCTCAAAAGTGAATTTTCGTCTATAGAGACCACATGTTTCTTCTTCACAGCCAAAATGTTATAAAATAAACATACAGAGTGGAGCAAAAGACCTAAATTCCATTGCTCCTTTACAAATCTGTGCACACAGAATCAACCACTTACCTCTTAAGTGCCAAGTGTCAAAAAAATCCAATGACTAGAAGAAGAATGTTGGGAGTGGAATAGATCTGCTCAAGAAGCTAAGCAGGAAGAGGGAGAGGCAAGCAGTAAAAATGAAAGTGAAACATTTAGCAGAATGCTCCACAGTCTTTGGGACATTTCAGGTATAGACTGAGGTTTATCATATGATTCTTTCCCTGGAAAAGAAAAGCGATAATGGTAGCAGGCCCCAATGGTAGCAGTTTGGGTATATTTTAAAGAATTTTCTCTATGAGTAAGGCAGGCATGTGTGCGAATTATGTAGAAAATCATGATTTAAACCTCTAGTCTTACTGATTACTAGTGATTTACATCCTGCTTCCAGTCACTGCTAAAATCTTGGGATTCAAGTTCAGGGTTGAATACAGGAGTACAAACTTGACTCTCCATGTGGAGTACAACCTCATCCAAGAGACACGGAACCCTTTTTCCATATAATTCAATGAATTTTAACCCAACTTCTGTGCTTTATGATATGCAAGTAAAGTTATCTTCCAGCTGTCATTCTTTCCAGACGTCCAATGTATTAGAAGTGCAGGGGGGTGAGTTGTATGGGTGCCCCAGGGTTACTAAAAGTCCTTTTCTCCCTGGGAAGTTTGATTGTTCTGCCTTGTTTTTTGTTTGTTTTTACATTTATGCACCATCCATCAGGCACAGAGGCTGTCTGGGAGGTTCATAACTTTAAAATACACAACAACAGAATAAGAAACATCCTAAAACACACTGGAGAGCCAGTGTGGTGTAGTGGTTAAGAGCACGGGACTGGGATTCAGACGATCTGGGTTCTAGTCCCTGCACAGCCATGGAGCCAACTGGTGTCTTTGGGCCAGTCACAGACTCTCAGCCCAACCTACCTCACAGGGTTGTTGTTGTGGGGATAAGATGGAGGAGGAGAATGATGTAAGCTGCCTTGAGCCCTTTGTAGGAAAAAGGCAGGATATAAATTGAAAAATAAATAAATTAATAATCATCATCATCAAGCAAAAATAATACATTGAATGAAATGGCACAATAAATCCACAGCAATGGGGTTTATCTCCTTTAGAATAAAAAACAGTATTTTGTTCCACCATGCATTTTGGAGGAATAAAAGTAGGGATCTAGTAAAATAAGTAGATCACTGAATAATGGTTGCCTCTGCTGCCTTTTTGTCTATACCTAAACAAAAATCTATAAGATTAATGGAGGCAGAAGCCAGCGTGTTGGAGCAAACTCTTCTGTGAAGGAAAAACTGTATATGTTGAGAAATCCAGCAGTTGCTGGGGAGGGAAAGGAAATGGTGTGAGTGGTGATCAAATATAATGATTTTCTCTTAAAGCAGAGTTTCTGAAAAGTATTTGTATTAGGGTTCCCCATCTCAATTCAGTCTATCCCACCCTGGTTTAACCATCTGTTTTTCAAAGTGCATAGATCTGTACTCACACCCATGTTTTTGCAGCCTGAAGCTAGGTAAAAAGAGCAGTAGTTCTGCCATCTACCATAGAGAATCTCTGTAAAGTTACAGTACCAGACCTCATGAGCTGGGCTGGGAAGAAAATTATCTACCTAGAATTTAATTTCCTCTAAAAGCAAGGGTGTTTGCATTTGTGTGCAATTTTAGGCACAGCTCACTGCAATCCCAAACTTTCACTGGTGGGCCATGAAAGGTCTCACTGCTTCAGGACCTCCCTGTTACCCCCATAATTTTACTGCCGGAGTCCTGATTATGTTTCAAAGCATAATCTGAATCTCAGATCTAAACAGTACACTCAGACCAAAGTAGCATAATAACCAAAATGATCCAATGCATGGTATGTGGGCTTTGGCTTGTTTAGTTTACTAGTGAGTGTTGCTGAACTGGCATTGACTTCTTACTATTATATTTAATTTTATTATTTTATTTAAAGGTCTTGTATACTGTTCTTTCGCAGACACTCCAAGGACAATATACAAATAATATTGTTTGTTAAACAGTGTACAAACAACATTCTTCTACATTTGTATTTATATCCCACCTTTTTTGCTCTTGGGAGAAATCCAAGGTGGCTTCCATAGCTCCATGTTATCCTCATAACAATACCAACCCTGTGAGGTAGGCTGGGCTGAGGGTTTGTGGCTAAAAATCACCCAGTGTGTTTCATGGCTTCCATAATATTTGTGTCTTAGCTCACAACAGACTACAGCAAGTTGTGTGGTTTTTTGGTATTAAAAGGAGAGAATAGGAATTACAATGGGAAAAGTAAAGTTGCCTTTTCCATGTATAGTACAGTGGTACCTTGGCTCACAAACTTAATCCGTTCCACGACTGTGGTCGCGACCCAAATTGGTTGCAACCCAAGTCAAATTTCCCCATAAGGTTCAATGTAAATAAGGCTAATCAGTTCTGTAACCATTTTTTAAATCACAAACAATTGAAACAAAGTGACAAAGAACAGCATAGATCACGGCCATCTCCCCCCCTGAGCACAACAGCAATCACCCCCCCCCCGAGCACGATTGCGGCCATCTCCCCCCACCAGCATGACTGTGATCGTCATCCAATGCGGAGTTCATGACCTGAGGCAAAATTTTTCTGAAATTTCTGTTTGCGACTCAATTTGGTTGTGAACTGAGGCATTCATGATCCAACGTACCACTGTATATTAGAATAATTTCAATGTGGTGTTTAGTTTTATCAATAGGTGGGTGGGGGAAGGAAATGGAACATAAATTAGCATTTATTTTTAGTTATCCAGTATGATACATAAAGTCTGGTGTCACTCACTGAAGGAAAAAGAGAACACATCCACTTCAGAAGACATTTATTTACAGTAGTCCTTAAATGAATAGTAGGTCCTCCACTGAGAACATTCTGGAATACTGACCTTTGCTTGTTTGAATTGACACTATGAAGAAAGGCACTTTTCTTTGCTAGAAATTTACAAGACTTGAAAGTGTTTGGGGGAAAATATTCTGCGTATTTATGTATCAAACCCTATGTTTGACCATTATAATTGCTGGTGTGAATAAAATAAATTTATTGTTCCTGTCTCCCTGCTTGTTTCCTTTGAAGCTGAGCCTACAAAATACTCAAATGTGACTGACTTGCAGTACTAGCTGCAGTGTAGATCTTTCTGTAAAATGATAATATTCATTTTGAGAAAGCTAATATTCTGTAACTCTCTCATTCAGGTCACAGTGAAAAGATGGCAGCTAAACTACTGAGATTCCTGGCTAGATCTACACACAAAATAAGCCAGTGTCAACACTTCTGTAAATATGGGCACGTGACATCAAGCAGCAGTTTTCAAGGGTCGCCAAGCAACTCAGTATTAGCAAATAGATGTATCAATCTGTGCATTCCAGAGGCAAAAGCAGAAGCCATAGATTGGCGCAGACTCCAAGCTAATGTTACTACTGTAGGAAAGACTGTGCATCCTTTGATTATGAGTATTTGTCCTCCATCCAGGGAACAATTTTGTGTTCTTAAAAATGCATGCTACAAGGGCAATTCCAAACGTATAAGACTTACTGTTATACCAAACAGGCATTTTTCAGTTTTATCCACTAGTAAAATTGTGCCAACCCAAGGTCTGGTCTCAGGGAAAAGGCCACCGAAAGCATCTAGGACCAAGCAGCCTTCTAGAGCTAATCTACCACTACCTTCTGAAACTGAGGTAAAGTGTGAAATCTTAAGTCTGAAACATGCAATAAGCAGTCATGTATGTAATAACACATACTATAAGGATTGAAGAAAACTCAGTTGTACCACAATATTAGGAGGGCCGGCCCATAAAAGCATGAACCCTGATCCAGTTCCCTGACTCCGTTTGTGGTCATGGCATTGGGAAAGGCATTTATAGATGGAGATGGGCTTTTGTTTCCTTTTATGGAGACCCCTGTGTTTCATAGCACACTACTTTTATTTATTTATTTTCTGGGTTGGGGCCTTGTAGAAGGGTCCTCTTAGGAGAAATCATTTGTTAATATGAAGAGGTTTGGTAGGGATAGGTTGAGAACTATGTAATGATAGATGAGCATTAGAGCAGGAAAAGATATTTAAAATGCATAATTAAAGTCAACAAAACGGAATGAGATGATATGGTGAAAAAAATGAACATATTTAGGGCATAGTACTTGGCTAGTAGATGCTGTTGCCATAAGAAAAGCACGATCCTTGCTGTGACCTCAAATAAGCCACCTGAGTTTACAGTGAGGACACTGCCTATGGAGGGTTTCACTCTCAGCCAAAACTGTTTTTTCTACACTGGCTCAGGCCCCATAGATGGAGGACTCTGCTTGAGAGAGGCACTGGGATGGTGTTGTGTAGGAGCGGGGTGGGGGGGGTGGAGTTCAGGTACAGCCAGTTTCTGCCATCTCCAGGAGGTGCCTTAGCTGTTCCTCATAAGGGGAAACATCCAAGTGTTTCTGCATATGGGGGGATGTAGAAGGCAGTCATTGCCTCTGTGCTGGTCCTGCACCTCATAGCATGCCTGTAACCTGAGTACAGGAGGTTATTGGTGACTACATAGGATTGCACTCTTAGGTCAGACTCCTCTGGCTACTAGTTGCTCTCTCGGCCATTGGATAGGTCAGATCCCAGCTCCAACCTTAGAAATACTTTCTGAGGCTGGAGCTAGGACTCGCCACTGAGCACCCTTGCTCCACCTTGCAACTAGAACATTCTTCACAGATGCTGCACTTGTGACTTTGAAACCAGGGGAAGGGTGTTTTGCAGGGTGGAATTTGGCTTTGCCATGCTACAAGTAATCCTGTCTTGCCTCAACCTCACCTCCTTGTGAGCAGGCACAAATGGCATGTCTTTCACGGGGAGGAAGACGCATAGAGGGACTAGGTAGCTCTATCCTCCTCTTGTCCTCAGCTTTAGGTCCCCAGTTCTGGCTTCAGAGGGTTACATTGGATGGGGCCCTTATGTAATGGATACCACATTTCCCAGATAAGTAAAGGTCCCATGGGCTAGTGATTTTCCAGGGAAAGTCGAATATGAAACATAGTCTTCATAGGATGTTTGGATGTTTTAAGCTATTGGGTGATACAGTTTTAACTGCTAATATACAGAATATCTGATTCCAAAAGTCTACAGAAAAACAGTTTAGAGCGTCCATATTCTTTGAAGTATTATTTGTACTATTGTATTCTTGAGAATACTTGTGCATATTAATCACAGACAACACAAATAGAGTGGAATGGTAAACCATCATTAAAGCAAATAATTGTTTGGAGGCTCCAACAAATTTTGTGTATAACCATCAGACCATAATTTACAGACAAAATATTTAACATATAGTAGAGGGGAAAGGAAACTTACAACAGTGGTGACTTGGGGTCAAGTAATTTGCAGGTATGAAACTCACTAAGTGCCTTGAGCAAGTCACTGACCAGGTTCAGATAATATACTGTGACTCTTCATGGATTATCCAAGGATTGTTTACTCATGCTCACTGTGTCTGTGCGACATGACAGTCTCCAAGAGGGGTTACATATTCAGAATTGTGGCTGCACATCCACAGTCTCCTCTGTGGGTTAAAAAAAAATTGTCATGTATGAACAGTCCATGATCTGTTAACTAATTTTGGTACAGAAGGTTTAAAGCAAATCTTGCTTTAAAAGGCTTTTAATGTGAATATAAAACCTACATCACCCATAACAGTAATTGGTAGCATGTATGAGGATTTTTAAATTTCTCATAAATACTCTGTCCTTTATTGTAAGGATAAATGAGGTGAGGTGAGCCCTTTGTACATGATATGCAACCCTAGTCCCTGCTGGATTGTTTGGAGACCACACAACCCAGAGGTTAACAACAAGCCATAAGCAACCAGTGGTTGGATATCATGTTGTAGCCAGTGGTCCGATTTCTGATACCAAATTTCACAACATATGAAAGTGCTGATCATGGGTTGTGGAGTTAAATTGGAAGGGCACTGCCTGTGCTACTCAATGAATTTCTATGTAGTTTGGACCACTTGCTTCAACAAGAGATCATGAATTAGGTTGAGTCAAAACTTCTGTACTGTACAGTCAGGGAAAGTAGATTTTGAGATTGAAAGTTTGGGCATGTTCTACCTATTTAAGGTTAAAGGAGTTTCCTGTGATTAAATGTGTTATTTCTCCTAATGCTGGGATAAGTATTGATTGAGTTATATGTGTGTTTCTGTACAAAAGTTTGTAATTATTTATGTGCATGATGTAATTCTACATAACTTTATGATAACTTTATGAATGTTTTCATAATTATCACAGAGGGTAACATTTCTAAATATCTCTGTGTAACAGTATTGCAATCCCCTAAATTGCAATCTCTCCCAATATAACTGATCAAGTTACACTGCAACAAATGAGTGGTTTTGTATGTTCTGGGTTTTGTGAAATATGTTCTAAGTTTCACACTTCATCGAAAAGCAAATCTGTTTCTGAATATACCGACAGTTAAACAAATGTTCATTGCCAACTGCATTTTCTGTTCTGTGGCTTTTTTTCCAGCTCAAAAACAGGGCAAAGTGTCAGAAATGCTGAAAGACTAGGGTATCTTCATATGAAAGCTGCCGCATGGCTAAATCTTGTGCCAGAGATCACATTGACTCAGACAGACTATATAAAAATATTTGCAGTTGGAATTTCTCCTTTACTCTGATGTGTAGCTCCACCTGCTGGATGCAGAAATTTTCAAGCTGAAATGTGATTTTTGTAAGGATAAAGGTTAATTTCTCACTCTCCTTCCTAATCTAAGGTCTCAGTGCAGAGAGTCAGTTCTAAAATCTTTAATGGATGGCCAGTTCCACAATTATTTGAATTGTATGGAGGGCATAACTTTAAAAACTGAGTACTTTGAATATTGCCATTTGAGGGAAAAGAGTTAACATAGAGAATAAAACCTTAATAGCCACCATTTACCATGTATTTTTGATTTGTAGGTACAGGAACAGGAGATCATATGCCTCTTTACTAGGACATAAGTTCCACTAAATTTAGTGGGTTTTGCTGATGCATTCTACTGAAGCCATATTATGAGGCTTTTAGTATATATCCAGACTACATATTTTTCCAGAATGCTTCATTTTAATTTGTTCCAAGGTGCAGGAGAAGGATTAAGAAGACATTTTGTAATATCTTAGGAGTGTGTAAGGCACTGATAATCGTATGTTTTTTATCTTAATTCTCATATTCAATCAAATAGCACTTAAGCTTTGTTGAAGCACAGTGATTTTGTTGTGCACAACATTGTAGCCACCTACCTACTGGCAGAATCCTAGTATGGATCCATGGTGTGTCTTGCTTAAAGTAATGGTTTGATATTGGGGTCATAGAACACTCCAGTAAATCATAGTGCTGCTAACTGAGCCAAATACATATCCTCTAAATATATCACATGATAATTTTCTAAAACTAAACTTTGTTCCTTTGGCACAGGATCTGATGCAGTGCACAGCCTTTGCAACAGCAGATGAATATCATCTCGGAAACCTGAGCCATGACCTGACATCATACGGATATGTTGAAATATCAACGTTACCTAGAGGTAGACCTCTGCGCGGGTTTTCCCCCTATCTGCTAGAAACAAGATGCATGTTGAATATGAAGAACATACTTACTGTTAGCAATAAGACTAGAGTATTAAATCAATTTCTTTTTAATTGAAGCTCTTTCAGGGATATAATATATAATTGAACATAATTATGATAGGTAATATGGCCATGATGCTATTGTACCAAAAACATATCTACTTTACCTATCTTAAAAATGAGGTATACACTTAAATATGGAAGGGAATCATTGACAGAAACACATACAAAGTCTATAACCTGCTGCTCATGGTGGTTCCTTCCCCAGGCCTTTTATACTGTCCAACTGCATTCTTGAACTGTGTAAGTTCAGAAGAACTTAAATCAGTGATTAAGCTGTGGAAGGGGCTTATGTAATAGCTTATTAGCACTTCAGTAAAGCAGTAGCTATTAATCTAAGTTGAAGCATAAGCTATACAGTTTATCGTGCAGCCACTGTTCAGGTTTTTTTTCTCAGATGCTGACATCATTTCCATCAATTTTTATAGATAAGACTTTAATCAGATATGAGAAAACCAATTGGCATTCTTTTGAAAATAGTACTGTATAGGCGGAGGCCTTACGTGAAACATTGCACTGTATTCTCACCACCTTACAGGAGTGCTCCTGTTGAGAAATGAGATGAGCCTGCAACAAGAATTCTTTGGTTATATCAAGGCCTCTTTGGCAGGGAATGATGCCCTTCGCTCTTCCCCTGCTCCTGAAATCCTGCCATATGAACATGTACAGTAAGGGTGAAGAACTTTGAGAAAAGTGTGGGCGGTCTTTACTCCCCATTTACTCCTCCCCATTTACTCCTACATGGGCTGGCACAGGTACTGAAATCAGGGGTAGGGATAAAGAAGATAATGGCATCCAGAGTTACTGTGGGGTGGGGTGGCAAAAGGGTTATAAGTTGCAAGATAATTTGGACCCTTTCAGTGCTCTATAGCAGCTATGGGTGACATTTGATTTGTTAAAAAAGATTGAAGAAATGGTTCGAGTTTTTCTCAATTTAAGAGGAGTGGCAAATGGACATGAAGGGGCTTAAGGGGCTGCATCTCACTTCTGATGTAGGGGGTAGCTTTTAAGCAAACGCTAATTTCCTATCCAGGTTACTTTATTATGGACTGAAGCAGGCCCCTTCCCCTCATCCCCCTCCCCACTCCAAAAATAGTGTTCTCTTAATTCTGGCAGTTCTGAGCATAGATTTTTGTTGATAAAACTTTTTTTTAAATTACCATTCAATTTACAAACTAACTTACCTCAACTTATCTGGAAATTCCTCTTAGTATGCATAAATAACCGGCTTCCTTTTGGTGACTGTGTTTCCATTCCGAAATGATAAGCTTGGGACCATCCAGTTGGTATTGGGAAGGATGTTTGGCTTATATTCATGTTGAGTTCTTCTTGATTCAGACATGCAAGTGTTTAGTCATGCAGCTAGATGCTTCACAGGAGTGTAAACAAATGGGTTCCCAACTCTTTTGGTTGCAAAGAAAGTATTATACTATTTAGAGTAAACTACAGTTCCCTGATGATGTTTCCTCACTGTTGAATGGTATCTAAAGAGATTGAATATATAAGAGATTTATATATTGAAAGATGCCATCAAGTCTAGGAGGTTTGAATTATCTAGACTTTAGATGAAATGCACATGGCAAGAAAGGGCAACAAGGGAATATTGCTGACAGGTTGAGTACTGTGAATAGCATCCTTGCAAGAGGTGGCGATTGTAAATGGGTCATCGGCAGGAATGTCTTCAATACAATAAAAAGGGGGGTGCTGTGTGGCTGATTGTGCAACACTCAAGATGAGTGAGGGACTAATCATACAAAAGAGATGATTATGGCCTACTAGTTTTGAATAAGGAAACAATATTTCTTGCCTATTTTTCCCATGCTGGAGCAAAATAAAATTCTAATCAACTTCAGTCTTTTTCAGAAGGCTACAGTGAACCTGACAGACTGAAAATACTGTAATAAGCTCTGACCAGGATGGCGATAATAAAGCCAGATCACATGCCACCTGATTGCAGGAGTGAGTGGGGAAATTATTTATTTAATTAATTTCTTTGCTGCCCAATAGTTGAAGCTCTTTGGAGAGTTCACAGCAATTAATTGAGTATACAAAAGATAAAATACAAATATATCAAAACACAACATAAAATTCCAGTTTTTAAAATAGCTAAAAATTCCAGTATACAAAAACATGTAAAACAGTTTAACATCTAAAACATTTTCATTAAAAACTAAACCAAATTAAAACAGCAGACATAGTCCATCATATGCCATTAAATCCCTGATGAAAGAGGGCAATTTTAACCTGATGCCAGAAAAATGGCTATGTTGGCACCAGGTGGGCCTCAGCAGGGAGACCATTCCACAATGAGGGGAGGAGGGAGTGCTGCAGAAAAGGCCTCGTTGTCTCTTGTAACCTTTGTTGCCTCTTTCTGGGCCTCCCCTGAAGGTGGTAGGAAGGCCCCAGATGCAGATCTTTGGGTAGACTGAGGTTCAGAGAGGCATTCTATCAGGAATTTAGGCAGCATTTTATAGGTTAAGACCTGGGTTATGAACGAATTCCTTTCCTGAGAAAATGGAGATTTGTCCTTAAGTCGTATTTGTATGTAAGTTGGATCATGTTTAATCAGCCTTCCACATTTATGGGATTGGGATGCAGGACCCCTGTGAAAGTGGGAAAACTGTGAATATCTCTAGCCCGCTTCCCAACTCCCCAGTGCCTCTTGCTGCTTCTCTCGCTGTGGTGATGCTTTGGTGGCCCTCCCTCTCTCCCATTCCTCTTCCTGTCTCCCAGTGGTGATGATGATTTCCTGCAATAATTTTTGAAAAATTAATAGGACTAGGGGCAGTTTGTTTGTAAGTACAGGTTGCTTGTAACTCAGACATTTGTAACTCAGGGACTGTCTCTACCTTGAATTGAGCTTGGAAATGTATAGATGTCCAATGCAAGAGGGACATAATTGGCATAATGTGGTTTCATTTATTAATCTGGCTATTGCATTTTGCACAAGCTCTAGCTTCCAAGCAGTCTTCAAGGAAAGTCCCACGTAGAGTGCAGTGCATCAATCTAATTTGGAAATTACCAGAATGTAGATTTCTGTAATTAGGCTAGCCTGCTCTAGATAGGGGTGTAGCTGGGCCACCAGCCAAAGCTGGTACAAAGCACTCTGTGCCACTGAGGCCACCTATGCCTCAAGTGCCAAAGATGGATCAAGAAGCACCTCAAGCTACTAACCAGTGAAATGTGAAATTATTTATAGTACTCATTTCCTATAGGGCCACATATAAGTGCTTACATTGATAAAACATATCAATGTTGTTTTCCAGAATATTTTCATGCTACTGCACTAGTATTGTTTCACTCTGAGTCCAGAACTGGAAGTGGTTGCTTCACTCCAGTTGCCGAGTCCAAACTCATAGGATGAGAACAGAGAAATAAAATGAATAAAAGGAAATTTGGAGAGGCATATGCAAAGATACAAATAAAGGAGAACACATGGGACAAGGCGATTATTAGCGATTAGAGAAGAGGATGTGTTAATGTAAGAGATACACTTTCCAAGTCACAAGCTTTTTGGGGATCTTTTAATGTTGACAGTAGCACATTTTAGCAGATTGGTCCCAATGATGCATATACAGGTTTATTCCAAAGAGAATAGGTTTCTTTATCACACAGAAATAAAACATAAGTAATAATCTATTGGGAATTTGCTTGTTGGTCACTCTGATAGGGAATTTGTACATATATGTAAATGTATTTGAGATGTAGAACTTCTGTGGAGATCTGGCTGTGGAGATTCGTCTTAGACTAATTTCTTCTAGGCTTAGAATTGCCTCAGAGGGCAGCCCCACCTTTATCCCTGATTGGGGGACTAGTTGGGGGACTCCTTCTACCAGAGGCAAGTAGCTTGTGACATGGGCTATCTATGGGAGTGGCAGGATCTGCACAAAGCCAGGAATGTGTCCTTGGGCAGGAAAAACAGTCACTCTGCCCAGTGCAGTCTGAGAAGCTTTGTGCATCCCCTCCCCTTGATGTTCATGGGCGTGCCAGGAGCCACACAAAGCCAGGAACTCAGCTGGCACCAGGAAATGCCTCTGCTCCTGCTGCTGCTGCTGCTGCCTGGGCTTCCTTTTCTGCCATGGAGTTCCGTGCCTTCTGCAGCATGGAAAGAGTGGTGGTCAGGGGATATGGCCATGCCCTCACATGCTGCTGCTGAGTGGGACCACGCTCAGTGATGTCATCTGGCCCTTGTGAGCCTGGTGGGGAGGCAGACTGCCCACCTTCCTGAAAGTAGCCCTATACCCCAGTTTGCTTAATATATGCATATTAAGCAAATAAAGCAGAGGACCAAATATACACCCTAGTAATCTAGTCACAGGACTTAAATATGAGGAAATTAGCCCAGAGGGATGCTTGATATCTAATTCTAGGGCGGTTGCATTTTGAAACTAGGCTGTGGCTGCACATGCCAGGTCCTGTTCTGGGTGGGCCAAACTCCAGCTCTTCAAGTCCTGTGGGGGTTGGGAACAAATAAGGCCCCTGCCTTCTGAGACGGAGATGGGAATGGGAAAAGAAAGAGATCTGTGTCACATAGGTTTTTTTCGTGGACACTAATCATTACTCATTAGGAAAATGAAGACCAAGGTGGGGGCTACTACTTCCTGGGGAACCAACACAGTTTGAAAGGTACCTTTCTAGGGATTCTGAGGAACTACCCTGAAGATCAGCCAGGATGATTAGTAACTTCTGGAACAGTCGCCATGCCTCGGGTGAGCCTTAAAGTTGTACTAGCGTGTTGGGTTCCCACTCTAGCAGAAGCAGGACTTGTACCGGAACTGAATGTGCTGGAGAAAAGGGAGCAAACTATGGAATGTGCTCCCCAGAGAGGTCTGCCTGGCGCCGTTGTTATTTGTTTTTCGGCGCCAGGCCAAGACCTTTTTATTTAAACGGTATTTTGATTAATTGTTAATTAATGGTTTTAAATTATTGCCTGGATGTTTCCAGTTTTTTATATATTTGTATTGTTATTTATTTGTTGGAAGCTTCCCCGAGGCTTACGCGAATGGGGCGGCATACAAGAATCCCAAATAAATAAATAATCATTGAAAAGTGATTCTCTGTTTCCTCAACTGGCAACCTGCCAACAGATGAGTCTTGCTAGATTGCAGAAAGTTGGGAAGGCATCTGCCTCGTTTAAGGGACTGACCTACAGTAAATGGCTCATGTTTCTTGGGGAATATCCAATACTGCCAATGTACCTCTGTTCATAGTGTTGCTCAAATGCAGGTACAACTGGAAGCTAGTGCTTTCTAAAGCAGTTCTGGAAGTGAGCCAAAGTGCTGATTTCCAGAATGGGGCAGATCACTGGGCTCCCAAGCATTTGACTTCTTTCCAGTTCCTTCAGGAACCACTAGCTTCCTGTTGTGCTAGCAGTGGGTTTTGCTGGTGATGGCGGCAGCATTGAATAGTGCCTCTTAAGATGTGTCTACAGTAAATGAACAACTTTGGAAATCATGGCATGGATGGATCTGAAGGATGGATCCTTAAGCTAAAGAAATAGATAAATCTTTGGTGAGCTTACATCTCTGTTGCAACATATAGCTGCTAATGATGCCTGCACCACAAACAGTACAGTTCCATGTTAGCACCAAGCTAGATGGATTCTATCTGGGTCATTTAAGTCCAGATAACGTAGGTTTATGCCAGCATAAAAATTTTATTTTTTCCAATGGCCTAATAAGACTCCTATTTGCTATTATATTACATTGCATTTATATCCCACCTCTTAGGAAACCCAAGCTAGCTTACAGAGTTCTCGTCTGAATTTTTATTGTCACAGCAGCTACCCTATGAAGGTTAAGTTTTTGTCTGGCCCAAAATCACCCAGTTTCTTGGATGAGTAGGCTAGAACCCAGCTCTAACTAGGTCTCCAGTACAACACTCTAAGCATCATACCAGTTCTCAATCCTAGTGCAGATTTCAGCTAGACTTATTGATAATTGTTGCTATATAGTACATGCCTTTCCCTGGGGTTCTTAGATGCCTTTCCAACATATTGGCTTCTGTCCTGGCATCTGGTAAATATTTCTAGCCCTATACTGGTTCATGTATTTCAACAGTCCTTTTATACAAGAAAATATGTTCAGCACGTGCTGGGGCAGGGACACAACACTGAAAATACGTTGAGTAGGTTTAATAGAGTGGTAGGAAAGTGCTATAAATCCACTGGGCCTCAGCCAGAGCTGTCAGTTTGCTGGCATCCACTAGGCTGCCCTAGTGCAAATAGCCTCTAATGCAAGAAGGACCTACCACATCCTAGAGCAACCTCAGAAACTAGCCAAAATTAGTCATTCTAGAACAAGACAGATCAGTAAACTAAATGCTCATCTGAGTGTTGCCTATTCATTTTCACAGTGGAGTTTCAGTTGGACTGAACAGAGTTTATTATGAAATAGCTTAGCAGAGCTGGTATCTTTTGTGCCTCAATAAATGACACAAGTTGCATTCTTGAAAAGCAAGTAGTGCTGTGAAATGTGAACATTAATGAAACCTAGCTAGCTTCCATTCACTAATGACTGTTTTCTCTATTGCCCTGCTTGGCACCTGGATTTTTAAAGCATATTTTCCCATGGTCTTTATTCTGAAATAGGACATTATGTTAAGACTTGTGGAGTCCTACAGATATTTACTTGGGTGTAAATCCCATAGTGAGAATCGGGGGGCTGAGTCTCTGGAGCCTGAATATAGGATACAGAATAAATGTAGTGAATGTGATTCCTCATCTTCTTCTGTTTTTATAAATTAGATGCAGCAAACGTTTTGGTAATTGGAACAGAAAGCACAGAGAAAAAATTTGACCCTGGGGTGATTTTTTTCTTCAGGTAAATGAAGCCCATCCATAAAGTGCATGTGAACTACATTTTTAATTTTAATAAAAATCATAGGTCCTTTCATATATCCCCTTTCTTATTGTATCTTGCGAAAATAAATTTTAAAAGATTTGAAAAAAATCATAGGCTTAATTGTTTACTGGGCAAACAGCAGGAACTGGGGCTTTGAAGTGCTTACACTGACATAATCCACAAATATGGCTGCTCTCTCTTTGATGTGTTAAATTTAATAAAAGACACATTAAGGTTCCAGTCCTCCAGCTTTACTACCTCCAGGGGGACTGACTTCCAAACAAACCTGAATAGAAGTGGACTATAAAATGGCTTTCCTTTCTGGTCTTAAACATTTAAAGACAACTACAAGTTTTTTGGTTCTTTCTTCCTTTTCCTGATCTTCTTAAATATACATAAATCAATTTTTAGAGATATCTCCATAGCAGTGTATACATATGACATGCACACATGCATGCACACACCCAGACACACATGCAAATACAACTTAGTACCAGTTATACATAGACTTTGAAAAAAGGGGACCTCTTAACCAAATAAGTATCAGTTTGAAAGCGGTGTCTATATAATGTTGCATTATGAATAATGTACGTTTTTCCTCCATTGTTGTAATGTTAGTCTTCTAGCTATCCTAAGAGCATGGAGAATCCTTTTATGCCAACCATTCATTAATTTCCAAGAAGCAAGTAGAAAATTTGGAAAAAACATGTACATCAGCAAATATTAAAGCCTTTCCTAAAGACTTATAAAATGTGTCCAAATATTAACTTTGACCTGCAAAAAGCAACTACTGGATATATATTTGTTGCTTTTTTAATATTGCTGAAAATGATGATTGTATCTCACCCTTTTTCTCTGCAAGGAACCCAGGGTGGCTTACATCATCCTTCTCTACATTTTATCATTACAACAATCCTGTGAGGTAGGTTAGGCTGAGAGCCCATGACTGGTCCAAAACCTCTCAGTGAATTTCATGGCTGAATGGGGACTAGAACTCAGTCCTAGTTCAGCACTCCAACCACTGAACCACACATTGCCAAAACATTTATTTAAAAGACACAGTAGCTTCACTGCACAGCTAGCAATGCTGCATCAAACAATCCCTTATGAAAAAGATGTTTCAGTGTCCAGTAGACATTGATTTTGGTCTTTTCTGCCAACGCCGGATCTTTTGCCTTACTCAGTTTTGGAATCTTCCTGTCAGGCTCCTCTCCAAATGGATGGCAGCAGGTTTTAGACATAGAGAAGGCGGGGCATTCCTCCCACAGTTTCTGTGGTTACTGATAATGTGCTATATAATATCAAGGATATTTTGAACATTTTCTCATATTAAATTGGTGTTATGAGGCAATGCAGATCTGAAAATTGGTGGGAAATGGCTTTGTAGTAGACTTGGACTCTTAAGGTAGTTTTAATTTTGAATCAACGGGTAGATGCTGCTGATGAGTTTGCATTTTGTGTGCCAAATGTAGCTTGTCAGTTTTGGCTAAATGGCAGTACTTGTAACTGAAACATAAATGAGAGATACTAGCTAAGTAATAGTAGATGGGTTAATTGGTAACTTTTAAAGTCAGACTGCTAATACAGTAGAAAATTATTCCTTGCTAAGAATTGTAGAGTATAATCAGTGAGCCTAATACTTGCTTACACTTCTGTTAATACAGGGAGGGAGCCGTTGTGTTCTGGAATGTTGAAGAAAAAATGGTAGGTAAAGTTTTAAAAAGTAACTACATTGGGTAAAAGAATAGAACTTAAAAGGAAAAAAATCAGCTTTCTGAGGTGAGAGGGTGCCCAAAAATAAAGGTGTGGGGTAGAGGGAAGACCCACAGTTTGATTCCATAAGAGAGTGACCCTCTGAATGGGAAGTGTAAGGTATCTTCTAAAAGGGCAGAGCAAAGAGTCAGGTTTCTGACATGAATGAGCAGTTCTGAAGTAGGTAAACACACCCCTAGATTGGGATCTTATTTGTTTGGGTAAGCAGTTTATTTTCTCCCTGTAAATGTATATTTAATCACTACTTCTGTTGAAAGCTTGAAACTGTGTAGCTATACAGTTACACTACATGAAAAAGCTGGGCAGGATTTAAATCTAGATCTATCAAGTGCTATTAATCACATACAGTGATACCTTGGCTCATGAACTTAATCCGTTTCAGGACTCTGGTTGTGACCCAAATTGTTTGTGAGCCAAGTTAAATTTCCCCATAAGGTTCAATGTAAATAAGATTAATCCGTTCTGTAACCATTTTTTTTAATCAGAAAAACGTGAAACAAAGTGGCAACAAACAACAAGGATTGCGGCCATCTCCCTGCCTCCTCAGCACGATTGAGATCGTGCCTGTCATCCCTGCATGCACCCATCATCCCTTCACGTGCCCGTCATCCCGGCGTGCTGTGAGGGGGGGAGAGATGGGCGCGAACGGGGCGCGCTGCGGGAGGGAGAGACGGGTGTAATCTCAGCCATCTCCCTACCCCCAGCATGGTTGCGGCCATCTCCCCACTCGGGGGTGGGGTGGAGATATGGCCGCGATCATGTTGGTTGGTGGGGGGGGGGGAGATGGCCGAGATTGCGCCCATCTTTCCTGCAGGAGCATGCCCGTGATCACGCATGTCTTCCCTACATGAACGCAATTGCGATCGTGGCCATCTCCCTACTCGGGTGGTTGCCACCCAATGCGGAGTTCACGACCCACGTCAAAATTTTCATGAAATTTTTGTTTGCGACCCGATTTGGTCAGGAACCAAGGCGTTCATGAGCCGAGGTACCACTGTATTTTCTTACATTGCACAGTCTACTTTTGGGCTCATCCTTTGTTAGTCAGATATGAAGGGCAGTGGGATTTCTTTGCCATATTCTCTGTGGGTTCAAGTTGTTTACACTAACAAAGTAATTCACTGGTCACTTGCTGCAGGTTACAGTTTGAAAATAGTAACACTGGTGCCTGCATAGAGTGAAGACAGGATGGCAGATACTATAGGTGTTGGCTACATGAAAAGTGTTGCCAGGTTCTGGGAGGAATTAATACATTGCTTTGGAAAATATTGATTCTCAAATCTGCATCCGCCAGTGTAACATGACTGTTGGGTCAGAGGGCATTTATAGGAGGAAATTCTTTGTGAGAAAGGGATTCTTAAATTCTCTTCGTACGCACAGTTCTCCTTTGGCAAGTGCCTTGACTCACCCTGCAGCTTACACCACCACACTGTTTCTTTCTAATGGGTTTACAGTTTTGAAGTGTAGATTGGAAAAAATTAATTTAAAAACTGACTGTGGGTATTGGTTGATAAGGATTAAGATGTGGGGTAGGGTGAATGACTTCCTGCCAGTTCTTCCTTGTAACTGTTGCTCTGCCCTTGCATTTACCTCGTGGGCAAAAACTGGAGTTGGAAATCCTGTGTTTTCCTTGAAAGAGTTCCTTTCTCCCTTGCCACATTCTAGTTCAAATGGGCTGAAGACACCATGTCCAGCAGATTTAGCTTTTTGGGGGAATCACCTCATAGTATTTGTCAGCAATGTTAATAAAATATATTATTCCTAGATGAAGAATATAATGCAGGTGCTGGAAAAGCATGAAATTCAGCCATATGAAGTCGCATTAGTTCATTGGGAAAATGAAGAGGTTAACTACAGGAAAGGAGAGTGAGTATCTGTATGTCATAAAGTACAGAGAACTAGTTTATTTATTTAAAGTATTTCTTTCCTGGAGTGCAGCTAAAAAGCCTTCCAGAGTGGCTTGCATATAATAGAACAAGACACTGCAAGTCCCACAGATTAGCATCTTCCATCTGAAGAGAGACTTGACATACAGGGTCAGTTCACATGACAGAGGCATCCTGTGATGGGTTCTTTAATTAGCTGTGATATGTACCAGATATGGCAGCATCCAGAATTGTATGGAAAATGCAACTTGCGTTCAAAGGAACATGAGCAGAACTCCCTTTTGGACTTTGCCAGTTCATTATGGCAACATCTGAACTGAGGTGGGCAAGGCCAGTGTGCCTGGAGCTGCAGCAGATGGGGCCAGTGTGCACTCTGCCATCTTTAAACCATCACATACATTTTTTCTGAACATGTCATTAAGAATCTCAATTTCCCTGTAAAGCAATAAAGTAGTGTTAGGCTTAGCATAAATATGGGGGCCCTTCCTACATAAAGGCAAAATCTTAAAAGAAACTCTGAACTTTTGGGTGGCTTCAAGTTTCCAGTTAACTCCTCCTACTTATGGTAGTGTTTCTGGCAGTGGGAAAAAGATGGGATCATTTCCCAGTCCCTCACAGACCCCTGTCAAAATCTGTTCTCGTTTATTAGAGTGTGGGGGAATGCAGCAGGGAGAAAGAGGAAGTTCCTATATGTAAGCAGAGCTTCACTTGTGCAACACTGGATTTCATCCTGTGTTCCAAAACCAATAAAATACTGATTTAACTACCTGGTTAATATGCCTTGACTGTTCCAAACTAGTCACTTCCTGTTTGGTTCCACTGTGATTCACCAACCTGCATGTTCTTTTATCATCATCTCACTACTATTTACAGAGGGCAGTCAAAGCTTCATAGAGGAGAAATCTTGATAAATTCAGAACTGGATGCTGATGAAGCCATTCTAGAGAAGTTTGCTTTTTCAAATGCTCTATGCCTTTCTGGTAAGATATATTGTATATTGTGTGGGTTTACATCATAGCTTGGGTTATGTAGTAAGAGGTGGGAGGAAATTGCATATTCATATATTTCTCAAATATAGAGTAATTTTGTCACAAAGTATTATCTAAAAAGATTCACGTGAGTAAATCACATGAATGTGAATGAAAGCCAAGCTGTATAAATCAAAGCTGCTTCTGCAGCTGAGAGAATGAGAACTGAACTTCTGAGCTACATTGACAAAGTAACTTAAACAAACTTGCATTGCTGTATCATTTTAAATATTTCAATCCTGATTTCAAATTATTTTTGTTTACACTGATAATTAAACAAAAAGATGTAGAACATTGAGGGTATGTTATAAAATTGTTATTCTGGGTTTGGATTCATACATTTCAACTTTGCAGCAAGTAACTTTGTTAATGGCCTAAAATTAATGTTCACTTCTCAGCTGAACTAGAGTTAGTTTGGGGGTGATGAAACAATCTGTGTGCGTGTTGCAGTTATACGAAAATGCTGGTGGTGCGGCTCTGATTTCAATACGGGCATCGGAAATTATATTTGTTCTTTTTTCCATTGCAAGGCCAATAGTATTGAGGTGGGCATAATTTAGCTTGGCAAAACCATGTAAGGGAAAAGGTCAAGCACCCTTTCTCCCTATTGTCACCAGTATAGCAAAACTTGGAAACCCTGCAGCTGTATAAAAACAAACACTGACAAATCTAGTCACAGGCCCCCTGCAGCATCTGTTTTAGCCCTCAGGTCTGCATTATTTCATTTCCTTGCAAGCCTAATTTTGGAAACGGGTCAGATAACTGCATATTAGGCTTTTATTTTGTGATAACATTTAAGTGTAGTGGATGTGAATAATAAAGTCTTTTGTACTTTTCTCTGATGTAGTAAAACTGGCCATTTGGGAAGCATCATTGGATAATTTTGTAGAATCTATCCAGTCAATACCTGAGGTATTTGCTACTTTTTTCATTTGTCCATTTAAAAAGAGGAAAATAGCTCCCACATATTTGATGAGTTTTGGTTATATACTTCCAAAGAAATAAGCCCAGAACCCTTGAGTAAAATTATTTTGCCAGAATTCTTTAAAAAATGTTTTTATTAAATTTTTACACAGAAAACATTTCTTCAATTAGTCAAAACCCTATTTTCAAATTCTATATAGAGAGAGCATGGAACACCTTGACTCTAACATTTGATTACTTTATAAGTTGTTTAAATAGAAACTTACTACCTACGAAGATATTTCCTGATACTTTACTTAAACACATTTTAATGGGTTATGAGAATGTGATAGTTCCTTGAATGTGATTAACTTCAAATGTATTATAAATCTTTATGCCAACAAGCTTTAGTGGGGAGTTCATCAAGAAGAGTAAGCTACATGTAGAAGTATGTAGCGGGGATGCAAGTAGCATCTTATTAATCATGAAAATAACAATAATCTAAACTGTTGGGGTAAATATGAAAGAAAATGCAGCTGTGAATGATAATCCACTTTTCCTTTGATCAGAAAAAGTGAGCATTAAGGGGCTTCCTGAGGTTTGATTCCAGATAAATACACTAATTTTAATACATAAGGACATGATTAATTGGACTTTGTGCTGCATGAAAACTAGCAAAGGTCATCTCCACCTCCATCTGCCTTGTGGCTAGATGGGCATGTTTAACGGTGTAGCTGATGTGCTTTGGAGGGGGAGAGAAGGAAGCCTCATCCCCTCTCTCTGCAATGCTCCCCTTATCCCCTCTCAGAGGTTGATTCCTTCACCTTGGGAAGAAACCAGGGCTGTTCTTTCTATACTACCTGCAAGATCAGGAAAAGATTAGAATTTTGTCTGCTATATGTGATCTGGAAATCCAAATCATCTCAGCCCCCTCCCCCCAATTTCTAGGGGCCATATGATTGCTCTTTTGATAAGTATATTTGATCTATATCCAGCATTAAGGAAGTCTACTAGATAGCACACATTCTACTTCACAAAGGGGAAAAACTGATGGACCTTCATATCCTAGTGCAGATTTAATGGTTGCCCAGATTCTATTCTGTGTTAAAAATCAGAAATCTGAGTTTTAGAATGACTTGTGCTTCGGGTGGATAAAATAATGCAATTAAAGGAAATCTTAAAGTTATCCTGAGAAAGCAGAGTATTTTTCAACAAAGGAGAATATTTAAACAGGAGCTATTCAAGTGGGAATATTTGTTGGAATATTAAGTGAAATATTTTGCCTGAAGTAACCCACTGCTGTTCTTTTTATCCACTTTGGAGTGTCTGTGCTACTTTGTAGTAGGCACTAGGGGTGGGACAAACCCTATTACAGTATGTCCATCAAAGAATTCACAGGCTTCCTCTTGTGCTCAGTCCAGTCTGCCAAATCAAGCCAAGCCAAGAGGCACTTTCAGAGCTTCAGTTGCTCTCACAGGCAACTTGTGTCAGCTGCTGCAGCCTAAAAGGCTCACCTTGCCTGGAAAGCAGCTGCAACTGGTGCAGAAGAGGGCTGCTGCTTGTGCAGTGGTGGCATGGGGGGCTGCTTTCCTAGTAAGCCGAGCCCCTCCTTCCCAGCCTTAACAGCTGCTCCTGACATGGAATGGGGGCAATGCTTGCACCGCATATGGGACTCAGTTCCTGGTGAGTGCGCTATAAACGTGGGGCATACTCACAAGGAATTCAGTCTTGGCTGCTACAAAGCAGCTCAGAATCCAGGGAGCTGAGCCCGGGGAATCTGTCGGATTCCTACCCGCAACATATTCCTCAGGACTAATCTATTTCAGGAGCAATTCTGTGTAAGTTTAGACAGTTAAAAAACCCTACAACTCCCAGCATGCCTTAGCCAGTATACCTAGTTGTACCTGCTTGTTTGCTACTTTTCAGACATTAAAGAATGTCAAGGAATTCAAATGATCAAGTTGATTAGCAGCAAAAGACACATTCACAGCCAGAAAACTCATTACAAATGCCCCTCGTATTTTTATGCTATTAGCTTTTACAGTAACTATGCAAAATAGGTCTGTATTAGTCCCTTATTAGAAATAATGTTGCCTTTTTCTGATCTATCTAGCTCAGTACTACCTAATAGGTGGCAAGGTCTAGGTCCAAGATCTTATGGCCATCCTACTCCCCATCAGATTTTCTACCTGACCTAGCATGGTAGCAGGGAGGAATTTAACATTTATGAGATCATTTTAATACTTCACATAGACTACACACACTGTAAACAAGTTCTGGGCTTAGTCGTGGGGAAAGGCTGGAATAGGGTGTTGGTGTCTCTCTGACATCATTGTCACAATCAGTTCACTTCCTAATGTAGTTTGGTGTACCAGCTGCAATTTCACTTGGCCTTCTCTGGAAACATGTCATCCAATGGATTCCTCAGTGTTCTTTGAGAATCTCAGGAAACATGGCTGGCACTCCTGTCAAAGCTCTTGCCTCAGTTTGGGCTGTTGACCTGATTACAGCCTCCTCCTGTGTCATGGAGTACAGCTGGCTCCCAGGTTTACCAGGGTGTTTGGTTCAGTGAAATAGATTGGGGGACAGAGAACAGAGCTGTGCAGATCTTGCACTGTGTTCAACCAGCCAAGTGACAGCTGTGTTCCTTCTCTGCTGCCATCTTCGAGTAGCTCCACTGGGGCTTCAGTATAACCACTCTGGAGTGACATGTGAGGGCTGCTGTGACAAGTTTCTCTCTAGAAATTTAAATAATTATTACCCATTTGCAAGATGGTAGTGGTGCTCAACTCCAGAAACTCTTTGACGAAATGATTTGTCAGGGTGACCAAAGCAATTTCTAGTCTAGGATTGGACCTGAAATAGCCTTGGTCATCTGTCAGGACAGAGAATTGAGAGTGTGACTGTTTGTTCTCCTTGACCTCTCAGTGACATTTGTTTCCACTAACTATAGTATCTTACTGGACTGGCTCTGGGGAGTGGGCATTATGGAGCACAGTGATACAGGTTGTTCCACTGCTGCCTACAAGGCCAGTTCCAGATGATATTGTGAGGTTTCTACTGGACCCTATCGCAATTATGTTGTGAGATATGGCAGGGTTCTGCATTATTCCTCCATGTTCAGTGTCTATATGAAGCCACTGGATAAGGTTTTTCAGAGAGTTAGAATGAAGTGTGAGGAGTACGCCAATTAATGTTAGCTCATTTGAATCAGGTAACATGGAGCCAGCTCTGGTAATGGGCTGAATAAGGACCAGTAAACTGAAGGCATGTTTTATGGTTCAGAGGAGGTTGTGGCTAACTAAGAGCTCATGTGTCCTTGTTGGCAAAGTACTTTTTACTAGCTTTAGCTCATTTGCTAGCTGCAGGCATTCCAGTAAGTTTTTGGCCATGGTGATTCATGCTCTAGTAACATCCTGACAGAATTATTGTAATGTTCTATGTGTGTGGCTACTTCTGAAGACAACTGGTTCTTCCCTTTAGACCTATAGAATGTGTGGGGCTGAAATACCTGAAGGAATGCTCTTCCTCGATCAGCCTTTGCCTTGAGATCTTCATCTTAGGTGCTGCTTCCAATACCTCCCTAACTGGAAGTACTAATATTATGACATCACAAGACAGGGCCCCCTTGGTGGAGGCATCTCAGTCAGATGTCCACCTTTCGTAGCACCAGGCTTACTTACTCTAGTATTATCATTTATAACCTCTCAGTCGGTCTCAAGATTTATTATCTTCTGTTACATTATGACTGTCTGATTCCGTTGTTAAATTTTTTAAAAAAATGTATTATTTATAATGTATTCCAGCTTAGAACGTGATTTAATGAAAGATAGCATGGAAATGTTTTTGAATAAATAATAAACAGATGTGTATCACAGCCCATATTGAAAATGTGGGGTGGGGAAATATCACCAGCCTAGGAGAAATCAAGACATCTAGTGAGTTCATTATCTGGAGACTTTCTAACCACAGATATAAAAGCTCCCTTGCTGTGAAAAAGCATTGTTGCAAGAAAAAAGTTTTGCAAATATACTGCTGGTACTAGAGCTCCAAAGGATTCAGCTGTGATACAAGGAGGAAATCTTCTAAGCATCTCTCTTACTGGAGAAAAATATTGGCTATTACTAATAGCTTGGAACCAGAGGATGTGCAGTTGGAACTTACACATGCAGCATGTGCTTCTGCCTTCTTCCTCATGCTCTAGTCCTACAAACTGCCTTTGCCCAATTCCCTGAGATTTCCTTGTTACCACTGTATCCCCATGGTACATCCCAGAACTTTCCTGAGAACCCCTCAAGGTAGCAGGAAAGCCATACTGTACAAAGCTTTCTGCTCATTTAATTCTGAATCTAAGCCAACCAGTCTATAAATAAAGGATTTACAAAAAACAGAATAAGGGATATCATTTCATCATGGATTAGAATTGGGTCAGAAGCACAAAGTTCTTCAAAAAACTTAAACCTATGTTATGGGAGTTATTCAATTGCTGTTGTGTGCTAATATTAACCAAAGTTATTCATAAAGCTTCTGATAGTTTGTATTACTATATTTTTACAGATATTAAAATCAAGAAGGAAAGTGAAACTCTCTCATGCTGATGTGATGCAAAAAATTGGGGAGCTGTTTGCCTTAAGGTATTTTCATTAAAAACAAGCCAAAAACAGTTGAGTAGCGATAGTGAATTTTAAAGTAACTTGCCACAAAAAATATGATGCCTAAAGTGCCAAGTTCTTACATACTGTCTAGATTGTAGTGTTTAACAAATCCAGGGTTAACTTTATTGCAGTGTTCCTTTAATACAGGTGCAATCTCTTCTTCTCGGTTTCTGAGTTCTCTACATCCATCTTTGTCCATCTTTATCAGTCTTGTTAATTTTAAAACTAAAGATTAACTGTGCACACATCAAATTATGGTATACACTCCCTCGGGAACTATGAATGGCCCTTACCCCGTTGCCCTTTAGAAAGCATGCAAAGACCTATCTTTTCGATTTACCCTTTTAAAAAGTAACGTTTTAATGATATAAGGCACAGTTTTATGCATGTTTAGACAAAAGAACATTTCCAAATTTCCCAGGGACATGAATACACTCCTATAATTTGTTTGGATATGGTGTGTCTTTTAACTTCTTGATATTTCCTTCTTTTTCTCCATATGTCACATTGCCACCAGGAATTTAATTCCAATCTTATTACTTAACCTTTCCCTCAATGTTGTGCCCAAGCTATAAGGCTCCTTTATTGGACTGTGTGGTCCTGAGGATGAGACGCTGCTATTCAAACAGCCTATGATGCGGAGTTAACAATAAAAATAAAAAAAATGTACAAGATGCATATTGGTTTCAAGATAGTAACTTATTTCCTTATAGAGTAGAACAATGTGTAACAACTTCTGACTGAGGTATATCATTATTTCCCTTCACAAACACTCCTTACACACTTCCAAGCTCCCCCCATATACTCTGTCGCCAACCAATCACCTCACTTATCCCCCTTTTACCCCTTCCTTGCTCTTCTGAAACTTAACATTTAAAGGAATACCCTCACAACACTTTAAATCATTACACCCAGCCATGCATTTTTTCCTTGACTAAACATGCATAAGTATTGTATCCTTAATATTTTTACTGCTTTAGGGCCCCCCGTCTTCAGTGTGCATAAGCCTCTGGAACTGGAAGCTTACATGCAGGCAATGCACAGTGCAAGGAGGAGGATCTTCACAGTTGTGACATATGCCTTGTATTTCATCTAGATGGCCATGGGAGGGAAGGAAGCTGAGGGCCCATTTGGATAGGATGTAAACCACTGGCCTCCTGACCCTGACACACCCCTTTTCCTCCTCAAGGCTGACATGTAGTTTTGAAGAGGCAGTCAGTGCCATTTTTTCTGCATTGGCTGCAAGCAGGGCAGGTATTTGGAGTCCCACTATCACAGGATCCTGGAACAAGGGTTCCGAATACTCCTATGGCCCTTCCATACAATGTTGGGACCATAGGATTGCACCCTTCATGTTTCTTCTTGTTGCAAGTTTTTATTGTTTTCCATTGCTGCACACTTTGATGGCTTGAGAAGATAAAGCAGTATATAAATGTTAAGAAACATCATTAAAAACAAAAAGGTGTGCTTTTTGTTTTTAATTCTCCTAAGTATATGGTTCCTTTGATTAATCATTCTTTCACTTCAAACCACCATTTTTGTATTTTTTTACTTTGAGACCAGAAACATTATTAGTTACCATTAGATGAACATGACCTGTCTATACATAAAGCATGATCTTTTAAAGTCCTATGAATTTCCAAAGATCAGTTCACTAATTGCAAGAGTAAGGCATAAAAAGCAGTGTAGGGGGACACAGGCAACTGGGGCTGAAAACAAAATCTTAAATGGAAAGGCTCAGTGCAATCAAACTGTATGTCATACTCCACTCAAAAGAAGTTGTTGAAGAGCCTCTTGTCAGGCTGTGCATGTTTTGTAGAGATTTAGCCTATGGCCTATGTTAAGCAGCAGGAATGATAAGATTTATGTTTGTGAGCCGCCCCGAGGCTTCGGCGAATGGGGCAGCATAGAAATTTCCTAAATAAGTAAGTAAGTAAGAGCTTAGTGGTTTATTGAAATTCATAATTATGCTAAGTTCAATTTCCTAGGTAGCTTACAAAGTTCCTAGTCAGGTGTATCACAGATAGGCCCATATGATTTGTCAAGGGATAAGTCAAATAACACTTAAACTGGCTACTAAGAGTGGGAAATGGCTTTGTTTAGAAATACAAGATGAACCATAAATCCTGTAATCATGACAGATTTGTAGAAACCAATCCTTAACCTAAAAGAGCATGCTTATTTCAAAATCTTACATTAGGACCATACAGGCAAACAAAAATAGTTCATTAATAAGTATCTCACAGCTGTTTTTAATGACTCTTGTATTAGACTTTTATGTAAAGCAAAACAGAAAAATGTTATTCTCTTTTAGAGAACAACTTAGCCTGAAAAGAATGTAGCAGATTGGTTCACATGAAATGTTGACCACTGGTTTATGGAGCTTCCAGAAAAGCTTTATATCATGCCAACACCCTGCCTCCAAGAATTTTACAGGGGACCAGATACCTTCTACTCATAACTGTTTTCCCACTGCTGCTTCCATCTTTTTTTCACCATAAAAACTGTTTTTAAAAAGTGGAATTGCTGCCTTCTGACTGGTGGTACTATGAGCTCCCCCCTGGAACCATCCTTGGAACTTTGCCAGGCTTCAAGTATACCCTTGTCCTCCCAGATATCCTCACTATTTTCCTGGTTTAAGGCAAACTATTGTTCCACATTTTATCTGATTTCGAAAAGTAGTATTTTCTTCACACTAGGGAGCCAGTCATGACATGTAACATGAAGGAGGCTGCAAATCTGAGGTTCTTTCAAGGCTAACCTGAAGCACCCATTGATTAGTATTGCTTCAGGTTAGAAATATAATCCTAAGAACACCCAACTGGTATAAGTCTCAACTGTTTTTGTATGCTTCCTCAGGCATCGCATAAATTTGAGTTCTGACCTGCTGATTACCCCAGATTTCTACTGGGATAGAGAGCACCTTGAACAGCTATATGATAAAACTTGTCAGTTTCTCAGTATTAATCGCAGAGTTAAGGTATGTATTTCAGTTTTTCCCATACAATAACTAATGCCATATTCAGACATTATTAACTGAGTAAACACATGAGAGGAAGTGCCCTAGCCCTGTCCCCTCCTCATGCATTTCTATTTATACATAAGGGATCTCTCATGCTCTGCAGAATGTTTGACTGTTGTTTGAGTATTAGGTGGTACTCTGAGAACACTTTTTTAGATGTTCAATTACATAAATATCCAAACACTGTCTGGTACAATATGAATATACAGCCTGTGTGAAATACGACTTTGCATATTCACTAGCAAGTATAGAGTGGGGGAGCACTGAATTTGCCATGATTATCTGTTGGACAATTTGAGACATAGCCCAAGACACAACCCTTACATGGCTTTGGCTAAAAGTACCTCAAATACTGCATCCTTCCCAGAGTCCCATTTATCTCTACTGTGTAGAGATTACTCCCTTTCTAATACTCTTCAAGGATGACATTCAGCTAGCAAGAGTGAACAGAAAGGCTTTCTCTCCCACTTGTATCACTAGAGGGACCTTCCAGTTTTCAAAAGCATCTTTACAGTGAACAAAGGATTGCAGCAGGGCAATCTGCATGCAAAATACTGCAAGTTTTAGCATCATATTGTAACTTTTAAGTGGAAAAAGTATTAATTTCCTGCTTAAGCTTTTTGTTCTGTACAGTGATACGATCCTTTAAGTTTAGCATTCTTCCTTAATCCTTTTTGTTTTTAGGCTAAAATGTCTAGGTTGTTCAGTCCTCCTTCAGGGCTTGCTTTTTCTGTACTTGGTTAAACTTTCTGTTCTCTATTTTGTATTAAATGGTACAGTCAGTAAAGTTGACTGTTTAACATTTCATTTTCAAAATATTATTACAAAGCTGCTCATTTTCCATTTGTAGTTTCAGGATTTTTTCCCAGTTTTATCTCTCCCCCGCCCACCATTTCATTATGTTAAATTATAGTTTTTCAGTGCAGCCAGCTGGATTTTTTTCCTCTTGTTATCAGTCTTTTTGTGTGTTGCCTTTCTCACAATGTCATTTTTTTCTTTCCTAAAGAAGGCAGTTAACCTTCTTGTCACAATCTTTGTGACAATCTTACTCTATATTCTGTTCCTGCTGGTAGGTGTGGCTTCATGGTTTTGTCTGTTCTGTACAAGATTTGCTTTAGTGCTGTTCTGACAAAGATTCCTATAGGGTGGCTACATAGTTTATAAAAATAGAGCCCTCAGTAAAAATTATGCATTTAACAAGAGGTTGACTCCAGTATAAACAACATTTTCAGGAAATGCTGATTATTCCTCTGAAAATTATGAAGTGAGAGGACAAACTTGCTATATTCTTGGTAAATGAGGCTTAAAAGAGGAATTTTGAAAAGGTATTACAAATATATAAGGCAGTCTACTTTGATAGTTCCTTGGCTGAGCAGATAGGGATACAAGCTATGTACATCCATTGCTGCATTCTTACAAATATATACTGGTATGAGACACAAACAAGATTGTTAAACCTGTAGAAATAATCTCCATTTAGGTACCATTCATCAGACTGAATGATGCTATATCTGTTTTCCGTTTCAGATCCTTTTAATTCTCAAAGCTTAAAAAGTTAAATTTTCAGTAACTATTAATATGTGCTTGTTATACACATGGCTGATTTAGTCTGTGTGATGTTTTTTAAGCCACTGTTCCATAAAGCTATTAACACTTGTATTTTACTCAGAACTATTAAGGTAGATATCCTTAGCCTTTTTCACTCAATGAGCACGTGCAGAGAACTGCTTGTGGGCATCACCCCAAAATGCCTAATAAGAGGATTGCTACTTTGCACTTGCCTGTTGGGTCTTAAGCCAAAACTTTTGTTTCATTTCTATCAGGTACTCTTTAACTAAGGACTTACTAGTGACAGTACAATGCAGCTAATGCTGCCTTTAAATAAACGTTTTCACAATACCCAGTAGCTGCTTCTTTTTGAGAGACGCTTGTTACATAAACAAACATTCACTGAAGTGCATGCTTTTTAAAAGTGATTTACCTAGTTGATGGAAGGAGAAATGGGAAAAGGATTCACTGTGTCCCTTTGACCACTAAAATACTATTTTCCAATTTGGTATTATTAAACAGCTTCCATAATGCAATGGATGCGGAAATTACAGTGCTCCTGATATATGAATAAGTAGCACATAGACACACCAACTTCTACTGGATATTTGTTTGGATATGTACTCCACTTTTGCTGAACCTGTATATAATTGCTAGAAAGCTATAAGCATTTCAAATAAAAACGTGTCACAAACAAGTAAAACAGTAACATTTAGGTGCCCATAGGTAATGTGTAGGGGACACATTTACAGATTCCATAAGTATCTGTAAGAACTGAATTGTAGATTCCTGGTCAATGGTGTTAGGCGCTGTGCTGCATTCACTTACAGAAATATCAGTTCTTTTATAGTTGGTCAGATGAGGTGATTGTTCAATTCCATTTGGACATTTCATATGACAATTCATTTTAACACACTACCTGGTCAAGGTTTTCAGAAATACAGTTCTTTTATCTCTATGGTTGCAGGTGATAAATGAAAAGCTCCAACACTGTACAGAGTTGACAGACCTGATGAGAAATCATTTAAATGAAAAACATGCCTTGCGTTTGGAATGGATGATAGTGATCCTCATCACCATAGAGGTTAGTCAGTCAAAAATCTACTTCTGTATAACATCAGAAATACATAACAGGTTTATTAACAGATAGCATGTGAGCTCTTACCTTTTTTTTAATATAGTGTATCTATAAGTTACCAATATGTTATCTAGAATATTGGCAAATTCAGTGAAGCATGTCTGGAGAAAGGTTTGCTTTCATTAGACTTGCTACTTCTGGAACAATTTTTAGGAATTTGCAAAATACTTCGTAATGATAGAACATTCTTGAATATTGCAAACACTTCATAAGTGTTACATCAATGATCTCTGCAAGAATGCTGTAAAATAAAGTATCATTACATTAGAAACATAATGTTGAAACTGAACTTAAAAGTTCAGAGTTCATTCTTAGCTGACTTGCTATAACAGAATAGGTTGAACCTATGCAGAAGTGTAAGAACTCAAAATTAGCTTGGCTTTGTTATTCAGGAATACTCTGCACATTTCATGATGAAATTTAGTATGCAGTATTCATGAATATTGAATGCTAATAGTATTTAGAGGATTTTCATTGTGTTCACTTGTCATGGAAGCTACATCTGGTTGACTGAAGAGCTGTAGATTATTGCCTATGAAGTTTTCCATCTAGGAATTTTTTGGTATGTGAAGTAACCCTAAGTTGTACATTCATACTGATATTTTACTACGACACCTTTTTCTGATATTGCTGAGGATGCTTTTCTTTTGTAATTTGGTGGATTTAGAAGAGCCCTTGAATACTTGGGATCTACAGCTGATACTACAAGTCTAGTAGTGGTTATGGTTTGTTTCTTCCAGTCCTGAAATCTCATTTCATAGGTCCTGGAACAGGGACTATAACTGCAAGAGCAAGGAAAAAGCCCCATATCAGCTGCTAAAGGGAGCAGATGGCTATTCCTTTTTGGAGGCAGAGCCTAGACTTGTTCCGTTAGCTCCTGGCCATCCTCTCCCCATCCTATTAGGCTTGCAAAGGCTCTTGTTTGTCTAGGTAGTGCTACTTTATTCTCTTGTTCACCAAGCCTACTTGGTTGAATGAGCAGTAGTAGACTTTTTTCCTTATTCTGACCAGTGGTGGGCAATCTGTGGGCTCCAAGCTATTTTGGTAAACAACTTCTATCAGCCCTAACAGGCATAGTCAATAATGAGCTGTAGCAAAACTGGTAGGCCAAAGCATTTGAAGGAACATGAAGTTCTGTATCCTGCCCTGTTGACACATTTAAAAAACTTAAAGCCCTTTCCAAGTGATCAGCTCAGCCCTCTGGCAAAAATCAGCCTCTCCCTCCCTGAGTAGCCTGCTAGACAAGGAGGGAAGGAAGAAGAGAGCAAAAGGTGTGGCATGAAGAGTGACACAACTGCTGTTTGACTCTGGCCCTGTAACCCCTGCCAGATTACCCTCAAGGAAAAATGGTCCTTGACAGAAAAACAGGATATTTACTCCTGCTTTAGCTGCTGTATTTTTAAAAAATGCTATCTTAGTATATCCATACCTGATGCTAGGATAGGAGGACACCAGTTACAAAGTCTGGAGGGTTGAGATACAACAAAAGAGGGAGGTTAAAACAAAAAAGGGGGAGGGGGTTAAACAGGAAGAAATACATTTTTCTTAATTTGCAGTGAACTAAAAAAAATACAAAAAGTTGCAAGAAAAAGAAAAAAGCCCCTCCAGTGAAAATGCAGGACCTAGGGACCCTCTGCTGCTTCATCTGCCTGGCACAGGATGGCCGAAATCTGTTATGATGCCTGTGATAGGACTGTGACTTAATGCATAATAATAGTTTCTATATTGTTGATTAAACAACAACAACAAGAAATCCCAGGAAGCAATTAGAAAGGTATCATATGCTACCAAATACTTGCAAACAGAATGGTTTTAACCCGGCATCAAAAAGATAACATTAGTGCCAGTTGGATGCCGCTGGGGAAACAACTGGAAGGGGCAACATTAAGAAGGCCCTCTTCTTTGTTACAGTTCTCCAAGCCAGGGGACCCCAGCCCCCAGAATGTGGACCAGTACTGGTCCGTGGCCTGTTAGGAACTGGGCCACACAGCAGGAGCTGAGTGGCAGGTGAATGAGCAAAGCTTCATCTGTATTTGCACCTGCTTCCCAGCGCTAGCATCATTGCTGGGGAGCTGCTGCAAATACAGATTATCATTAGGGCCCTTTTGGATCTTGGGCCTTGAAAGGAGGAGGGAGTGGCAGCAGAGCCAGGTGGCAGGTGGCATGGAGAAGCTGGGAAGGGCACATGTGAGCAGTGAGGGAGCTGGGAAGCATGTAAGGGCTGGGCTGCAGGGCTGGTGGAGGCTCCCATTGATTCTGCATTATGGTCAGTTGTATAACCATTTCTTTATACATTGCAATGTAATAATAATAAAGTGCACAATAAATGTAATGTGCTTTTATAAACCCAAAACCATCTCCCCCCCACACCTTGGAAAAATTGTCTTCTATGAAACCGGTCCCTGGTGCCTAAAAGGGGACCACTGCTCTAAGCTGATCTTACAGGAGGAACCTGAAAGAGGCCCTTGGCTGATGAGCATAGTTCAAGTAGTTCATGCTGGGAGAGCCACTCCATCAGAGATTGAAATCCTGAGTCCTGTAAGTCACTATAGGTCAGAACCAGCACCTTATATTGGACTCAGAAATGTACAAGAAGCCAGTGCAAATGGGCCAGAGTCAGTGTGACATATTTGGACCTACACGATCCAGTCTGACAAATGCATTTTGCAGAAGCTACAGTTTTTGTGTGATCTTCAAAACCTCCCCCACATTAAACACTTTGTAGGAAATTACCCTGGGACACAGAGAACTAATGAAAAGTTACCTTTGTCCAGATAGGGGTGTTCCCTGAGGCCACCTGAGCCTCAAGTAACAAAGATGAGGAGATCCTCCACTCTACATTCAGGAGGAGTACAACCCCTTCCCAAAATAGATTAGGCACCTTCCCTCCTAATAAAGCACCTTATTGTTCTATCTGTCTCTTAGACAGACCAATGTCAGACATTCTGAGGTACAGTATACCCTCGTGAAGTCGTGGTTCAGCATTCGTAGCTTCAGTCTTCCGCGGGTTTTTTCTCTGAGCGAGTCCAAGCTGATCTCCTTGCGGTAAGCCGGTGCCTCACCATGCAGCAGCTTACTCACAAGGAGATAATTTCCTCTGAGTTTGGACTTGCTAGGAGAAAACCATCTCTGCGCACGCTCGCCCCTGCTCCATGTGCACACCCGGCCCGGCCCACGCCTCCCGCCCGCACCACCTTGGCAGCCGGCGCCCATCGCCGGCACCAAATTTGCAGGTTTTCACAATTCGTGGGTGCTTTAGGAATGTAAACCCCACAAATTTCAGGGAACTACTGTAGTTTTCCTTAGAGGGAGCATCAGTTTTTCTACATTCAATCTTAATGGGCAACTTTGAGGGTCTCACTTGGGTTTTTCTCCTAAAGCTTTTCTTTTTTACTTCTGCACAGGTTTCTTAATGATTCTGATACCTGTTTCTCTTGCCCATGGGGTAATTGTTAGGGCTAGGCTCCACAGGCATGAGAGTTCACTTACTGAACACTGGAAATAGAGGGAATAGTAAATCGTGAAATTATTATTTATTTTGCAGGTCTTGTTTGAACTCAGTAGAGTACTTTTCTAATAACTGCACTGAATGCCAAAGAAGTTGAACAAAATTGTGAAGACCTTCACAGCAACCTTCTTTTCTGGATTTCAACTTTATTCTTTACACTTCTGGAAGTTTCCATCACCATTATAATAAATGTATGGATACCTGCTGCTTACAAAATAACTGAAGTCACTGCAATGCAGTAAAGTTTTAATCTGTGATTGTATTCCTAGGAAATTATAATTTATAGTAAATGAATCCTTGTTTAAGAAATTGGTTTTCTAAAGCTGTGTCAAGAGGGGCAATTTCTTATCTGCTATGCCACAAAAATGGGCATATTTTTGCCCAATTATGACATTTCATTCAGCAGAATCAAGTGAAGAATTTCCTATACTGTAACCCATTAAAGTGTGTGTGTAGGGAGGTGGGATGGGGGGAATCTTTAGATAGAAAACTAACAGATCAGGACAGACATAGGCTGAACTTTTTTTTTTTTTAGGATGTTACATTTATGGAATAATTTTTTCAACAGGAAGCAATCCTGTTAGCTGTATAAAGAGGTAACAGTTCAGGAAAAGCATTGTCTGAACATCTGAATATATAAAATTACCCTCAGCTAGCAACAAGCAGACAAAACTTAAGCTCATAAGCAGGTTCAAATTGGAACTGTGTGTATACATTTGTAACTGATGCAGACTTAGGTAATAATGTTTTGAAGATGAAGAGTGCCTGTTTCTTCTAACTTTAAAAAAAGGCCCACAGGTGACTATATTTTCCAGGAAAAAAATTGGAGCAAAGATTCTGAGAGTAGTTGCATCCTTACATTTATCTTGATTAGATATTCCACCCCCAGAAGAGACTGCTTCTCTTAACATTAGCTATTTGATTATCCTTCTCTAAGTCAACTACCTCCAAATTTGACTCAAGATTTAAATTTAACTGAATATAACTGATTTTCTAGTTAGTTAATGTTTAGGTAATTTGGATTGTCCATAAGCTGCTTCTTCACAGAGCAATAGACATATGATCAAAGTAATGTCCATAACTACCTTAGCTCTATTTGAAATCATGCATCAATGATTCTGGGTAAAAGTTATAAAAGTGCAAAAAAATCTGCACGATGTGGTCAAGGTCTGTCAAACTGTTTTGTTGCAGCTACCTGGATATCTCTGGAAACCTGTAAGTAGGGTACAAAAATGAAATCGTTGTCAGTAGCATCTGCTGAATCCAGCTGCAGAGCTTACTTTTAATTATCATGAATAAAAGCTACATTTGTCTAATCATCTAATTGTAATCATCACTATTTATGCACTTTGTGAAGTCTTTAGTATATTGATCGTTAGCATAGGTTTATCAGCTTCACTGGGTGTCAAGTCTTTATTACATAGCTTTCTAATCCATCTGGACTTGTTCTGCCTTTTATTTAATGAAAAGGCTCCTACCATTTTTTCTCACAGAAAGGAACATTTTTGATCATTTTACTTGCTGTTTTGTACTTGCCTAACTCTATCACTTTTTAGATGAGGATGATCCAAATAATATTGTAACACAGCTGGTTTGGGGACACTGTTTTTGACTGTATACCTACAGGGGACTTAACATCTGTTCTTGCTGTCATTTTTCCTCTGTGGTCAAATGACTGATGTCTAAAGGATGTAGTATTAGTATTTTATTATATTTTACTTTGAAATACATTTCAAAGTAGCTTCAGTTTCCATGTATTACACTGATAAAGCAGTAGGTTTGATTGCCCGATTCAGAAGTCTCCTTCATGCACTGGATCAAAGCTTGAGCAAAGCTACACTGACAACCTGTGTTGCCTACCTGGGTACCTAGGTGGGAAACACTTTGAGAAATTTTCTATCTCCAATGCTGAACCATTGCTCCTTTCTACCTCTGCTTGCATGTTTCATTTGATTAAACATATGAAATGGGAGTTTTGTGAAAAACAAACAACCATATCTTAGTTATTGGAAACTTTGACAACAGAATGTATTAACTAGTTATTAGTCCTAAGAGGAGATTACCCATTTCCCAAACCAGTGAGACGGAGGGAAAAAAACTACAAGGCAGGTAGGAACTGTGTTCCAAATACAGGATTACTCTTCTTGAACCTATAGTTTCCTGGTCCAACACCCATTTCACAGAAAGGAAACTGGTAAAGCTCAGACTTAAAAAATGTGACAGAGGAACTGCATACCAGGCAGAGGTGGGGGCTGATCCCTAAATGCCAAATTGGACATTTGTTCCTTCAAGGCACAACATAATACATTTCACATAAACTGGGGCTCAGAAACACACAAACACACCATGCAAGGTACCCATTCAGACCACAAATCCCAAAGAGCTTAACAAAACACACTATACAAAACAAACAAAAACAGCATCTGAGTACAGAAAAACACATATCCTTTCTTCTTCCTCTAACTCACCAGGCATCTCTGTCTAGCCACTCAGGACACTTCTAGCACACTACAAAATGAATTGCTTGGCTACAGTCACTATCATTTTTATTTTCCTGAAAATATATCTGGAATTGCACATGATAAGGAAGGACAGCATTTTATTTTGCCATTATCTTCCCAGTTAATGAAGTATCTTTTAAAACAGAATAAAGGTCAGGACAGACAAGGAGCATAACGGACACCAAAAGAGTGTCATGGTGAGATCCCAAGAGTAGAACATACTGGGCTAGATAAACAAATTTTCAGATTTAATATAAGGTAGCAGCATACACACAGGTAACTCAGTCAACATCACTGATGTGGGGAACTAAATTTCACCAATGCTATTTTTCCATTTCTAAAAATTAAAGTTTATTATAATTCATTAATATGAACAATGTCAGTCAATGAATGCTATAATAATATGCAAGATCAGGAATGTAAAGCTTATTTATTTTCAGATGATTATACTGTTGTATTGCTTTCTACAAAAAACTAAAATAAAACCAAGTATATATCATCCAAGACAAAAGTCAAGTTAAGGGCTCACCTGACCGGCTATACAGATCAAAGACTAAAGCAAAAATATTTTGACTCAGACCAAAAAACTGAAACTGTAATTAAGATCTGTTTCACTTTCAGCAAAAATACAGAGCAGTGTTTCATTTGTTTTCCTGAGCTGAGGAAATCTGAAGTCTTTACAAAAATCCTGCTTAGGGTTTTTGTGTGTGCACACTTTTGGTTAGTAGTCATAACAATGCTTAATCAGAAAAAGCAACATCAGTGGTATGTTGCATTATACTGAAGCCATTAAAGGGAAAACTGGTAAATGTAAATATTGCAGGCAGAAATATACCAGCACAGTAAATCACTGGAAAACATGGTAAATCATACTCTGTTTAAAGCATTGGAAAAACCGTTTTCAGAAGTGTTCATATATTAAGAGAATACATGAATGGTTCTCCTCTTTGTAACTGAGGAAGGCTCTTTCCCACCAGCATTCCAAACTCAGTGCTATTGGAAGGGGCAGGAAATGCTTGGGGGCAAGCAGTTAGCTCATCTATCCTGTCATTCTAGCAATGAGATTCTTAAGCAGTCATTCTGCTGGCCTTCTCAGGTGTACAAGTTCCTGCCCCCTCTTCAAAAACCCAGAGGAAAGATTTTTCCAATGTAGTTCCTGCATCCACATATATTGTTTTGAGAGGTCATCCCTTTATACTTCTCAACAACCCAAAACATATTCATCAACATGCAATTATGCCTTACTTGGTTAGGTGTGTAAACTAGGGTGGCCATGAATCTCAAATACGTAAGAGTGACTTAATGTTGTGAACCACCCAGAAAGCTTAGACTACAGGCAGTATAGTAATGTAATGAATAGTAATAAGGCCCATTCTTGTTTTATACTTTAGAAAACAGACACTCACAAGCCCTAACTTGCTGTCAGCGCCCAGCAAGATGTGTGCATACTTGTACTCAGTGTCTCCAAAACTATTTAACCTAATGAGTTTGCTTACAATTTATAAAGAAGGCAACATATGGCAAAATGACTGAAAACAGAATGACTTGGACAAAGCTGAAGTGCACACAAAAATTGGGATATTTGAAAACATATTGCCCATTTCCTTGGGAAGGTAATGTGGTCACGCATCCCATTACACAGAACCCTCTACTGTGCTTTCAATAAAAACTACAGAAATCAATCAACAATAGGCTTAGTTTCTTTTCAGAAATCTGAAGCACTATTCTATTACTTACATGCACATATGTGACCTTTCAAAAAAAGGTTACTGCAAAATGGACTGGAAACATGCAATTACTGTTCCCTGGCTTTATCAAAAAGCAGTTTTTTCTGTAAAAACAGGCTTGTATTTAATGACCAGAGTCTAAAACTACATGCAATCCTGTGCACGCTTAACTCAAGAATCAAAGTAAAGTGGTGGGGGGCATCTATCTACCTACTTAGTCTACCTATCATATTTAAGACCTACTCAGAAGGTTTACAGATTTCCACTAGACTGAAAAGCTTTCATAAAAAAACCAGACAGATAGAAACAAATTGCTTAACTCCTGTACTCTGTGCATGTTGAGGGCAGCAGCAGGAGCTGCCACTGGTCCAGCCCAGAGGATACAGGGGAAACAATGAAAGCAAGACATGAAGTTACATGGAACAAACATTTCCATTACCTTCACAAGATTTTCTGCTGCACTTTCCAAGCACTTCTGTAGCCAGGTAACCCACCATAAAATCAGCCAGCCAGGTCTGGAAAACGTAACAACTCATTATGGGCAAGAACAACCTTGAAGGAAGCCACAGGTTCTAAAGAGTGGCTTGTTCATGCAAAAATAAGCCATCATGCAGGAAATACAAAGTTCAGAAGACAAAACAACCCTTCACACACCCATTTCTTGGAAAGAAAAAGCCAGCCATGGTCAAAGTGTGATATGCCATCTAAAATCGATTAATGTAATGCATCTGAAAACTTCTTGCAAATTATTGACTGGGATATTACTCTAATGCTAAAAGAGCTTCACTGGGTGCTCGCATGTTTCCAAGCACAGTTCCAGGCTTGGTGCTGATATTCAAAACTCTCTAAATGTGTTGAGACATCAATACCTAAGGGAATGCTTATTCAATACAGAGACCAACTGACATGGGAACTGCCACCCTCTCCTTCAGGTGTCCCATTAGGGGAAGTGAGACAGGTTGCAGCCACAGAGAGAGAACCTTTTTCACTGTGGAACTTCCTATACATGATGCTTGTTTGGGGCTTGCAGGCTATCTTTTTGGTGCCATGCAAAAACCTTTCTGTTCTCCCAAGTTATGCATTACAATTGTTTAAATCCGCTGCCTTTGACTGCTGGTCTTATTTTATTGTTTTCTTTTGATTTTTTTATTGTTGTGAACTGCCCCAGGAACCAACAGGTTGAAAGTCAGTATACAATTAAAAAAATATTGTGAGGATTAATTCTAGTCATCATGGACTTACAGTGGAAGCACAAAGACACTAACACAACCCTATGCATGTGTATTCAGAAATAAGCTTAAGTTGAATGGAACTCATTCCAAACTTAAGTACATAAAAGATTGCAACCACTAGCTATAATTTCATGCACATGAAAGCTCATCTGAATTCAGTTGGGCTTCCAAACAATTATAGAGAAGATTTCAGTGAGAGGAAATCAAGAACATACAGGCTGTAGATAGGGAACAAGCAGCATAAGATGGGCACAAGCTACAAACTGAAACTATATTAGGGACATTAGAATTCTACCTGAGCCTTTAACTATATGAGGCTTCTCCAAGGTGGCTGCCTAATGAGGTACAGGAAGACAGCTCCCATAATTCCTAGCTACTTGGTCAGTGCCCACATGACTGGGGATGGTGGAATCTACAGCTATACATATGTAAAGGAAACCACCTTGGTGAAAGTTGTACTACATATAAAAACATTAAAGTCCAATACATTCAGAGTAAAGAACTTAAACCTCTTCAGATTCATATTTATAATGAAGCCGGTGGAACGAAGCCAGTGCAAAGAATAAACAGGTTTGCAGATCTACTGGTGACACTTCATAACATATTCATTCAAGGGACTCCTTACATTTTTCAACAAAGAAAATATCCCTAATTTAATGCTTTGTAACAATCTACTAGCAGTCAATAAATAAAGTCATAACAAAACCAGTTCATTTTATTTACAACAAAGGTCTATTTGAAAAAATCCAAGAGTGCAAACAGTCCACACAGCTTTGAGCGACTTATTAAAAGGGTTTTACATTTGAACAGACATGCACGTGATTGCATTGTAAGCAAAATATATATAAATTTTGCTTTATCATTAAAATAGGATAATTTTCATACATAAAATAGCAGAGTAAATGCAGATGCTTGAATTTTAACCAAAAAAAAAAAAAAACTTGCATAGCCACAAATAACGAAGCCAAGTACAGAAATAACCTGCCTCAACCTCAACAGGAAATAAGAAGACTAATACAGAGACAGTAATTTAGTAGTATCCAGAATACAAGCTACAAAATATCTTTATGAGATACATCCATTATATCAGCAATCCTATACAAACTTACCAACTCCCACAAATGTGAATGGGATTTTTCTAAGCAAACACATACTGGGATACTGCGATTATTTGAGTAATATTTCTAACATCAGATGCATGGCCTATTATTCAAAACACTTCCAGTAGAAGTGCAGATGACACCACATTTACAGAGTAAGTTTATACTTTTGTGGTATGCCACCCGACTTTTTAAAAAGTCTAGAAAAAAATGATTTTATTGCATTTCTACTATTACAACACTTCTGTTCCGAAAATGATTGCACAAAAGTAATCATTTAGGTCCACAGTTATGTGGCTACCCTTCATCCAAACTTTAGGCACATGAAAACACCAATAACTTCGACAATAGCCAAGTGTTTGTAACTGTAGATTGAATGTGTCCTACCTGTATTACCAACAGTGGCTTGCTACTCAACTTGCAAGTTAATAAAAGTGCTACTGCTTATCTTAAAAAGTGATCCTATTTTCAACTCTTCCCACAATGTAAGGTTTGTTATCATTTACAATCTATCAAAGTGTATTTTAGAAATATGCAAATGTAAATTGGTTAGTTTGCTCCTTTTCAAAAGCCATTAAAATAGTACGATAGATTAGCCTTGAATAGCACTGCTTCCCCTTCTCCCCTCTTCCAACAAGTAGTTCAATATTATTCATGTCCACTCAGAAGCAAGCTTCACTTACTTCAGTGGCAGATACTCACTGGAATTTCTGCACCGGACCGCTGCCTAAGTGTACATAGTTTTTGTTTTGGCCACCTCGTGGCGATTCCCTCCCTCTACCGAAAAGGAAAATACTGAACAGAGAGAAGGGCTGAAGATCACATTCACGCTTCCGTACGCCGGTGTCAATGGATTCTATCCCAAGGAGCCACACACCCGCGGGCCCCGCTCCCTTCTGCGCCCACCGCCGTGGCAGGGAGAGCGCGCGCGAGTGCCGAGCCCCGCCGGTGCGGCCTGCATGCCGCCCGCTGAAGGCGGCGCGCGCAAAGACAGGCAAAGCCAGGCAGGCGAGCGTGCGGGCGGGCGGGGAAGGAGGCGAGGGGGGAGGGGTGGCTCCTGCTGCTGTTGCCGCCACAGCTCTCGTCGCCGCCTCCCCTCCCCCCTCCTCTCTGTCTCTCCCCGGCGGGGGCTCTTCGCTACAGCCTCTCTGCTCCGCTCTCGGTCATGTGACCCTAACGTAACCGGACAGGAAAAGCCTCCGCCGCCGCCGCCGCCGCGCTGACTCCGTTGTTGGCGCGGCTGCTGCTGCTGCTGGGCGCGCGGAGACGGCGGGGGCCTCCGAGAGCGCGAGCCAGGTGAGCGCGGTATGCCCACCCCCTCATTCCCGAGACGGGCAGAGAGGGAGGGAAGGTGTGTGGCGGCGGGAGGCCACGGTGCCTCCCCCCGCCATTGTGCTGGCGGTCGGGCTAGGCCGGGTCGGGTCCCGGAGGAAAGGAAGAGGGCGCCCCGAGCCTCAGAAGGGGCTTCCCGTCTAACCGGCTGGGGCCTAGGGATGGTGGCTGGAAAGGAAGCTGAGGCTGCAGCCCCGGGGAGGTGGGAAGATCGCCGGGTCGGGACTGGAGGGGGAAAGCCACTCTCGCCAGCCCTGGAGGGAGTTGGCCTGATCTGGGCTCGGCTCGGTTCGCTCCTTAACGCCTGCCCGCCCGCCCTCGCGCCGGGTTTCCGTCCCTCCCTTCCTCGCACTCGCCAAGCTGCGTCGCGGCCTTTTCCCTTTTTTCTCTCACCAGCGGCAGCAACAGCCCGGCCTAGGAGGAAGGGGGAGGGGCGGGCGCTGAGGCAGCCGCGCGGAGCGGGAAAGGGAGGGGAGAGAGGGAAGGGGGGGTTGATGGTGGGCGGCTCCGTCTGCGTCTCCTCAGCAGCCTAGGCGGCCCTGGCGACAGCGGCGGATCCCGTCTCTCGCGCGCCTTAGGCGCCTCAGCTTACTCGCTCGCGCTGGTTACGTCGCCTCGCGCCGCCGTCCGTCCTGCGTACGCCACGCCCCCTCCGTGCATTGCGTGTGCGCGCACGTGGCGGCCCCGCGTCACCTGCGGAGGGAAGGGGGCGGGGCCGAGCGCAGGCTGCGAGAGGCGGCGGCGGCGGCGGAGGCGGAGGCGCGCGGCGGCTCTCATCGCCTGCCCTCCCCGGCGCGTAGGCAGCCAATAGGAAGCGCCGCTGTCGCAGACACAGCGTGATTCACCACGGGAAGCGGGGGACGAGGGCGAAGGGAAGATTCCAGTCCTCCACCGCTATTGGCTGCTGTTGCTCTCCGCTCGTCTCGCTGGCGCCGATGAGCGCGTCGCGCCTGCTGGGATCCTCGGGCGAGCACGTCTCCTGCAGCTCGCTCGCCCGCCCTTGCGCGCCGCTTCGGGAAGCCGCTGTTCCTCGGCTCCGCCGGCAGCCGTCCCAGTCTCTTCCTCCCGGCCAGCTTGCAGTCAGGCTCCGCCGCATTTGACCCTTTTATTCGATCTTCTACAGTTGTACCTATTCTCTTGGCAACACCTGTAGAATGGAAAATACAGGCACACTCAGTCACATTGACCTTCAGCTTTTATTTTATGCCCAAATAACAAGGATCTTGAAGGAAAAACAGGGTTGATTCACAATTCCATTACAGGGGGACACGTGGCTTTACAGAATCGCCAGATTTTCCGAGTCTCAGTCAACTAAAAACATCAGGGGAGGGGAGCAGTCAGCTAAATATTTTCCCTGCCCTGTGTCATCCCCAGTGGGAGAATGTATGGTATAGGAAGTGGGTGTCATCCAGCGGCCACCACCCACATCAGTTAAGTTTTCCAGGTTTAAGTAAACTCCATCGGGAAGTAGACTTTATGAAAGTAATCTTCAATGAAACCCAGTCGTTCGTACAGGAATCCAAGCTTAATCTGAGAATACAACCACCACAGGAGGTCCCATTGTTTGGCACTTTTCCCAACCTCACTAAACTCTTAATTCCAGTTAGCTTTCTTTATCCCTTCTGCCCATCTCTCTTGTGATCTTTCTCCTCTGCATCATCTAGCCACAGTCTGGTCAGGGCAGGGCAATCACAAAACCTCTTCCAAACTTGAGCTCCAGCCCACTTAGGGGGTGCAATCCTACTGCAGTGCCAGACAACCCCTGAACTGAGGTGGGGTGTGATCATCTTTGCAGAGTAGGAGGAGCACCAAAGCTGATACATGCAGGCTTTTTTGCTGATCCAGAGCTAGTGTTTTGGGAACAACCAGAGAGCATCTCCTGCCTCCCTTTGTCCACTCACTGGAATGCCTTCTTTTCCCCCTCTCCAAAGTTGCATTCCTGACCTCAGAGGACAGCCAGTATGGGTCATTTCTTCTTGGCTGCCAGTGGGGGAGGGGGTATGAAGGCTGGAGCCCTGATTTTCAGCTTCAGTGTTGGGCCACTGTCTCCAGCCTTGGAGCTGGGGATCTAGATTGTCATGTGGAGCCTGAAATGCTGCCTATGTGTCATGGGTTTGCTTCACAGGTCACTTAAAACCTGACAAAGCAGAGGACATCCTTATTGAAGCAGCTGTCCTGAAGAATGGGCTTTCTGCACAAGGCCACCCATGTCCTAGAGCCAATTACCCACAACATGCGTCCCCAAACTACGGCCTGCGGGACGGATCCGGCCCACCATGGCCATCCATCCGGTCTGCGCTGCTGTTCGCTGCCCGCACGCATGCTTGCTGGGCGGGCGGGGAGGTGGTGGCTCGCTTGCTCGGAGATGATCTCTGAGTGAGCAAGCCGCCGTTGCCTGCCTCCTGTACATGCGCGCTTGCCGCTGCCTCGCAGTGCGGGGTGGGGAGGTGGTGGCTTGCTCTCTTGGAGATGGTTTTGGACTCACTGGGAGATCTCCAAGCGAGCGAGCCGCCGCCACCCGATTCCGCCTCGCACGTACCCAACGGCACCTCACGGGCCCTTGCCCCCAGGCACCCCCACCTCACCGGCCTGCAAAGGTTACTGCAGCCTTCCAACTGGCCCCCTATTGAAAAAGTTTGAGGACCGCTGACCCACAGTATCTGTGACTCTTTTGTACTATTTCTCCTTTCTCACAAATATAAATTCATAGATCTTTGATGATTTTTATTAACCAAATTAAGAGTTGTAAGGGTTGATCCTATACAGTTTAGCAGTTTAGACAGAAAAAAGGTTAGCAGCTTCCAGCATACTGCAAATTAAGGGTCTTTTCTCTCTAAATTTGCATAGGATTCTGCTCTTAAAGTAGTCTTCTTTTCATCATACTTGAATATGTGTTTCCTTTCTCTTACAAGAAAAAGCATGATTGAAGCATTTATTTTGATAAAATGTGTTACTCCCACCAAGGGCCAGATAAGCATTGCATCTAAAAAGCAGGTTTGTGTCAGAATAGGAGTCCCTCTACGTACAGGTGTTTGCATCCATGTAAGGTTACACAAGATTGCAGGTTTTTGTCCCTGCTCAGAAAAAGTTAGCTGCTTCCCCCATTAGTTATTTTTTACACGTGCTTTTGGTCTGAACAGTAGCACACGTGCATGCACAAACAGCTTTTCTCAAGTTCAGCCAAGTGTGCAGAAAGTGAGGAGGGGTAGGTTGCCCCAGCGCCCCACAAGACGGAAGGTCTTTAGCATATGGTTTCATATTACTAAGTTAATGGAACAACAAGGTTCTGCCTGTTTTATATACTACATTTAAGAGCAAAGCCATCATGAGCATGCCATATGAATGAACTGGAAGACATTTTAATTTTGCAATAGACATCTGAATGAGTGAAAAAACTCATTCAGACTTCCAGATTTTTTCCATTCCAAAAATCTGTTTCTTCCACAGTCAGAAGCCAAAACAATTCTGGACCTACATGGAACACTAGACAGGTTTGAGTTCAGTTGCATTGTTTCTCAAATTTTTTTCTGCATGGAGTTTTCTCCATATTATTAGTTAATTTTGTTTTATTTTCATACCACCCAATAGCTGAAGCTCTTCAGATAGTTTACAACAGTTCTTAAAACAATATAATAAAATACCATAAATGTTTCCAAATACAAAATCAGGCACCAGTTTAACACATCCACAGCCTCACCTGATGCTAAAAAGTGTCAGCAGCATACTGATGACAATGCAGTCCAAAACTCTTGATAACACGCCCTCAGCTGTTTCATGTAGCTGTTAACCTGGAGGACAAAACAGACCACTTAGGAACCTCTGGAGAATCCAGGGAGTTGCAAACATTTCCCCAAGCATCACCTTCTGGAGTCGGCTATTCAAGGTAGGAGTGGCACCACTGCAACACTCACTCCCAATTCAAAGTGTCACCCTGGAGTGATACCATGGTTGATGGTACTGAAAGCCTCCAAGAGATCTAGGAATATCCACAGCCTCCCCCCCCCCCCCCCCCCGCTAAGGTCTTCATGGAGGGCCCCCAGTATTGTTTCCATGCCTGTCTGAAATGGATCCAGGCAATCCATCTCATCAAAGGGCACCTGGATCTGGTTGGCTGCCACCCACAAAACAACCTTCCTTGGGAAAGAAACATTAGAAATTAGCCTAAAATTACTAAGATCTTCCAAGTCGAGAGGATTTCCTCAGCTTTGGTCTTACTGTCAGCTTTGTCAGGTGTCATGGGACCACTGCGCCCCCTTGCAGGGAGGCATTGTCCCTTTCTGTTGTTCCCTTTTTGCTGACTTTTATAAGCCAGGAGGGGAAGGATCCAGTACAGAAGCGACTGTACAAACCTGCCCAAGCATTTAGTCGACATGTTTGAGCTGCATACTAACTGGAACTTATCCAACAGAACAGGACCAGGCTGTGCTCTGGGTACCTCACTTGATTCAGCAGATGCAAGTCTTGGCAGACTCAAGAGATCATATCCTGGAAGTGCCCAGCAAGTGAAGTAGAGTGAGCCTAAGACGTCCTTGGGGCCGGCATGTAGTAGACCCTTAAAAGCTCTACTGGGCAGCAACTCGAAGACTGAATAGAGGCGGTGAGAGATTGTTTCTTTGCTGCCCTCACTGCCCCTAAAAATGCCTGGCTGTGGGCACATGCAAGAGTTTGAGCCAGTGTGGTGTGGTGGATAAGAGTTCTAGTCCCTGCCTGGCCGTGGAGCCATCTGAGTGACTCTGGGCAAGTCACAAACACTCATCCCAACCGACCTCACAAGGTGGTGGTTGTGGGATAAGACTGAGAACAGGAGGAGAAGTATGTAAGCCGCTTTGAGTTTGTTGTAAGCAAAAAGCAGGATATAAATCAAATAAATAAATAAATAAATAAATAAAATGTGGTTGCACCCACTAGCTGTTTTTCTCCATCAGCACTCAGCCTGCCTTCTTTCATTGCTCTTGGATATACCATGGAGCTGTGAGAACCCAGCAAGAGAGAGCAGAGCGCTCAGGAGTGATTGTGCCTGTGTTCTTCAGCCAGGGTTTTTGCAGGAGCACCAACTAAATAACCCCCCCACCCCCACCCCGAGCCATCTGAAAATCACCCAGACACATTAGCCTCTGGGAAGTGGACCATCTTAATAGGTGCCTGCCTTACAGAGGGGGAAAGATGTCATCAGTCTAAATTTCAGCAAGTGGTGATCTGGCTATGGCAAAGGGACTTAGATCCAAGTCTCACACCCGCAGAGCACCACCCCCATATTCAGCTGAAAAAAACAGGACTAGATTGTGCCCTCCTACACCTTGTAGCGAGTAGGCCAGGCACTCGCTCTTTGCTGACTCTCCAAGGCCTGCATTATCAGGTTCTGAAGAAGACACAAAGCAGGAGGCGATGAGGCAGGGCGGGGGGGGGGGAAGGAACCTTGGGGCCTCCATCAAGGTAGCGGCCCAAAGTTTCCCAGGACAACTGTGATAGCAGACATGTTTTGGAAGTGAAGGGGGCGGGGGGTGGGGGTCCCAGGACAGGAAGGAGAGCCGTTGCCTTGCCTGGTTCCTGACCCCTTGAAGAGGCACCTGGAGAGACAGGCTACGCAGTCAAAGGGCTTGTGCAGGCCTCACCATGCAGCGTTACTGAAATGGAAGCCTTTGGGAGAAGTTTCCAGGTTGGCATTAACACTCTTTACATGAGCAGAGGTATATTCAGTTTGCTGGAGTGCACGTAAGAGTTGCATTGTCCCGTTGGCTGTGAAGTACCAAAACAGATCCGCCCTGTCAAAGAAGGGAAGGGTCCGGCTCACAACACACACGTTGCAATGACGACATGTTGGGACAGTGCCATGGTTGTCATGGAGGTGCCCCCCGCCTAAATGTTGAAATTCCCCAGAACCAACAGCCTGTGGGATCCCAACATCACATACAATATGTCCTCCGTCAGCTCAGGCAGGGTCACTGATTGGTTGGGGTGGGCAGAATCTCCATTTTTTGTACTAATAAATCACTGAGGTTTTGGAAGCAATCTGGTGCGTGTTGCTATTCTCATATGTACAATAATGAGACTCTGATCCTTCATCTTTCACCTTTACCCAAGCCTCCCCCAACACGGTGATCTTCAGTTAGTTTGCACTGCAACTCCCATCATTCCAGGCCATTGCCCATGTGGTCTGAAGCTGATGGGTGCTAACATACGTAATGTCTGTGCGCCACCACATTGCTGTGCAGAGTCAGATGGGAAATCTATTCCCAGAGTTTCCCTCAGGTGAACTGAAGTGCCGCTGTGTGTCGGGCAGTGTGGTTAGGTGCTGTGTCCTGCAGGTCCACAGCCTCTCTTTCTCCACTTCTTGGCACATCTTCAACACACCTCTGTTTTGTGCTTGCTCATGTCTTTGAGGTGGCCAGCAATCGAATCCCAGAGTCAGATCTCTCCTTCTGAGGGTGCACCGCTCTCTCCAAACTCAGAAGTGGAACTCTGCCCTCTCTGACTCTCCCTGCAACACCCTCCCAGGACTCGGTGGTGCATTCAGTATTGTAACAAAGGGGTTTTGTGACAATTTCTTCTCAGAGTTATAGTCATCATAATGTTTACAGATACTGCGATAATTCCTAGTTTCCATGGAAAGGATTGAAGATATTCCTTTTGCATTTCATTAAAATTGGTTATTCTAGCCAATGAATTAACCTTTGTACTTTTGAGTGAATTTATCATAGGTATGGTATACACACCTGGTCCCAATTGTTTTATATCCTAGTATTCCAGGTCTGTAACTTTGGAACAGCAGTGAACTCAGAAGCCAGGTGTATTTTTCAAATGAAAAAAGTTACATGCTAAACAGGGGAGGAGAGAGCACACACTGTTTGCTTCAGTCCTGATTCACTTTCCCATGCTGGCAAACACTCTTGCATGGGCTTGTGATGTCACTGGGAATCACTAGTGGGTCAGATTCTGACAAACAGCGCTCAGAAAATGCAAAGTATTTCTATGGGCACTTAGGCCTAGTCATTTGGATATATTTTAGGGATTCCTGCATTTGTTTTAAAGATCCTGATCTTTCATACAATTCTACAATTATATTTGGGACTTTGCAAATAATAATCATAATCATAATCATAATCATAATAATACTTCATTCTGTAAATGTTTCACTCACTCTCCACTTTTTCATTATTGTCTGGGTTCTGTTTTGCACACATCTGTTTTCTGATCCAAGACTCAGTTTTCCTTGCATCTACTGCAGGGGTGGGGAACCTGTGGCACTCCAGATGTTACAGTACCACAGTTTCCAAATCACTGATCATGTAGGTTGGGGCTGATTAGAGCCTAAGAGCATCTGAAGTACCCCATCCAATGATGGCTTGGAGCAAATCAACCTCTTGGCACTATCTAAAGTCTGTAGACATGACCTGTTACTGCCTGAGGATCACATGCTCTACAGAGTGTTACTATGTTGTGCTGTGGCCAAGTTATCTTTAAGGACATCTGTCTTCATCAAGCTTATTTGATTTTACAGATTTTAAAAGATGGATTTGGCCAACCATGGTCTTATTCTTCTGCAGCAGCTCAACGCTCAGAGGGAGTTTGGTTTTCTATGTGACTGCACTGTTGCTATTGGTGATGTCTACTTCAAGGCACACAAATCTGTCCTTGCCGCTTTTTCCAACTACTTCAAGATGTTGTTTGTTCATCAAAGCAGGTAATAACAAATTATTCAGCTGTTAAAAAGGGAAAGATATACAGTTTGTTGAGTAAAGTGAACTGAAGGAATTATTGAGCATTAAGGCAGCCTGATGTGACTTGCTCTGTGTATCATAGTAAGTCATCTTTAGCTCAGTCCACAAGTCAGTTCAGCCAATTATCATTAAGATTTGGAGGACTTCATTGCTATCTAGTTGGTGGATCCGATTCAGTGAGTACTATCCTGAAGTTATTTACCTGGGAATAAATTAGCATCCTCTCACAGCATGCAACCTAACTGATAGGTGCTTGCACTGAAACCTGACAATCACACAGATGTAAAATTCAACACCCTTGCGAATGTGCCATCTCCAGTCCTGGCAGTAACTGTCAGAAGCATGCAATTCCAGACCATGTTTCCTTTCTGCTGTTCCATTTTTGCAGCTGGAAGCACTAAACTTTGCATGAAAGCACATGCCATTTTTTGTTAGCCTTTGAAGAGAGGAAAGATTGAACTTCTGATACAATTCTCAGTATCTGGCTTGTAAAGGAGAGTCATTAAGCATGGTGCATCTTACATTTTAAATCTACTCTCTTCTCAAGGTTTTCTTTGTCAATGAATAAACCATATGGAAAGTGCCGAACTCCTGTTGTTCAGTATAGCTTGGAGAGTATTAAAGGGTAAAGAGGATACCATAATCAAGTAAACTTTATTTGTGAGGTTGGAGCATGTGAGCCCAACCTAATATCATCACAGCCAACAGCCAAGGGTTCAAATGGCAAGTACATACAGCTTAGTTGTCCAAATGCAGGAGATCTGTGGCTTTAGTCTGATGCATGAGGATCTGTATTATACTACGAGTGAATATATACAGTTGTGGTCCCTGTGGTTTTCTTAGCTGTTTGCTGTAAGTTTCTTCCTTTGAAACTGATTTTACAGGAATTAACTGTTATGCGTTGCCTAAAATTCAGATACAAACAGAAATGACTGCTATTTTTCCAGAGCAAAAGCAACATTTAATCCATTTTTAAATAAAAATCAATAACAGTTACTTAAATATTTACATTTGCAGCACTGTCCTATGCATCTTTGTGAAAAACTAAGTCAGTGACGTCAATGGGACTTATTCCTTAGTAACTATGGATAGGAATGCAGCCTTGTATTCTTAAATTATTGTAATTCTGCAGTAGTATGCTATTGTTTAGCAGTGTTCTTAAATACTGTTTTACCATTTGTTTCAGTGAATGTGTGCGTTTGAAGGCAACTGATATACAGCCAGATATTTTCAGCTATCTTCTGCATTTGATGTACACTGGAAAGATGGCTCCTCAGCTCATTGATCCTGTTCGACTGGAGCAAGGGATAAAGTTTCTGCACGCATACCCTCTAATTCAAGAGGCTAGCCTTGCCAGTCAAGGAAATTTTGCACATCCGGAGCAAGTTTTTCCACTGGCATCTTCCTTATATGGCATTCAGATTGCAGACCACCAGACAAGAAATCCCACGAAGTCAGCCACGGCTGCTGACAAACCTTCTCGAGAACCAAGGCCACAGCCACCAAGAGTAAACCAAGAACAGGTGCATGAAGCCTCCCAGCTGTCACAGTTGCCACCACCAACTCTGCCACAAGTGCCCCAGTCAAACATGACTGCTTCTGACCCACTGCAGTCTTCGCTGTCTCCAGAACTGGTTTCAGCTGCTTCGCATCCTTCTCCTCCGGGTGATGAAACCAACATGGAAGCCTCTTCCTCAGACGATCAGCCTGCTTCTCTCACAATAGCACATGTTAAGCCAAGCATTATGAAGAAGAATGGAAGCTTCCCCAAGTACTATGCTTGTCACCTCTGTGGTCGACGATTCAATTTACGAAGTAGTTTGCGTGAACATCTCCAGATTCACACAGGAGTGCCATTCACATCCAGCCATCATGGAGAAAGTAGCCTCCCCCTGTCTCTTTGTAATAATGCAGCTGAAAAAGATGCTATGGAAGTGCCTGAGGCTGGAATGATCAGTGATAGTGAGCTGCAGCAGATCTCAGATTCACCAATAATCGATGGACAACAGCAGGCGGAAACACCACCGCCCTCTGACATTGCTGACATAGACAACTTGGAACAGGCAGATCAAGAAAGGGAAGTTAAACGGCGGAAGTACGAATGTTCCATTTGTGGACGGAAATTCATTCAGAAAAGCCACTGGAGAGAGCACATGTACATACATACTGGCAAACCTTTCAAGTGCAGCACCTGCGACAAAAGTTTCTGCAGGGCCAATCAAGCTGCAAGACATGTATGTCTAAACCAAAGCATGGACACATACACTATGGTGGACAAGCAGACTCTGGAGCTTTGTACTTTTGAAGAAGGCAACCAAATGGACAATATGTTGGTACCGACCAACAAACCTTATAAATGCAACTTGTGTGACAAAACGTTCTCCACACCTAATGAAGTTGTCAAGCATTCGTGCCAAAGTCAAAACTCTGTCTTTAATCTAGAAGAGGATAGATCCATTTTGCTAGGTGGTGGGGATGCTGAAACCACAGAGAGTGACCACTCTGTCTTAGACTCTATCAAAAAAGAACAAGAAGCAGTGTTGTTAGACTGATTGTGAAACTTGTATCATTTTTTTACAAAAACAAAAAAGCTAAAAAAATGTTTTACTCAGTTTCATTAAGCCTATCCTTCTGCCCTCCCTCTCAGCCATAACTACACTGACATGAACAGAAGTCTGGCTGTCCCTTTTCCCAACAAAAATATAAAATTAATAAAGGGTATGAATAGTGCTAAAAATGCATCTGTAGCCGACTCTGAGGGAGCAATCCTGTGGTCTCTGGTTGGTATTTGTGGGTCTGTAGGGTAGTTCGGATTCCCAGATGAGAGGCTGGAGACCTTGGAGGAGGGCATCTAAAATCTGAGCCCCTCCCTTTGCAGCTGGTGCAGAAAAAACATGCCGACTGACCACCAAGGTTGGGAACTCAACTTCAGAGAGCAGAAGGGGGCATTTTGGTGGGAGCGGAGGAGAATTGAGAAGCTGGATCCTGTCCCTAGCTTGTGCCAGCCTCCTTCCCTTTCCTTCCAAAACACTGTCGCTAGAAAGTCCATCTAGCTTTTTTCTTTTGCTAAGAGTCTGCCTAGCAAAAAAAAAAAAAAACACCATGCAGGGTGGGAGAACAGGGAGGAGAGTCTCCAAGTTCAGGGGCTCATAATCATCAAGGGCACAACCCAGAGGATTGCACCCTAACTATGTTTTAAGTCAGTTTCAACATATACTTGAATGCATTAGGATGCAGGATGAGAAAAAGGAACAAACAAATGTTTTTTGAAGTACAATTATTTCCCCACCTATCAAATTACCTTTTCGAGGAGGAGGAGTTGAGGATAAAGAAATCTCATAGTTATGTATCTCATGACCTGTGTCTGTCATTTTACAAAGGCTGAACGATTCCCTTAATGAACCAGGGATATTTTTTAATCCACAACATTTTTGTCAAGTGTTTCTTTTCAGGTAACTTCATTGGCATAAATGTCCATTCAAAGCATGTATTAACTAAGGCTGTGATCCCAGGCACACTGCCTTGGTAGTCAAACCCATTGGCAACAGCAGGGCTTTAACTTCCAAGCAAATGTGTTTAGGATCAGATTTTACTAAAATATCAGTAATAATGTGATGGCAATCGTTTTATATGGATAAAGATGTGTGTGCGCACACACACATGTGCGTCAGGTAAATGCAGGTAAACGTACATATGCACCCTTCTCAAACAAACTGGTTTCCAGTTTTAAATAATTGAAGCATTTTTAATGTCAGACAAAATCATTCTTTTTACAAGTAAATTAAATTCATCCTGCGTGTATGCATTTTTATCCTTCTGAATGGAAACGGATGATGCATACTGTCAGCCAAAACAGGGAGGAAATCAAGAGTTAAGAATAATTGTACATATTGAGCCCTGTGTTATACATGTGGGATAACAGATGTGAGCCTTTCTAGAGACAGAGAAAGAAGAAAAACACTTTGGCTTTTTTATCAAACTATTAATCTGAGTTTATCTAATTAACACGTAGGAATTAAGGAAAAGGGAGTCTGGTCTTAAATACTATTTAACTACTAGCATCCTCTTGTAATATAGCAGAAGGGAGAAGAATGATGAGAATATATCATGGTTGGTCTTCAAGTAATAGTGCAACATTGAGTGGGAAGCTGTATGTTCTTTATGTTCCATTACCTTAGCTCCAGTCAGGCAAAGTATGCAAAAATAAGGGGGACACATTGTACATTCAGTTTTTGCCCTGGACAGTACTGTCTGCAAATTTAAAATCAAGAAGCTGATTTTTATCTTTCTTTTAAATATATAAATATCTGAGTATTCACAAGTAATATTAAAAAAAGAATAATTTGTACTGGTGAGAAAGTTTCAGTAAAGAAGTATCTCACCAGAAATGCAGGCAGTGTTTTGATGGGGGAGAGAGGCAGATAAGAGCTCTGCTCTTGTATACATGTTTTATTTGAGTATCATCCTTTTTTGTGTCTAGTTATGTTCTCCAGTTTGTAAGTTTTTATACATTATTTCACAGAATAAAAATGATATAAAATGAGATGTGATTTTTGTCAAGTCAGAGGTGAATGAATGCAACTTGGTCACGTGCAGCACTGCAAGCTCTGCGCAAGTCTTGGTGTTGGACTAAAGACTCCCACCAGGCACCAAAAGGCATCTTGAACTAGTAGAGGCAGGTCATTCTGTGCTGAAGCCAGACTAGCTATTGATGCTGGGAAGAGGGAAGGCACTGCCTAATGAGCAGTCCTACTATAGGACTGCTGTTGGCCTCATGAGCCCTGTTAGGTCTGTATCTTCTCTCGCTGCCACACCCACTGTGATAACAGGCATAGCAAACATACCTGTTGGGACACACGTCTCTCCTCACATCAGATCAACCACATGAGTGGATAGGATCGGACTGTAAGTTGTCATTTTAACAAGTTTAAAGGGCTAGAAAGTGGTCTTCCAGATGTTGTAGAACTCCAGTTGCAGTAACTCCAACCAGTGCAGAGAATGGTCAAGGGCAATAGGACCTGTAGTTATTCACCACGATTTATTTATTCCTTGATAAGGTTCATATAACCCACCTTTCAGCCATACCTCAGAGTTGTACAATGACCCACACTCAGTCTGTACGTGTTACGTTGTCTGAACCCAGTTACTGAGGATCAAGTGAAAATCTAACTTGATGTGGAGGCAGGTAAGAACCTAAGCTAGCTTTGGTGCTTTCTTTGCTATGGCGCAAACCTTGGTTAATACATGCTGATGGCAGGCAGAATGTGAGACAGTGCAAAATGATTTGCTCTAATATGTAGCCTTCCCCAGCACAGTGCCTCTAGCTTTTTCAGACTGCAGTCCCCGGCATACATAACTATTAGCCATGCTGACTGGAGCTGATGGGAGATGATACCCAAAACATGTGAAAGACACAGGTGATGGAAAGCTGCATTGTGGAATGCCACTGTATTTAATTTCAACTTACCCATTTACTGGAGAAAACAGCTTTTCTTTGAAAGTAAACATGTTGAAACTGGAGCAACATCAGTATCACCTTTGCAGTACAGTATTTCACCTAGTACCGTAGCTTCTATAGGTTTGGCATTCTGCACAATGGACATGATGTTTGCACATATTCTCCTTTTAGCATTTTTAAATCTACTGCCATTGTACAAAGAGTCATTTGAACAGCTTGTGTAGGAGACATTTATGTTCTAACTGGCTAATTAACTAATATAAAATGGACATTAGGAGAGACTGGATCTCCTAATGCTCCAAGAATGCATCCAGAATGCACCAAGATTTGGACTCAAATGTGAGATTATCACAATTTTGGCCTTGTGTCCTTCCATGGAGTGTCAAATAGGTAGTGCTCATTACACTGATAAATGTAAAGAACATGCTAATAATCTTGCAAATTTTATAGAGTATCAAGGCCACATGGTAAGCAGATCTTAGCTTCATTGCCTACTTATGAGTAAATTACTTACTGGGCGATAGTCCATTTTGTATGTTTCCATACAATGCCTAAGCTTTTTATACCTTAACCATACCAGTTCTGTTTTTTGGCCTCCTTTTTGAGGAATATGTAATTTCCTCAAAGCCAGGACTCTTAACAGAATAGATATTTGTGAATTAAATGTTCAAGGAGACTCAGCTTGGATGATACAAACCTTCCAGCCCCAGCAAAAAGAATAACATTTCATTTAAATGAAACTTCTGTTTCATTTCCATTCTTTTCCCCAATTTATCTTGAGCTCCAAAGGCTGAGCATCTTAGACCACTTCTAGAAGGTGCTCAGGTTTGAGTTCTGGCAATATTGTGGAAAGTTGTTCCAGAATTAGAAATGTATAAACCATGAACATGGTAGGCAAAACAAAGCACTTTTAAGCCCACTAGATTTCAACTTTTTTTTTTTACTGGAAACAATAAGAGTTAGTAATTTCAGCTGCAAATTTAAACTAACACTATGTTTGAAAGCTTTCAATTTAGTTATTTAGTTCACACAGATAAAATTTCAGTCAGTTCTGCTACCAGTTAATGCACTTCCATGGGGATAGGCAAATAATGAACTTGCCTATATGGAAAGCCATTACAAGAGAAATGTGACAAAGGGACAGTCGGTTAGTTGACAATGACAATCACATTTCCCACCTAAGAGTGTGTTCAATAAACACTGACCCAATATTGTGACTTGGGCCACAAACCTCTGTGTATTTACCTTGGAAAACAATAGGACCAAGTTGGCTGTGAGGTGTGACACACTTGTTGCATTGGCTTCAGTGTGACTTAATTGTGACTATGACCTGTTCTACACACGTTCCATAAGAAAGTAACATCTTGAGGTAGCAAATTCAAGTGTAACGCCTCATATCTCAGATGGAGGACTCTGACATACATACATATATTCCATGTAATTAGGAATAGAACGGCAAGGAGCAGGTTGTTTTAGAACCCCACTCATAACTGTGGGTCAGTGACCATCATAACACGTTCGTTCATTCACATGTAGGGAGCCTCATGTATGCATGTTTAGGGTAGGGGACTGTTAAAAAGGCACATCTCTGTGGACAGCAATAATGCGATCCACACAACTGCTGCTGCAGGTGTAGGCTAGATCCTACTTTTCCAGTTTGGGTATATTGGCTGTATCTAGTATGTGCCTACCGATTATGGAATACTTGTGTTAGAAGTGTTTCTGCTTTAATTCTGTCACTTAGGTATAAACCCTTTACATTTGGCATACATATCTGTCCAAGCAGATGCAATGAAATGAAGAATGGAAACAGCTGGTGCTTAACAAAGAAAGAGAAGACTGCTCACTTCTCATGCATCTCTCTGCATCAGGATCTTGTCTATGGTGAACACCTGATTTCCTTGTCAATCACAAAGCTATAATCAACACATTTGGTGATATATTTCAGAAAACATAGCACGTTTACCTCCAGTCCAGGGATGGGGAACCTGTGGCCACCCAGATGGTCTTGAACTATGAGTTATGTTCTCTTAACACAGACATAGTCTAGAAACATCTTCCACAGATTTTTATTTAATGTATTTTAGAGTAGTTGGGTTTAGGACTGCAAAAGTGAGACATTAAAAATGATGCTGCCACAATCTACACTTAATCCAAATACAGTCTTTCAAACATTTCTGTAAGGCGCTCAGACTGCAAGTTGATATTTTCCTGCGTTAAGCCTCACAGCTGTAAACATATCTGAGAATATTCTTGTCTGCCTCCTTGCTACAAATTACCTCCTCCATTTATTTTTCCCTTTGGCTTTGCTATTTGTTGGAATCAGCAACACAACTTTATGAGCACCTCCCCTTTCTGAAAAGGAGAGATAAAAACCCGTTCCTCGGTTAACCTTGAATAGCTTCCAGAGTTACTCTGCTAAGTACAAACTTCATCCAAGTGACTGGACAGAGACTAAAAAGAACAATAAATAATTATAAGGACACAAAGAGCATGAATTGTCTTTGTATTTTATTTAGTCCATGAAAATCTACTTTAAAAACAACATAGAAAATCAAAATATCAGTTAATCCAATACACTGGATTAGAAGGAACTGCAAAAGCTTGGAGTTGTGGCACAAGCTAAAATTTGCAGCGTTGACTGAGTATTTTTGAGGCCAAAGCAATGCACTGTAATAAAGCAGCATCTGTGTATGGAGTCAGGCTCCCCACACCATCAGACAATTCTTCTGGTGCGCTTTTTTTTTGAAACAGGTCAGTTACAAGAAGAAAGACTGGTTATATGATTTGTGTTCTTTGCATTGCTTAGAAAGGCCCTACATCAGTATTTTTTTAAAAAAACAAGCAAGAACTAAGTGCTTGTTCCCCAACTTCTAGCCATTGATAATTTACATTGTGATTACTACATTTTTAAATGCTGTTTAGATAACTTTACATATTTATTAACAGGCTTGAAGCTATAGAGATCAGAACCAGGATTACACAGGTCATGCCATTGATCTTTCTTATTAGTATTTCACTTGCTGTAATTACTGCAGTATGTCTTTTCACACAGGTAACAGGCTGTAGAAATAACTGATTTCCCATGAGCTGTCAAAGAGGGCTGTAAATGCAGGTGTGTGGTGGCTGCCAGATGCTTGATTCACCCTCCTTTTGGCACGGAATGGCCCACAAAAGAAAAGGTCCTCAAGCACCTGTTAGAGGGAATAATCCACTACTGGCAGGCCACATACAGCCCAGACCTTTGGTAGAGCAGGCAGTAGCCCTGTGGCATCGCGTAAGTGTTGGACAGAGGGGCTGTGCCCCGGCTTCCCCCTTCCAGCTCTGGGCACACTGCCTGGCTGAGCATGCACTCCTGCAGAGGGGAAGCCTACTTGCGGGCAGCTGCTCACGGGCAGGCTTTTGCACCACCAGGGTTCCCAAGCACAAGGAGCGCCAATCCCGAAGTTGCCCCCACAAAGGCTTTTCCCCTGCAAACAACTAGGGGAATGCCTGGAGTTTGGTAGGCAAGCCTTGGCAGCATGCCTGCCTCTGCGGGCAGGCCAGGAGCAGGAACATGCCTCCCACTGCTTGCGTAGTGCCCCCTTTCATGTGATTCACATATCACGGAGATTGATGAAAGTGAACAATTTGTAGTTTGGCATTCAGAACAAACTTTGTAATTCAGACTCAAAATGGGGAGCAAAGAAGCAGCCACTATGACCCCCCCCCCCAATATACACACAAAAGAGACAAGACTTCCTGAAGTCATTTTTGGACATACCATGTAACTGAGTATTTTACATATTTTTACACATTGTAAACACATTACATATCTAACTGTTCCACAAATAACCTCCTAACTGAGAATGTTTAGATTATTATCTTGCTGAGGGAGAATATTCTGGTGGAATCTTTACTATTTGTTAAGATGCAATCCTGTGCAAATTTAGACATAAAATGCTTTTTTCTGTCTGAACTTGCACAGGATTGTGCCCTTAAAGTCCAATCTTTCACTGAATGTACTGAACTTCTCACAGATTATTCTCAAAAGAATTTGTGTGATGGCAGGATTACAGTCTGGAAGGAGGCACATGCTAAACTGCACATTCTCACTATCTACTTTCCAGAAAAAGAGGGTTCAGTGGTACTAAACTACTCAGCAGTTCATCATATTTGAATGAGAAAGAGACTTTGTAGACTAACACCCCAATTAATGTGAAAGGGTTAGATTATTCTCCCCAGACATGTTTTACAAATGTAGTTAGCATTATTGCAAAATATAACTGCAGCAAAAATGTAAGTTTTCAGGTTTGGCTGTTAAAAAAAATCTGCACAGAACAGGAGGCGGCAAAGGAAGAGGCTGTTCTTTGAGAGGCATGTTAGAAGATATTCTACAGAATTGCCAAAGGGGCACCCAAAATAACTTTTTGCCTTTAAATTGGCCAGTAAGGTCTGAGAGGTGGGGTAGGAGGTAGAACTTCTGTGCGGCTGTGACACAGCGAAGGAGTGGACTGCAGAGCGGCAAAGGCACGGTGGCGGCTATCGACAGAGGAGAACGTCAAGGTTGTGACTGCTCAGTCTGCAGCCACACCCTGCAGACAGGGCTCCCTTCCCTCCGGCCTCCACCACCACATCTGAACAGAAGACAGGGAGGAGATGGAGCCAGCAGCCAACATCCTCCCCAACCTGCTGCCTCCGCTCACTGGCTAATTCCAAAGCAAAGCGCTTCTACAGGTTGCGAGTCTGGCAAGTCCATACATGAGAAGCCAACAGGTTTCAGTGATTTTATCAACATGATTTCATTGCCTCTTGCACTGTGATTCCAGTGAAAGGAAGTCATTCAAATTGAGAGAGGTAAGTTGTGAAAACAAGTTCAGAAAATGGCTACTCACTTTTCTTAGCATTTCATTTAACAAAATCCTTTTAATGGTCTTTTATCTTGACATGAATTATTCTATTAGACTGTTTTACTTTCCTGATGCTCCAAGAAACCCTGTTGCTACACTATTGATGGTTTTTGCTTGTTTTGCCAAAACTCTTTTATATATCAGCTATCCCATTGCAGAACTCCATGTGTTGCAATACACAGAAAAGGCTAAATATTGTCATTTTTATAGTTGCACATTAGCAAAGCTGTTCCAGATATTATGCAATATTTTATTTTTTTTTAAGAAACTCATGTCTTTCCATATTTTATTAGATGGAAAGTAATAGGTTAGCCAAAGGAGATCCTAAGCTACAAAATGCATGTAGCAACCACTAGATGGTGCAATCACACTAGTGACCATTTCCTTTCTTTTGCCATTGTGCACTTCCTAAAAGGTACTATTTGGCTCACTTGGTTAAATTTTCAAATAAATTACTATACATGTAGGACAGTGAAGCTGCTGGGCCATGCAAGCAACAGGCTCAGCCAGATGCGCAAAGGCTACAAAGTGCAATATAAGTAGACCTGCTAGACATACTTGTTGTCTAGAAGATCCATACTAAATGCTTTGAACATTTTAACCATTGTTCAGTTATTTAGCATTTCAAGCCTGCCCAGTTTTTATGCACAACCTGTAATGACTTGTATTAAGAACTGCAATTTAGTTTAGAGTGCCTTGCTCAAGATTTCCTACACTGTATTTTGTAAATTTTAATTCAAAGCGCAAAGCTAAGTGTAAGCCAAGTCTTTATTTAAATCACTTTTCAGAAATCACAGTTTACTAAATGTACATAAAGCATAATGAGACACACTTTCCTAACAAGGGGACACAAATACAGAGCAGACATAATCCTTTGCTCAATAAAACCATTCTGGGGAGAAAACATATCCCCTTTTATAACATGAGGATGTTCCAAGAACAGGAAAATGCTTAAAGTTTAAAAGATTTGAACTGTTTTTCAAATTCTTGATAGATTAAGAACAGTTTCACATTTTGCCCAGAATTGTGATAATTTCTTAACTGAGTAGTTTGAGATGGTCATTTATTTCTCTGGCTTTTAAAAACATCCCATATCCACACAGGTGATTCTAGAGGGGGGAAATTCTACTCAAACTTGAAAGCCAATGCATACTTAGGCAGGCTTAAAACTACTGCCTTGGATCCAGCTTTCCACCTGTCAAAGCATTCATCAAGGAGGGTTCCACTAAGAATGTTCTTATTGGCAGATCTGCACCAATTCTCCCTCCCTCTACAGCTCCCAGTGCCACGTCCACCCTGTTCAGCACAGATCTGGCTCATGGGGTGGGGGAGGGTGCACAGGAGGCTGCAGGTAGAGAAGAGAAGCCACAAAGCCTGCCTCCTCGCACCTTTCCACCAGTGGGGTTCCTTCATTGAATCAGAAGCTTCCACAAAAGAGTCTGGATGTACCCACTGAAACCATTCTTCTTAAGCATGCTTGACTCTCCATTCAGCTGCAGCTGAAATGTTTTCAATACACAAAACACAAGGAATGCCAGGCTTAGAGAATGTGATGGAAAATGAAGTTCTGTTTCACAGATTGGTATCATGATGATTCCAAGGGGGACAATGACTTTTGATGGAAAGCAAGATCAAATACAACATCAAACATCGATTCTCATAGCCTTCCACACAATAGGAAGCAATGGAAATGTACTGGGATCCATTACTGGCTAGCTGTAGCTCACTCAGAATTCTTCCCTGTAATCACTTGGGCAAGACTCTTTCTTTTCGTCACATATAAAGAGGAAGAAATATACATTAAAATCAGATTTCGCTTGAAGATATACACATAAATACACAAAGAATTACAGTCCAGTTTTGGAAGAACTAATAATAGGGGGAGCATCAAATATGCCAACTTCCTTCCTAGGTGAAAGTATGGGTGTCATTTTTGGAAAAGGGAACACTTCTGACCCAGCCCAGCCCGACTCGTCTTACCAGCACAGACATGGATAACAAATATTGTGAGAAGGAGGTGTTAGGAATCGAACGGAAAAGGAGATGGCTAAAGCTCCTGGTGGTGTCTCAGGATTGTCAGATGCCTTTCTCAGCATGACATCAGAAAGCAGAGGTCTATTCTCACTGTTCAAAATCATTGCTCTTCAGCCCAGCTAAGCAGAAGCCATCCTCTTCTGCTGTTTTCTTGTGGAACTCGTCCCTCCAAATGCAAGACACAGCTTTCCACAGAACTATTGATATAGAGAGATAAAGAAACATCAAGGAAATCTTGCAGCCACAGCTTCTTAAGCAGAGTGACAGAGCCAGCATGTTTTACCTTTGTCGCGTACTAGCATGCAAACCACATCTGGGTGTCACCTCAGTGTAAGGGGATCTCAGTGCCACCGTTGCCAGCTGCTGCATAGCAACCTCCTGCAGAACAGCTCTGCGGCACATCAGTTGGCAGGAGTGGGATCTGGCAGGGGAAGCTGGCCAGACAGGGATGACTCACTCAGAGACTCTTAAAGGTGCCCCAAACAAGCAAACAGGGCCCCCCCTTCTAACAGTGAAGACAGAGAATATTAGGACTGACAGTCTGTCCTTCAGCCACACTACAAGCCTGCCCTTCAGGAGTGAAGCAGCAGACAAGTGAATTAAATGGTGTGTTAGTCAGGCTTGACCCTTCACACCCACTCCCTTCCTCCCTCCTGCTCCTGCCTTCCTGTCTCAAGTATCCTGCACTGGGTACACTGGTGATTTTCCCATGCCAGCAGAGAAGGAGAAAGCAGCAGGGGGTGAACCCAAAGGCAGGAGTGACAGGCTTTAACTAGCGCTTGATTTGTTGCTGTGCTCTTAGAACAGTTATGCTGCAAAGGCGGACTCCCTGCTTAGCTAATACTCTCATAATGCATATCCTCTGCAATCAGTGGCATAGTGAATCTGCCATACAGAGGGACCATTCATGCATGCTTTACAGTATGGAGTGGGCAAACTGTAGGCCAAACCATCTGGAAGACTTCAACTCCCATCAGCCCTAGGCAGCATGGCCAATCATTAAGATAATGGGAGTCATAGGCAAAAACATCTGGAAGGCCACCAGTTTGCCCTTCCCTGCTCTACAGTCCTACTTTGCTCCTTCAACAAAGGAAGCTTGATGAGTGATAACTGAAAGTATTTAGTGTTTAAACTGAAAGTAAAATTAGCTTACATGCAGCTAATTTTACTTTGTTTAAACACTAAATACAATGTTTCAAGCACTGATCTGTTTTAGTAATTTAATTTTTTTATTTGCTCTCCAGCATCAAACCTAATTCATTGGGTTTTCTTACTCTGTATTATTTGTCCATCTTACACAGTTCTGAAGGCCAAAATGTCTGAATACTCTTTACAGTTATATTGTTGATAAAATGCCACTAAAAAGAGTTAACTAGCCAGGATTTAAAATGACTGTTGAGAATTTATTTTAATGAAATGGTACTTACATTAAAACTCAGGATTCTGTGAGCTCTGATTTTAACTGTGGACTCTCAGAGGAGGTGTAATCTTGTTTATTTACATCTTTCTCTGTGTGTGTCTCCACAAAGCCTGTTGACGGACTATGGTCTTCTTTCCTCTTCATGTGTGTTTGTTGGTCTATCAATTGTTCTTGGATTTGAACAGTCTGTCCAGCTTCCACATCCTTGAGCTTTGGTTGGCCTACTTCATCAACTGACTCTTTGGACAGATCCTCTGATCCAGTACCCTCCAGGGTGTCTCTTTGAGTCTCTGTTGGAACAGTTGTATCCATTTCAGAATGAAGTTTTTGTTTGCCATTTTCTTTCTGCAACCCTGTCTCTTTCACAACTTCATTCACAGATCCAGGGACTTGCATGAGTGTTGGCACTGTACCTGACATGTCTTCAATTGTTTTGAGATCAATCTCTGTCTTTTTGGAGCCACAGCTTCCTCCATCTTCAGTCTTATCAGAAATCAAAGGCATTTCTTCTACTGTTTTGAACGTCTCTTGTTTCTCTGCAGATTGTTTTAACATTGTAATTGACTGTTCAATCACTTGGTGTTTCTCTTCTCTGCCTTTTACTGGAAACTGTTGACCAGTCTGTATATCTTCCAGAATTTCAGACTTAGTTACATCAATCAGACATGGGTCACTCTGCTGCTTCGAAGTGAAGGCCGGTTCTTCTGTTTCCTCCAATTTATCAACAGCATTCTGAATGATTTTCAGCACAATTTTTGTACTTTGAGACTCTATAGTCACAGATTGAACAACGTCTTTTTGAAATTCTGTATGAGTTAAAGAGGGGCTTCTTTGTGGAGATGTCACCTTTTTTTCAGATTCTTCGCTGGACTTTGATTTTTGAAGCTGCATTTTAGGGATAGCATCAAATGCATGTCTCTGGACCAAATCATCTGTGCTGCATCTTCCTGCTTGTAAAACCTGCTCATCTACCACTGAATCAGCCTTGTCAGAAGAAGATACTGCCATGGCATCAAAGTCCTGAGTCCCAGGTCCTGAGTGAGCACAGCTCACCTGCTGTATCGTTTGGAACACTGTTTCTTTTGGCTTCTCGAGAAAAGATTGCAAGGTTCCAGTTGGTGCTGCCATCAGTATCACATCTTCTGCAATGACCTGCTCTTCAAGTGCTGCAGCTGTTGCTGTTCCAGAAGATTTATAAGCTGTGTAACTTTCCTTTTCCAGAATGCCAGTGGTGACAGCCTCCTGTTGCTCAGCATCAATCTTTTGCTGTGGCGGAACTGCACACAGTATGTCCCCACCAGCAAGTTCAGCATTCTTTGATGTTTTTTCTGTTTTCATTATAAGCACCTTTTCTGATGGTGCTTGTCTTTTCTGGCAGGTATCCGAAGCTGCTGTAGACTCTGAAAGTGGATGGTCAGTTTCCAAGGGCAATGTCTCAGGACAAGTTTCAATCTGTTCAGCAATCCCATTTAACCCTGCTTCCTGGCCTTCTGATTTTAAGTCTGGCAGACTACTATCTCCTTTATTATCCAAAATGGCGTTTGAGACAGCATGCTCTATGAATCCAGAGCAAGAGGTGAGATCTCCTCCTCCTTCAGTCTTCGTAGCTTCTGTTATTACAGTACCTGTGGATTCTGTCTCAACCATTCCAAGCTCTTTTTTCATTGAATCCACAGCTGCCTTGCTTTGCACAGTATCCTCTACTGTGTCAGCCTCAGTGTATGTTGATTCCAAAGGACAGGCATCTTCCTTTTCTTCCTGCACGGGACCCCCAGATGCAGCTGTATCAATGGACTTTACCATTACCATGTCAGTCTTCACAGGAGGTGACATTATTTCCTTCTGCACAGGGGTCTCAGCTTCTTCAGCACATTTTGATCCTTCTAATGCGGCATCCTTCAAGTCTTTCTTTTCCCGGACTTCATCTGCAATTACTTCTATGCATTGTGATTCCAAGGTAAATTTGCCATATGTCTGCGTGGGATCCTCTTCATCCTGCTTTGGTGCTGATATTTTAATTGGACTTCTTTCCTCAGTTAAAATGTCCTCTGATGATTTTTGTTCTAAGGCAGAGAGATCAGTCTTTACTCCACTCTTTGAAGGGTCCTCAGTAAAAACTGCATCAGAACTTTTTGGTTTTAAGGAAAGGACAACATCTTGCTTCTCTGTTTGCACTGGGATTCCATCCCTGTCACTTGCCACAGATGCTTGCTCTGAATCAATATGCACTGAGGTTTCAGCTGAAGTCACCTCAATACATGTTGCTAAGGATTTTGTAATATCTTCAACCTGAGACTGAAATCTCACTTCATCTTCTGTAGTTTGTAGGATCTCCTTTGGTTCTGTAAGCTTGGTGATGGCTTCTGTTTCCATCATTTCTTCTGACTGGTCTGCAGGGACCTCCTCAGCCACCTTCTCTGAGGAAGCTTTAGCATCCATCTTTGTATCTACCTTTTCTGCAAAGACCACCACACCTGTCTTCTTTTTGGAAGACTCCACTTCTGTGCTACCTGTGAAGACCTCAGCTTCTGCTTTTTCTACAGAGAATTCCATTTTTGCTTCCTCTGTAGAGTGCTCAACATCTGTTTTCTCTGCAGGAACTTCCACATCACTCTTTTCCTTGGCAACCTCTGAATCTTTTTCTGCGTGGGACTCCATATCCATTTTCACTGCAGGGACTTCCTCATCCAGCTTTGCATCTGTCTGCTCTGATGGGACCTCCACATCCACCTTCTCTGCAGTGAGCTCTGCTTCTAACTTGGCATCTGCCTTATCGGTGGGAACATCCACATATCCTGTTGCATCTGCCTTTTCTATTAGGACTTCTGCTTCTGCTCTTTCCACAGGGACCTCCCCTTCCATCTTCTCCATGAAAGCCTCCGATTCCAACTTCTTTATTGATGTCTCTTCTTCAATCATTGTTCTGGCAAATTCTGCTTCTTTCTTTCCTGCATCTGTGGCCAAATCCACCTTCTCTGTGAGGGCTTTTACATCCAACTTTGCACGTGCTTTTTCTGCAAAGGCCTGTTCTTCTGTCTCTTTAACATATGCCTCATCTTCCATGGCAGACTCCATTTCTGCCCTCTCAGTAGGAAACTCCACATCTTTTAATTCTTCCTTCTCTGCCAGAACCTTTGCTTCCACACTCTGTATGTGGGACTTGCCTTCTTGTTTTTCTGTGAGAGCATTAGTTTCTATTTTCTGTATACAGACCATGGTCTCCAAATTCTGCTGATCAATGTCCACTTCCTTTCTAATTGGCATTTCTTTTTCTATAATCTCTGCATGGATTTGTGTCTCCAACAGGAGAGGCTCCGGTTCCCCATTCACCACAGAGTTATCTAATTCTGGCAGTTGGGCCTCAGGTTCCTTCTTCTGCACATGCATCTCAATTTCCAGACTTTCCACAGAGACCTCGGGGTCTTTGTTTGATACATGGGTCTCAACTGCAACTTCCTCTGTGCTTGTTTCTAAGCCAAGTGCAGCATCTTCAGCTGTACCCAAGTCACTGTCTTTAGTTACTGCATTCTGGATGGGTGCCTCAAGCTCTTTTACTTCATTCTGTGAAAGGGCCTTCTTTAATTCAATTGCACCTGTTTCTCTCTGTTCTGCTCTTGTATCAGATGTGATAGTCACCACATCATCACATTCCTGGGACAATAGAGGCTTCTCTTCACATGTTGTTTTTGCAGAGTCATCCGCTTCTGCAACAACAGCTTTTGGAATCCCAACTTGTGGTGTTTTTTCTAAATCCATTTTGACCTCCTGTACTATATTTGTACTACAGTATTCTTCATTTTCCATTTTGACTGATGGTACTGGCTCCTTTCCAACTATATCACCAACTTCTGGCTCCTCTTCAGGACTTACTGTAACAATAACAAATTCTTCCTCTTCAGAAATCTCTTCAACTGTCTGCTTTTCAATAATTTCTTCAGGTCTTTCTACAACTTCTTGTTCAACCTTTGGAGGTCGAATTTCATCAGTCCTATCCAAGCTGATAGTTTCTTTTGAGCTGTCTTCCACCTTCATGCACACATCATCACTCTTCTTCATCACTTCCTTCAGAACACTTTCTTTAATTTCAGCTTTACTTAGATGACTTTCTGTGTCTTCATCTATCTGCATATCAGTCTTCTCAGGTTCTTCTTCTTTTAAAGATGATTCAGCCAGTTCAGCTTCCTTTAGAGGTGGTTCAGTCAATATGACAGTAATTTCTTGCCCAACTTTCTCTACTGACACTGACTGAATTACTATTTCTGACATGCTTTCACCAATCACTTGCACTTCATCAGACAATGTAACTCTTTCAGCAACTTCCTGCAGAATTTCCTGTGTGTGTTTGTTTAATTGTTCTAGGTTTTGTGAGCTCTCCTCTGGCTCCTGTACAGGTGTAGCTATTTCTGTTGTATCAGGCGATTCAGACAACCTTGAAACTGCTGAAACCATCTCAGTTGTCTCTTCAGCACAGGATACTTCAGTTGCTTCTTCAACACCAGAAGCTTCTTCTCGAGCTGTAATTGCTTCTGAGGTTATCTCAATTTCACTGATTATAGATTCACCACTAGCATCCTCTCTAATTTCTGGCATGAGTTTAGAAATCACCACTGTTTCTTCAACAATTCCAGTTTCAGAGACCTGCTCAGTTAGTTTCTCTTCATCTTCACTTGCATGTTCAATGGACTCTGTCATAGCAGCAGATATCCAAGATGGCGACCTTTCATCAATACTCATAATTGCTCTCTCTCCTTCTACCACTGTAACAGTAATGGCATGAACCAATCCTTCACTGGACTGTTCAACTATTAAAGTACCTTCTGACTTTTCTGTGCTCTGTGCTGAAGTTTTCTTAAGTATTTCATCTTGTGTCATCTTTGGAGCCTCACATTTCTCTTGTTCAGCAGCTTCATACTCTGATAAAGGAACAACAGCAGGTATGTCAGAGTCGTCATCATTGGCTTCTACCATTTCTTCTCCAGCTTCCTGAACTGGAGCATGTTCTGGTATTCCATCTGACTTTTTCTTCCTACGACCAGGCATTAATTTTTTAAATGAAACCCAGGATTCTTCTTTTCCAGAATCTCCATCTGAAGTAGAATGTTCTAAACTTGCAGCCATGGCATATTCTTCATTTCTCTCTTCCATCTTAGTTTTAGATTTTCTTCTTGGGGTTACTAGCCTTTTGAAAGACTCCCATGTAGAAACTCCCTCACCTTCAGATGGACTTCCAGCTTGTTCTGGTGAGGAATTTCCTTGTCCTTGGTCACTTTCTTGTGAGCTAGTAAAAGTCATATCTGGGGCTATTTCTTTATTTGATGCACCTTCATCTATTTTTTGAACTTCCTGAGCAAATCTTTGTCCTATTTCTTCATCAGAAGATGATGATTTTCTTGTTCTTTTCTTAGATGAACCTACACAAATTAAGGCTTCCCATGATACAGAAGTATCAACCTTTCTCTTGGGCTCTTCTGTGCTTTTTTCTAATTTCTGTTCCTCACCATTTTCTTTAGTATCTTGTTCTTCACAGGGGGCACTTTCAGTTGAAGACAAAGTAGCACTCTTTGGCTTCTCAAGCTCATCTTCTTTGTCACTTTCAGAAAGCCTCCTGACTCGTTTCTTAGGTGTCACCATTTTTTTAAATGATGCCCAAGGAGTAATACTTTCTCTTTTCTTCTCTATATCTGAAGTGGACCCTTCTTCAGTTTCAGTGATCTGTGCTGCATCTGCAACTTTTTCTACAGATTCTGTTGCTTCTTCGGGAGAAGAAGCAGAGCTTTCTCCCCTTGGATCTTCTGGGCTTTCTGCAGAATCAGACAATTGCTGCATTTGTTCCGCTGTTTCCCCTGATTTAGCTTCTTCTCTTTTTCCTTTATGTTTCTTTACCGACAGCTTCTTTAAACTAGTACTTGTAAAAAGCTTTTTTAAGGGGCTGCCTTGCATCTTGGCTTTTTCTTGAGATGAGAGCAATTCAACTTCATTTGTAAAGCCTTCTGAAGGTTTAGATGTTGCTGCTTCTGTTAGTTCTGTTTGCTTGACCTGCTCCTTCACTATTTCAGGTAAGATTTCTTTGACTTTCAGCTGTTCTTCAGTGGGTTGCCCTCTTTGAAGCTCAGCATCTGTTCCAACTAATTGTTCAAGTACTAATTCTTTTTTAGTTATTTTTGGTTCTTCCTTCTTTACTGCAGTACTCACATCAATGTTCATATCTGTGGGTTTTTCATCCAAAAATTCTATGGCTAGAGGAGCGTTTGGTTCAGTTTTATCTTCAACGTGCTCCTCCACTCTTTTTACTTCTAATGGGGAAGTTGGACTTGATTGGTCTGTTTGTTTGTCAATGACTTCATCTGTCAAATGAGCTGCTAGCTCAGGTTTTTTCTCAGATGAGCTCAGAGTACTTTGCTCTACATCTCTTATACATACTTGTTCTGGTTCCAATTTTTCCTCTGAGGCCAGTGCAATTGTCTCTTTCAAGCTTATTTTGGAGTCTTTGTTTAGACTTTCATCAGACTCTTCTACTGAAAGCAGTTCAGCAGGAGTAATAGCTTCCTCCTGATGTGTTTCTGTTGAAGCATCTATCATTTTTGTTTCTTCTCTTTTCTCTGTCTCCTTTTCCACTTTCTCATAACTGGTGTCTACAGAAGCTTCTGACTTACTTTTTTCTGGTATGGGTTTTTCTTTTTCTAGTTCTTCTTTCAAAGTAGTATCTTCTTTTATTGCCTCTTTTTCCTGCTTTTCTTTCTCAATAGCTTGTGTTTCTTCTTCTTTAGGTTTTCTAAAGCTCGTCTTTTTTCTAAAGCCAGCCCAACCATGGGTAAAGAATTTTCTCAGAGGCGATGCTGTTTCACTAGTTAATGGGCTTGTTGGAGACTCTGGAGATTTGCTGCCATTGCTTTTCATTTCTGTCTCCTTACTCCCTGCTTCAGTAGAGCTTTCTATTACCTTTTCAGGAGAAGTTCCTTCTTTAATCTGTTCAGTCTGAGTCTCTTGCTCACTCTTTTCTACACCATGGGGGCCCTCACTTCGGGTTGATTCTTCCACTGTCTCAATCTTGATTTCTTTATAATCTCCAGCTCCATCTGATGCCACTTCTGTATCATCTGCTTTTACATTCAAAAGCTGAACAGGTTCTACTTTCTCAGTCTTATCCTTTCTGACAGTGAATTTGAATCCAACTAACTTAAAAACTTTTTTAAATCCAACATCATTTGATGGAGATTCACTTGGTTGTTCCAGTTCTTCTGTTTTTTCTTCTGACAATGGCAAATGTTTGTCGGCATCTTGTGTGTCCTTCTGTTCATCACTTACATCAGTTTTGTCAACTGATTCTGGTAGCTTAGGCTCCATATTTTCTGCAGACTCCTCTTTCAGAATCACATTTGTAGTTTCTCTTTGCCCAACTGTAAGAGATATTCAAAAGTAATAAAGCATTAGGCAATCTATTACTGCAATTAATTCTAAATTATATCTAAGAAGTACAATGACTCTTAATGCTGCAATCCTATGCACAATAATTTGGGAGTAAGGTCCACATCCCAGTAGGATTTCTCTCTCAGTTAACTTGCATAGGGTCAATTGCACCATTATTAAATGCATTAGCCATTTTAAATGCAATAGACCTAAATGTGTTTTAACAGTGAGCTAATCTGTATCATCAAACAGCTTATCATGCTTTATCTAAATAATCCATGGTGGGTTGTTCAGCAGCCATTCACAGTGACCATCTGCGGCTTGCCATATTGTACAAACCCAGGGACTGTGGGTTACATGAGGGCTGTTTAACCTTCACATAACCCACAGCCCCTGGGTTTGCACAACACAGTAAGTCACCTTGAATATATAAATCCCACCAGTCACAGCCCTTAAGTCATGGTGGGCTGTTATGACCATGCAAACCAGATCTTTGGGCTGGACTGAAAAAATATTTGTCCTTTTTAAACAGACATGACAAAAGTTTCCATTATTGTGTATAAAATTAAGGAATTAAGAATATTTCATACTTCATTTATAATTAACAATAGTTCACTTTCTAACTGGTTTGGTTGCTTTTTATGCTTTCTAAAAAACTGAAATTCAGGAGTGTTTATTAAAAGTGCAGTGCCTTTACAGTGGTACCTTGGTTCACGAACTTAATTCGTTCCACGATTCTGGTCGTGAACTGATTTTGGTCAAATTTCCCCATAAGGTTCAATGTAAATAAGGTTAATATGTTCTGAACCATAACTTTATGTTATACATAAAGGACCACATATAAAAGTTTTAAATAAATATATAAATAAATACTTTTTTAAAAAAAAAATGATATGAGCCACGTCCCTGGGCTGCGGGCCAAGCTGCAGCCACCTCGCCAAGCCCAGAGGCAGACAGGCCGAGGTGGAGCGGAAGCAGGGCCACAGCTCCTGTGCCTGTGCAGCGGCCTTCTCAGGGCAAGCTGCCACTGAGTGGCTGCCATACTTCTTCCCCCCACAGCGGGGAGACTCAGGAGGTGCCCCACTCAGCCAGCCGTGGCCCCGTCCCTCCCCACCCTTCCCCTCGCCTCAACCTACAGAAAGCAGCCCTTACCTCCCTCCTTGCAGCCCTTTCCCAGCCAGGGGAGCCACCCCGTGCTCAGCTCTCCAGCCTCCCACTCCTGCTCCGGCCTCCCACTCCTGGAGCCAGGTGAGCACCTGTGGGGGACCTTCCTCTGACTCAGAAGCAGGGTGACAGCGAGGAGCCGGGAAGACCTCAACCAAGGTGGGCGCACCCTCATGGCTCCCCCTTGTGGTGGGTGGGGAGAAGGTTATTGTTTGGAGTGTTTGTGCGGGAACATGGCTGCAATTTGCGAACAGAGAAAAATTCTGCCAAAATTTCTGTTCGCAACCCGATTTGGTGGTGAACTGAGGCGTTCATGAACTGAGGTACCACTGTACTTAAGACTTCTGCTTCATGATTAGACTTTCTCCACCTTCTCTCTGCTCCTACAGATCTGAAAATCTGCTCAGAAAAGTTGCACAACTCTTTGAAACATAGTTTAGGACACACAGAGAACTGGAAAGAGGAAGGGGGGGTCTCCTTCTGGTTCCACTGATGGAAGTCATTACAACAGTTTAACTGGAACACCAACAGAAAAAATTAATTGGTTTTCACTCTGTTCAAAAAAGTAGAAGTAGAAGCAGAAAGGTCTTAACTGAACATAACCTTTTGGGGAAAAAGGCAGAGCATCAGGAATGAAAGTTAAAGAAAATGTGGCTAATCAAAGCAGTATTGTTTCAAAAGAAAGATAAAAAAATATATTTTAGTTCCAGAGTTTTGATATAGCAATTGTAAGTGCACTATGTGGTTGACTTTCAACATTTAAGAAGAGCATATTGTAATTTATTGAAGACAATCTATTAGAAACTAGCATTAGAAAGAAGTATTGCCTGTTTCACTTGTTAATTGAATGAGGCTTCATGGGCAATATCCGACTGCATGGTGCTAGCAGAAGCTACATTCTGAACTACACAGAACCCTTGTGCTATGTGGCAAAGCCCACATGTGCGATGCACAGAGACCACGATGAAGAATTCAACTTAGGGATGGATGTATGAGGCATCTGTTTTGGGGGTGGAAATCCACTGGATTCCCTGGGCTTGGCTCCCCAGATTCTGGCCCACTTTGGTACAGCTCTGAGTTCTAGCTCCCAGTGAGCACACCCAGCTTTCATGGGCACTCACCAGGAATCAAGCTGAATGGACAGCACAAGCAGCATCCCTCTTCTGAGCCAGGTGCAGCAGTCTGTTTTTGCTGCTGCACCTGATGTGGAAGAAAGTTGTTTGTGGCTGGAGGCACTCGGCTGGACCTGTTGTGCATAGAGCAATGTGGCTTTCATAATTTTCGCCTCCTGTCTATGCTATCCTAACAACCGCCCTGCGAGGTAGGTTAGGCTGAATATCAGTTTCCCATTCAAAGTCACCCAGTGAGCTTTGCAGCCCAGCTCTCCCAATTCCCAGTTCAACACCACCGCACCACACTGGATCTCACTGACAATCAAGCACTGCAGCACATTATTCCTCCTACTACTACTAATTTAAGCTATTTTTATCCTATCCTTCAGCCAGAAAACCTACCAGATTAAATTGCATACAATCATTCAAAACAAGTTATCCCCTGCTCATAGGATTACAATCTAAGGGATAGGGTGGGATAAAGAAAAAAATCAAATTCAGGCACCAATTTTTTAACTTACAAAAATGTCCCAGGCTTGCCAGAGACATTTCTGCAGCCTGATTCAAAGATCAAGATGCACAATCTTGCATAAGAGATCTAGGTAGAGATTGTAGCTGGATCTGGCTTCACTGCTGGCTGATGCCACCACAGGCAGGCAGGGTGGTGCACCCACGGCTCTGTCCTCCAAACACCTCTTTTCATCCAACAGTATCTGCCACCTGAGGCAGCTGCCTCACTTTCCTAGAGTTGGGCTGCCTTGGAGCTCTTCCAATCGCTCTCCATAAACAGTTCAGGGGAGAAGAAGAGTCCAAGGCAGATTGTCTTCTAGTAAGGCTGGTGGTTGGTCTTGCTTTTCACCTCATGAGAAGCTGGGTGAGGAAAGCAGGGAAAAGAAATGAGGGAGAGAAGCAAGAATTCATGGTAGCTATTGTGGGGCAAGAGTTACAAGCCTTGTTTTTAATTCCTCAGCAATTTGACATATATTTCCTGAGGGAAATTATGTTATTAGGTCCTGCTTTCATAACTCATTCATTAGCACTACATTACAGCAGTGCCCATTATCATTAGAGCTTACCCCAAACTGAATGAGAAAACCCCTTGACTGTGACATTAGGGGTACTAGAAGGTAATTCAAACTACAGCCCCAAACCTGCAAGTTCAGCCTCTATAAACTTAATTGTATGCAGCCTTCACTTCACAGTAGAAAGTACTGCACCATTTTACTATGGTTTCCAGCATGAATTATCTTTAATAACACATACATTTTTTAAAAAGTGGAAAACATGTTTACAGTTTCTAATTTGTATCTTGGGATATGCTTAATTGGGTCTTCCAAATGCTGCTAATATTTCTAAGATGTACTGCAAATCCAGGAGTCGTCATTCCAAATACCAGAACTGATAACAAAGGGCAGTGTAAGACTTTCCTGAAAATGCAATTATTTATAGTCTTTTATGTTTACTACAAACCAATCCGATTTATATTAATGCAAGATTTTGAGCTGCTTCCCACAGTTTATTCTCTATTAATTTCAGAGGAAAACTGTGGGTTTTAAAAAATCCTAAATTGCAAGGCTTAGACATCGCACATTCTGACAAAGAAAAATTCTCCCCAGACACATTTCTTAGAAGTCTGTATTCTGCCCTTGCACCAAGCCAGTCAGTTCCTCAATATTAGGGCAAGGTATTTTCTCTACTGTGTCCCTGATTCTGAGAAGAGGCAAAGATGGGCAATAAGATACTTGATGAATTTAAAAATCTCCCTGCAGAATATTACCAGAGGTCTGTCTGTACCCTATTTCCAAGCAGATATCTTCTGGGAAACACACAAGAAGAGCCTAAAGGGGCCTCCAGTTTGTATCTTCTAACATCTGGTATTCAGATACACTGCTTCCAAAACAGAAACTTCCACTTGCATTTCATAGCTAGAACATACATTTCATACTATCTAGCCCTCTTGCCCTCTGTGAATTAGTTTTAATTTGCCTCTCCTCACATATCTGAGATATATTTCAACAGCAAATGCTTGCCTTTCCACTTGTGAGAAAGAGATGCAGGGAGGAAAAGACAGGGGGGTCTTTCCTCACCTATTCTAGTGAATGGGAGGACAGAGGAAGAGGGCTATATGCTAGACTCCCTCTGTCCTTTATTCTTAGGGATCACACTGCAGCCAGAGCAGGACTGTTTGAGATGAAGGCTGCTGCCATGGCTTAACTCCTAATTGCTGCTTGCTAATCACTGTTCTTGGTTCCTATTGCTGCAATGGCTACTCTCACCATCTTGTTCCTTGTGCAGGCCACGGGGCTCCCAGGTTTTTAGCACAGTACAAACGGAAAATAATAGCACACATGTATGCACTTAAATTTCCAATTCTTCTGGCACAGGCAGACCAAGGACGGGAACTTGGGGCTGTCAACAGATGCTCAAATTCTGATGCTGGGTCTGTAGCATGAACAACGAACAGGGTTAATTTGCATTTGCTCAATTTGAACTTAATTATACTTATACTGAAGACAATGTATGATTCTTGTGGATGTGGGGTAGACAATTTTCCAGTATTTACCATTTTTCTGCTGAAAAAAATAATCCACTTCATAGGTTTATGAGTAAAAATAAATAGATGCCATTATAGTCCTAAGAAAGTTTGGGTGTTTCAAAGTTTCACATGCCAACAAGGTTGCCAACAAATCACACACCATTTTCTGGCCTGCTAA